GAATGTCATCCCGAAGCAATTCTTGATAACTGTATACCATGCTCTTTATCATAGCCATCTTATTTACGGCTTGGTACATTGGGGTCATTCACCAGCAGCACAGGACATATTATTGTTCCAGAAAAAAGCTGTAAGAATCATAATGTCAGCCGACTACAACGAACATTGTAGGCCCCTTTTTAAAGATCGGGGCATTCTTGCAGTCTTTAGTCAATATGTAGCCTATTGAACATCCTAATACTTCTGAAAGAGAATGTCCATCTGTTTGAACGAAGAGAAGTTCATCACCGCTATGACACCCGGCAAGCACTACACCTTGACATGCCGCGATGTCGCCTCACCCGCACCCTCAAGAGCTAAACTTATCCCCGCTATGCCATAAGGCTTTTTAACACCTTGCCGGATAAGGTGCGGGATATGAACATCACCTCTTTCAAAGCGGCAATCTGAAATAGCTTAGTAAATAAGCCACTATACTCGCTGGAGGAGCTAAGTGAAGAGCCCCTAAAAGTTACAAAGAAGCCCGTTCCCTAAAAATGGGAAACTCGTCTTATTTACCGCCACAGCCTGGTTAAGTTTGTATGTATGTAAATAGTAGCCTAGGCTATGTTTATTTTTTAATTGTATATAAATTAACGCAGTCTATCCGACATTGTCGGTCAACGACGCAGCACACAAGTATCAAGTAGGCCTAGGTAAGTAAGGTCTAAGTAAACTAAAGTGCAGCCTTACAATATGTCACTGCATGTTTAATCGTCACTGACTTTACCCCCAGTGTCAACCTTAAGATAACTTTAACCTAAGTTAACTTAGTCGCATAACCAGGCCTACCGTATTTGAAATCAGTTCCATGTATTTTAAAATGGTTTATAAAATGTAAGTTATTGTGGATTTAAAAGTTGAAAATGATAATCTATTTATTTTACTAACTTTGCCAACCAAGTCAAAATAATTGTTATTAATAGAGATCAGACATGAGGCAGACCTATGACATATTTGTAGGCCTAGAGGGTGAGGAACAAAATTAACATGTAACCAACGGGTTTATATCAATATTTTGTAAACCGATAAAAAAACTTATGCCATTTGCAAGCTTTTCTTATCTCAAAAATATGTATAGGCCTACCATGTTGTGTTTACAATCTAGGCCTAGGCCTACTGTCAAACGATCTAAATTGTTGATCAACTTATAAAAGAGAGTAGAAATATTTAGCGGTGCAAATTAAATGTAACATTAGGCTAACTTGTTTGACTTCTTACCAGAGAATGTAGTCCAACGTCACACCATATCACTTAAGTCTACAAATCACACAATTTTTATAAATTCTTGTGGAACTAACAGTTCATTAAAAACACGCAACTGACACTTCACACGAATACGAATGCACCATCTTGGACTTTTGGACAAATGAATGAAATAAAAATGTTCGTTCGTTTCGTTCATTCCAATTCAAACCAATCCAATCCAATCCAATCCTCCTAAGTTCGTTCTTCGTTGGCAACTAGCGCTAGCGCTGCGACCTGCCATTTGTCCATTTGTTATACTAGAAAATTATCTAAATCCAGTAAAAAAGAAAACATTACATAAACAAAATTTTTAGCTATTAAACATTGCACTTTAGTTTATTTTTGACGGAAAACTCTATTTTACATGCACTTTGTCGTGATCATTGAATCAGCCTATCTATATCAAATAATACTACAATACATTACGTGAAAACTAGAAAGTTTGTTCCCGCTAAGGTTGGGACTTACTGTCCCGATAATTATACATGATTATACCAATTCGTTAATAACAAGGGAAGAATCATGGTAGAAAGGATTTTTTTTTTAAGGAAAAAAAGGTTTTTTCCTTCCACCATGGGCAAGAATGTGGTTCTCCCCAGACAGCACACTTTATCCCAGGGACATCCCATAGTATACCTTAATACCTCCTTCTTCGTCTTTTACCCACAATGTGGGATTGACAGCGTCACTTTAAACACGATTACTAATACAAAAAAAACAATATTTACAACTATTTACATACTTCCGGCAGGCTACAGGCTTCTTAAATCATCCCCTAAATACTCTGAAATATCGTAAGGCCCGGCTCTTGATTAAAGTGGTTAACACTGCCTCAAATGTTCTCAAGTCCAACAACTGGATATGTCGTGGCAGCTTATTGAACAGACTTATGGCTGACACACTATAACTATCCTGGGTCCTAGATAGTCGCACCCTTGGTACATCAAGCTGATGGCGCTGCCTGGTGTTATACTGGTGGACGTAGTGCCATATGTCCTGAGAATGTCTCGGGATATGTACGCTAGCCTCTGGATAGCCCGCAAAATCCCGGGACGAGTACGAAATCCAAATGATATCCTACAATATACCATAATGTCCCGGGATTTGTAAGATAACCTCAGGATATCCTGTAAAGTCCCTGGATTTGTACGAATGCCATTGGATATCCCAGAATGTCCTATGACATCCCGGGACATGTACAAAATCCACTGGATATCCTGTAATGTCCCGTAATGTCCCGGTAACAAACTGAAGAAAAAAACTACCACCACTGATGAAATGTATATCTAAATTTAAATGCTCAACAAGGCCAATATATAATAATTTGTTTTATTCACTAGCACTTTCAGAAACTATAGGTTTCCATCTTCAGGCTGTGTTTACACTAGTACAAAAAGTAAATATTTACTTAATAAATTAAATTTAAACAAAGTTAAAACAGATGATTTAAAAAAATATTGGAAAAATAAAAAAATAATATTAGAAAAATTGATCTTTTGAATTTTGGATATATTACAGTATTGTTCTTGATGTACAATTTTTTATTTTATTTTTTAGAGTTTATAATTGGGCCGTCTTCATTATTTAACAAACAATTTTGGTCTGTTTTTTTTCTATTAAAAAGATTCCCACGCATTAAGATGTTGAGGTTTTATAATTTGTTTTAAAAGTTTAAGGTTTCCCAAATTGAAAATATGTCTTCTTAATACTGTGGCTAGCAAGGGCTGACTTTAAAATTACAATGGGCATACTTTTGCCTTTTGTTTATGGCTATTCATTTGATATACTCCACATTTACTGCATATTTACTACCACTGAGTTCAGGAAAACTAGAGTTCTATCATAGTTGTGTGAAACGTGTATTTAATTCTAACTTTAAATTAATAAAATAATCTAAAACAAATTTTAATCATATAACAATCAATTATAATAGTGCTAATCTAATAGTAATTAAATAATCTATATTCAAATACCAGTATCCTATCCAACTACCAGAAAAACAATTAAACTACTTGAGGCTTAAACAGATTAACAGAATCATATTACTGTAGTGTCAAAAATGTTTTAAGTTTTACGACCATTGCAACTGTCGGCTACTCTTTGACCACTCGAAAACACTCATAATCATCAAGCGCAGATAGCTCAGGAGGTAAGGTATGAGGTTCATCAGGCAAAGGTACCAGGGTCGAGACCCGATTGGCCTAAAACTTTTATCTGGGTTTTTTCTTCAAAATTTGTGTTTATATAAACTATTTAATCAATTTACTCAACTGATAATCAAGCTTTTCATACTAAATCTATATTATTTTGTGTTTTTTATGTTCGGGCCCAGACCACACTTTATCCCAGGGACATCCCAGTAGTCCCATATGTCCTGAGAATGTCCTGAAGACTACCCTGGGATGACCTCGGATATGCTGTGAGCTTATCCGTAGGACATCCCCAGGCGGGGACATTACGCATTCCTGGGATATCCCAGGTGTACCATAGGACTACTATGGGATATCTTGCATATCCTGTCGCAATATCTGTGGGATGTCCTGAGGAGAAAGTGTGCTGTCTGGGATCTGATTCCACTATAAAAACTGTATCAAACCAATCAAATCAAAATTTCTTTTATTCCGTATAAAATAATTATTTTTACAGTTTTTACAAATAATGTATTACGAAGTATAACTGAATACCTTATACGTATACTAAATTAATCCCATATGGAAGAACCCGTGCGTGGGAGTGAGTCGTTTTATATTGCAGCGCCTAATAAGAAAGAATAAGAAACTTTGACTCTTATTAAAAAACAAAAAAAAAACTTCTAATTATACTGGCATGATTACAAAACGCTAGCGGAATTTTATTATAGCGGACAAGTATTGACTACCCTTGCCAAGTGCCGCTTTTATGCCTCTTGTGTTACAACGAGAGGTTGTAGAATGTTGCTGTAAGCGCAGCCCCAGGCAATTATCCCCCCCTCTCAAGTAGCGACTGTACATAAGCGAAATATGCATTTTTAATTTCATCTATTTCAAGAAAATGGTGCAGTTGGCGAAAAGAAAAAATCAGTTTTCTTTTAAACTTTTTGTTTAAATATGACACGTGATCTGCCCATTACAATTTAGAATCAAACACAACTCCAAGATATTTATAATAAATTTTGAGCTCGATTTATTACGGGAGGCACAACTATTTCCGATTTCATGGCCACATGAATGAATTTTTATTTCGTTGAGAAGTTTGTCACCTCGAGCTCTTAAGGAGATTGGAATAAATTTAGTTTTAGCATAGATAAAACATACTCCCTTGTGTTGGTTAGTCTATGGTTTTAGTGACATTGAGCGTGAACACATCCTGATCCAACCATTTTTTTTAAATTTTTGACTCGCCTCTTTCGGCATTGGCAAAAGCTGAGTCCCAAGTTCCGCATTGGAATAAAATTAAGGTGTCGTCAGCAAAAAGGTAAAAATCATCTTTAATATTTAATTTCACAAGATTGTTAATGTGTTGTGACGTCATTTGTGAGCCTATCGCTTTTGCTCAATGGCCTAAATAAACCATTGAATCATTTTGACGTGTGTGTGTAGTCACTTTGAAACCACTACAGTACCACCTTTACCACTCAAAACGAAACCGAACCTACGAAAACAAAACCACTTCCAAAACAAAAGAAAAAGAAAAAGAGGGAGCTCATCCGTTTGTTCTTCCGTTGGCATGGCAATGGCAGTGGTTTGGTTGGTTGCTGTTGTCAAATTTATTCGCTTTGTTTATTCATTTTGAGTTTAAAATTTATGTTACTGTAGGCCTATATTGAAATCCAATTTTGGATTACATAAAAACCACAATAATATGTAAACATGAATCATTAAATACTGCAATTTGTGTGATAAATTCAAATATAAATGCCTGAATAGTTTGTGATGTTAGAAAACAAGACTAGGCGTTGAAATAATTTTGGATCACAGTGTAACTTAGGCCTGTATTTCGACCTATTAAACTGTTTGAAGTGAACTTTGGCTGGTTAGTAACAGAGATAATGGACGGTAAGTCACACTATGGATATTTAGCTAACTTAGGCCTAAGTTATACACAGTCAGTTTTGGATATTAAATTAAGTGTAGGCTACCTAGGCTTGTGTGTTACTTTAAGTCTGTTTAACTTATCCATGGATACGTTTGTAGTTGTTAGTTGAGACATGTTGGTGTAAGGTGCGCCACAACCCAAATCTGTTAAGGAACGTCCACACTGGACAAACAATGTTCGCCAACATTTCCCTATTAAGATAACTTATCCAGTAAACGTTCGATGTTGGCTTGGTGTGGACACTTTAAGAAGTGTTTTAAGAGCGAGGGTGTGGGTAGCGTGTTGCCATTTTTGTTCAGCCTAAATGTTTGCTCTATAAGTGATCTTATATAACCAACTTAAGTTAGCCTAGCCCTAGCCTATAGGTATTAAACAAACTTCTTTTTTATTAAGTAGATAGCGAACTTCTAGGTCTAGGCCTGATTATGAAGTTAACTAGGCTAGCTTTGAGTGTGATGCTAACCTAAGTTAGTGGTTAGCGTCTCAGACTTTGGTACGAGAGGAACAGGTTCAATTTCCGGCACAAAACATTAATGGGTTTGGACCGCTTTTCTTTAAAAGGGTTTGAACTAGGCCTGATACATACTAATAACTTATACATACCTAAGTTACACAATTTAAAATGCCAAGCTGGTAAAAGCACGAGCAAAAAAAACTAAAAAACACTAAGTTTAAGTTAGGTCTATGAACTAGGCTAAGTTAACTTTAATGCAGTACCCATAAGTTGCATACTTCCGGAACAATATTTGATTTGTTTTCCTGGATATTTTTAACAATTAAATTATACATTTTAAAAATAAAAGTCCCCAATTCCTAAAATCCAAGGTTCAGGACCTATTAATGTTAACTTAGGTCTAGGCTATGTAGGGTACCGGTACCAGCAATTCAAAATCAGAGTTTAACATCCGTGTAAAGTTGGAGAACAGGCAACCAGATCAAATCCGCTCTGAAGTAAGCTACTGCCCACTAAGTTTTATATTCTTATTTCTTATCTATCTCTGCTACCACTGATGACTCCGTTGATTGCTGATAATATAATTGATAGAGAGGCCTAACTTAGGCCTACAGCAGAAACAACAGTACCGGTACAATCAAGTAAATCCCGACGCCTACGCACATAGGCTAGATCTTCACTAGCTAATGAAAACCGATACACTGAGTCTAAAAAGAACATCATAGTTCTGGCTAGTTCTCAGGCTTGTTCCCATAGTCCGATCAGGTGATAATGCTGGTTCGAAAACTTGTACGAATTAATCCAAGGGTATAGTTCCTAATAAGGTAATAAGGTAACCTACGATATAATGTCGGATTAAGATAATTATAACCTAAATATATGTTATATATATCGATTATGATTTGGTACGATATAAATATCACATTAAATTTATTTTTACCATATGATATAAAGCCAACCAAAACATTTTAAAGTTGTCAATTTCTTTTTTAAACTTAGTTTTTTTTATTTGGGCTGCACTTTAGTTAAAAAAACTTCATACATTTACTCACATACTGCAGTTTGGTTAAGGTTAGATTTAGTTTAAAACAGTTTCGTTTTATAATCAGCTGGTAGTTTATGTATAAGTAATGTATAATATTAAATGTTTAATGTAGGACGTAAACTAAAGTGCAACCTAAATTTGGATTAAAAATTGAAGAAGCTATCAATTTTCTAACCGTATGCTAATTATATTATAATAATTTTTTGTTAGCCTATTGTTTGTTTTGTTAAATTTCAAAAATATATTTTCTTTTTGGTTCCCTAGTCATTGATGACTGATCCCTAACAAAAAACAGCAAATGCCTCTGGTATATAGACACAATAAGATGAAATACGTAAGTTAAATATACAATGTCAATCAATTTTTTGTTTGTTTCAGGGGCTGCAACTTCTCATAAGCCTCAACAGTGGCAAAAAGCCGAAACAGACAGTGGTGCTGTGTACTATGTCGAGTAAGTTTAGATTGAAAACAATTCTCTTGAATTACATTTGATAAAATCATTTATAATCATCTTGTGTTTTTGTGCAGTTATTCTTGACTCAAAAGATTGTTTATAAAATGTATTCTTCACAAAAGTATTTACCTTTGAGACTCTTTAATACCTAATTTGAGTAAAAGAGATGGAATGTTATGGCATCTAAGTAGCCTACATAGGTAGGGCCTGATGCAAATATTTTTTTAATTTTAAAACCCAATTTTTATGCCATGCTCTCTTTATTTTGACAATCATTACTGTATTGTTGCAGTCATTCTGCTAAAAAAACTGCTTGGGACCATCCAAAGTTTAGAGTTGCAATGGAGATGATAGAGGAATGCAATAACATCAAGTACGCTGCCTATCGCACTGCTGCCAAACTAAACATTTTGCAAAAAACTTTAAGTCGTAAGTATAAACTTAGTTTACTACCTAGCCTATATTAAATTTATCAGATGGTCTATCCAGAAACAGTTTTCATTGTATGGTATAAAACTCTAATAAATTATTAGGTGTATTCTGTAGGCTAAGCTTTATGTGTTCCCTCTGAAATTAAATGAACGATTTATTGTTGTTAAAACTACAAAGTTCATGGTGATCGTCAAAAGAAGAAAAAAAACAATCAAGCTGGCTCTCTGGCATCTGATTCTTCATGTCACAAGCACATTTACATCCAACCTCTCTCTCTGTGTACAGTGGACCATGTACAGCTGACCACTATAGCAGGAGTGTTTCATCGCCACCACATTCAAGTCACTGAGAACTGTCTCACCCTAGAATATTCTGAGCTGGAGGCCATTCTAAACGACATTTTCTTTGCCGCCTCAAAAGAGAGTCCAAGACACCACTTCCAAGTTGATGTGTCTACTGAGCTGACACTCCACTTCTTGCTCAGTGTTTTTGACAGGTTGGTTCATTTTATCTTTGCAAACTGTTCATAAAATATTGGTTTGGTTCGTAAGTAATTTATTCGGCCAGATTTACATAAATGCATTGGCTAAGTCAGAAATTACATTATAATACAAGATGTCTTAAAAATACAATGTCTTATTATAAAATAACTTTTAAAATAAACAATGTTTAACAATTCATCTTGATGTAAACAAATTTGTAAAATTGGTTTAACCGTGGGAAATAAATAAATAAATTCATAAACAAAGTACACCATATGTCCATGAACCTACCAATGGCAATAAACTCGCGGACACGGTAGTAGCATTTAGACACCAGTAATTTTTGAAGTGATTTAAAAAAAATAACAGGTTTTGACTCAATTTTTAGATAGTTAGGCAATGTATTGAAAAGCACTATACCATTAAAATAAATGTGTTTTTTGAAAAAGGTTTTGAAAAACCCATCATGAATTAAAGAAACACACTCACTAATCATAATCAAAACAGCTGAAATGATTAAATGGCATTTGTCATTGGGCCACCAATTAATGATACCATCCTACACTATATCGTAACAAGACTAAGGTTTGGGTTTACAAAAGGAGTGCAAATACATAAATAGGCCTATATGTTGGCTGGGTTCATCATTTACCTTGGTATTGATTTTCACCTGTAGGCCTAATAAAAACAGAGACAGATACTAGATCATTAAGTAAGTATCCATTAAAAGCATGTCTTGAAGATTATAACCTAACAAATGTTCTAGTGTACTGCTTCGATGATAGCTTGGCTGTAACGAGGCTCAATTGTTAGCACTTGAGTTTCTCTCTGCGGCGTGATTATATTCAGAACCTATTTTGTACTGACAAACTTTATTCTTTATTTCCTGTATTGCAGACTGTTATTTACATTCTAAATCCTATAATGGTTCCTTCCCCAGACAAGAGCGGCATCGTGTGCAAGTCCTGAGTGCCAAGATAGCACTAGTGTGCTTGTGCGCAGCCAAACTGCAAGACAAGTACCAATATCTGTTCTCTCAGCTGGCCGACCACAACAACTGTCTGCCACGTCGCAAGTTGCGCAACATGTTGGACACAATGGTGTCCATCACAGACTACTTGTCAGAGTCATTGGCGTTCTCAGCCGACCTCATACCTGCCACTGTTGACTCCTGCTTCCAACAGGTACAGTACCGGTACACTTTCTGTATTTCTTGTCACAAGTTGTGCAACATGATTAGTAAATTGACACTGTTGTTGTCATTAGTTTGATAAGAACATATACCAAATAACTTAAAATTCCAGAATCTAACATATTTACTTGTTTTGATTTTTTTTTCATTATTTAAACTAATTTGTCAACAGTCTCATGGTCCTCTGGGAATCAGTGAAGATGTGTTTATGAACTGGCTAATGAGGGAACCACAACTTCTAGTATGGCTGTCTACTCTGTATCGGCTAAAAGCTGCGGAAAAAGGTACTAAATGGCTACTTCTAATTTGAAAATAGTTATTTGTGTAACTAGTGGGCAAAGTGGTTCTTTGCTGCACATGAGAGAAATGTTTACGCACAAGCCGTAGGCGAGTGTGCAGAGTTTCTCGAGTGCAGAAATGGCAGTTTGCACTCGCGTTACACATTGTATTTTTTTTACAGTTACTATAAAGCATAATTAGTATTTCAAACACTGTACAACATGTTTTTAGGTTAGGTTAAATCAATCCAAACATTGACCGAAATGGTGAACGCTGCACCAGCTGATCGTAGTCGTAATATCTTTAAGTGTTGCCAACTTATTTTTAAGTGTACATGTGTTACCTGCCTAATAAAAGCACGCTGTTTTGTGTTGTTTGGTTGAAATACTGGTGTATGGCATAAAAAAACTGTGCGGGAACCCGGCAAAAGTAAGTAGATGCAGCAATTAGTAACTTTCTGTGCTATAATCAGTGCTAGGAAGGCCACTTTGTCAGGTGACTGTATGGAAAAAAATCGCTGTTTTAAAAGAACAAGTGCAAACGTTTGAAAAAATCACAGTATGTTATTTGAGGGTTTTATTACAGACATTTTCTTTTTTCTCATTTTCTTTTTTCCACTTATTGATTGAGTCACTATTTCGTGCAGACTTGTCCGAGGTGTTCACCTACCTTCTATCTGTACTAATTATTGTTTTGTTTCAGGATTTTTTGTTTCTTGTTTTGACTAATATACTGTTCCTCTGTGTGGTTTCTTTTTAATTTTCAATCTTTGACTAGGTTTGTATAATAATCTTGTCACTTTTAAATTTCTGCAATAATGCCTGAAATAACATAAGCCAAAACGATTTTGTAACAAAGAACTAATACTTGGGTTTAATGGTTTTAGTGAGTCATGGAGTAAGATGTGGTGTGTGTCGCACGTATCCTATAGTAGGACTGAGGTACAGGTGTCTGAGGTGTCTAGGCTACGATCAATGTCAGTCATGCTTCTTCCATGGCAGGCTCAGCAAGAGACACAAACTCAAACACCCAATGCAGGAGTATTGTTGGGAGGTGGGTAATATTTTTTAGTTGTAAACTGTCCGATTACAAAGTGTAAAGTAACATAGTGCACTAGAGTCGTATGTTTTAAGAATTGTTGGGATAGACCACAACAAGAAACACAGAACCTAACACTAACTTATACACCTACAGAGTAGTGTATTTGTGACTCTTAGGCGTGCTCAAATTACACTCTATTTCCAGACATCAACAGGCCAAGCGACAGTGGCTTTCTTCAAGGCTATGGTTAACCGGCTGTGTGGAAATACTTCACGTCTTCAGTACCTTCCTGTGCAACCAGTTAGCGGCAGCAACGAGTAAGATTTTTACAATACTTAATAAATAATGCTACAAGACAACAGTTAAGCCTAGAATCAAAAACAAATTGCTTTGCAGAATCTACTGAATTGTATAAAGAAATGAAACTCTAAAGGAAACAAAGGGCCAATTTTGACAAAAATTTTGTTTACGTGTAAGAGCATGAATAATGCATTACTATTTTGATCTTACAAATGCAATCAAAGTGAGCAATTAATCGAACACGTTTGAATAAACGTAGGCTTACACGTTCGGATCATTCTTGCTCAAGTTATCGTGCATCAGGTTTTGAATGTCTTGTCAAGTTGTGTGACAGTGTGGACGCAATTATTTTACCTAAACTAGCCACAGTAAGTTTGGTCAACCCAAAATATAGAAAAAACACCATTATTAACATGTTAAATATCAATAAATTTACAGTTTCTTTGTTTCAGACCTATTCAATCTTCAAGTTTATTTTTATTTTTCATTATTCAGAACACTTTTTTAATATTTTAAAGCCGTAATCACAAAAAAAATTACAAAAACCCCACTTCTATAATTGTAATAAGATAAATAAGTGATACTTATTAATTAAGCTACAGGTGTCCGTTGACACTGTGACTTAGACATAAGGGGGTAGCAGGTTTGAGGGTTGACGAACTGTATAGTATGCAGCTCACAGAAACAATCAGAAAGAACAGACAATTGCACCTAAAAACAGATGCATACCTTCCAAGTACAGACTGAAGGAGGCAGCAAAAGGTTTTGTGTTATAATATATTGATATCTGGAGGAAAGAGGGTGTATTATTCTAAAGCGGCTTTTAAACGAGGAAAGTAGTGATGGCAAGTTGCACACTGCACGATGTTCTTGTCGGTCGCACTTGTTGTATACTCTTGTTTATAGACTTACCTTGGTAAGTGCAGCTAGCTGTGCCTACTTTTCCTGTCTATAAGCCGCTGTATTACATGACACCGAGTATACTGACTGAGTTGTCTGCAGATGCCTGGCCGGAGACAGCAGTGAGGAGAGTACCTTGGTGTCTTGCACAGACAGCTCCAGTCTCAGCTCGTCTGTGTCTCCTCGCCTCAATCCTCAACAGGAGCTCAACAGTATCATCAGTCAGCTGGAGAGGTAGATCAAGCAAGCCTTCCATTTCTTATCACTATTCCAGCCAGTTCCGACCCCTCTGGTGTAATAGGGAGGTCTCAGGTTAAAATCCCGCCAATCACTAATGGATTTTATTTAACCCTTTGAGTGCCAACGTCCGGGGAACCGGACGTTTTTAAAACGAGCCAAAAGTGCCGACGTCCGGCCGACCGGACGTTTTTAGAACGAGCCAAAAGTGCCAACGTCCGGCTGACCACACGTTTCGTAATGATCGAACAGTTGTCATAACAACCGAATGGATACTCGGATTCTTTTAACCCATATATTAACATTGAGTCGAAAGTTACTAGATGCGATACATCGATTTTCGTTGGTCGAAATATCGAAAATTCAATTTTTACGAAATTTTAACCTAAAAATCGCCAGATCGCGCTCGGCATTTTTAGCGCGACCTTTGGGAAAAATCATAGCATTTTTTGAGCGTTACTTTTATTTCTCGCCTGGCACTCTAAGGGTTAAGTGATAATGCCACAACCCTTAAGTCTTAACTTGAAGTAATGTGTAAAACGGGAACCTTTGTCCTTTGATGCCTGTGAGGCCAAATAAAAAGTTTTGATTCCTTTGTGAAAATTGGTCTTATCGTAGGGTAGTAGGTACAGTAGACTCTTGATAGTTCTAAATTGGGCCAAGCAAATCAATTTGAATTTTGAGTTTTGGTTTATCGAGTGTTTGAATTACCAAGAGTAGACTAGCTGATGTGAGGGTAACTGACACTCTAGCCAAGTATAAATAGTGTTCCATTTTAAGGACAGCCTTTGTAGCTTTGAAAGGTAGAATTTTTCATAGTAAAGGCTTCATTGAAGTGTGTTGTAATACTGATAAAGCTGTATTCACTTTATATACCTATCTTAGTTGTTTTCTAAAAGGGCTGAACCACAATGTTACGACACTATGACATAGTTTAAACCCTATGGATTGTTGTGATTCAAATCAAACAACCCCAGGCCTATAGGACAGCTTTTCATACTCCATCTACAAGACTAGCCTTGCTCAAAACTATTTATAAGTGAAAATGTGCAAGAATAAAAGATTATCAAAATAAAATAGTAAAAAAAAATATTTAAACAAGCTGTAGCGGTTGGCTACGTATTGATGATTGTTTGACTTCATTTATGTTGGAAACGATGACTGAAACCTTAAATTTGATCAGAGGACGTTTGATGAGCTTTGACCAATACTAATAAATGCATTTTATCTACAGGTCAGAAATACAATTATTTTTCAACAAATAGAATAATTACAGATCAAGTGACTGGACACAACGTGAAGTATTAATTGATCTAATACTGGAATTAAAATTCTGACACTAAAAATTACGTTAATAATGTTGATAGCTAAAAACTGCAATGAATAATTTGACTGGACGTATATTTACTTGAGATCTAACACCATATCTCACAAGGGGCCTTGCCCCTAAGGTAGGCCTTACCCCCAACTGTTACTAAAGTTTACAACATTTGAACATTTGTTCAAAATCTTATTTTCACCTCTCCTTTTGAGTTTTGGGTAAGAATCTTTCTTCACGCGCCCATCCCAATGTTTCTTGAAAAATTTGTGCTATTATGGAAAATATACAATATTAAATCAGTTCAGCATAATAGTTCGTAAAAATAAATAAGCTCTCAAGATCTCCATAGTTAGCGACATGAAGCTAATTTGTTTGTAACATTAGCCTATAATTACCCTGTATTACTTTTAGGCAGTCAAAGGAATTGTTTGATTCTACGCTTGGAGACGATGTTTCAGCCAGACTTCACCAACACAAGTTGTTCTTGGAAACTCAAATCCACAGATTGAAACAGTTGCAGGTGAGATAACGTCTTCATTAATTACTTTTTCCTTGCATTTTTAGGTGCATTCAGTTTTATGGATACATATAACAATTGTGAATCTTTGCTAGAACATGAATAATTTATAAAAAATTGACTTCCTATTAATTCATTCTGCATACTTATTCTAAATTCCTTTTGAAGAAGCTCCCTTATAGGGGTGAAATAAACTTGTGTAATGAGCTTTTTGTATGCTGTCAACTGTCTAAACATCTCTTCTTGGGTATTCATTCCTCCTCATTGTCATTCCTTCCTCTCTACCTAATGTATTCATCTTGATTCCAAGACTTACGAGTCAATTGTTAATACCCAAGTAGATATTCGACCTTACCAACTACAGGTAACTGCCACTACTTTTTGCAATCCTGTGCCTTTCCATATCTTCTTAGTGCGCCCAGGGGATCTTCTTCCACCACAGTTCCTTTCCACATTTGTTTTTCCGTAGTTTAATCTTTCCTTCTCATCACATGTTCAGTCCATCTTAAACTTTGCTACATCCAAATGTTTTTTGCTACATCCACCATACAAGTGCCTGAAACAAATTCCTTAGTTTCCATAATACTGTAAATCTAAAATTGTTTACATCCAAGTACTTGATTCTTCATCCTACATTTTCTTCAGTAGGTTCAAAGTTTTTGCTTGTTTTTTTCTTTTAGCGAATTTTCCATAAGCTATTACCGTAGGTCTCACGATAAGACCTAGACCCGGGACCGATTTACTTTTTCGTTTTGAGGTCCCCAGAGGCCAAAAACACCCTACGTTCAAATTTATATATGTGTCCGTTAGCGCGATAACTCAAGCAAATATGATCCGATTTTGATGAAATTTGGAACAAACATGTAAACCTATGTTTATAAGAACGAGTTCAAAACCAGGATGATCGGACTATGGGAACAAGGGTTTATGGTGGGTTTTATGGGTTAAAAATGAGTTTTTCCCATTTTTTACTCTATAAAAAAACATTAACACGACTTTCCTTTGAGACCGTTTTGTAGACCTTAAAATATACTACTTCATTAAAATTTAAGTTATTTAAATAGGAAATAAATCTGACAATTTTCAGGGAATATTTTAGTAGAAATCCAGCCAGTTAAATGGAAATTTGCTTAGTCTGCAGGTTTGCTGCTGCGGGGGCATTTGATATTACTCCATTCCTCTCAACATTGAAGAAACTCTTGCATAGTTAACCTTACTTTAATAGATTTTTTATTATTAAAAAAATGCAGGGAAAATTTTTGTTGCAGAGACATGTAGGCATAGCAAACAACATGAATAGTCTAGAGAGGATGCAGAGCACGCCTCTGGTGGCGACGTCTGTCCGTCACGAGTTCACGGGTCTCAGTCCCATCTACACAGAGCCGTGGATAGCCCAGGGTCCCAACTACATCAGCTGGGCTGGTGGGGATCAGCTGACAGCTCCGTTAGCTGTGGACTCGCCCATCACACCTCAGCAGACCAGCAGGTTAACTCAACTCACCAATAATGAATGTAGCTTAAGCTTTGTAGCGGGAGTTTTAGAGAAGCTCACACACTTTGTAAATCTTACGCATGCCTCATAGTGAGTATTTTCAGCAAAGGGTTTTAGTTGTAACTGTTTGCTGTATTTGGAACAACCTCCTTTCCTAAAATATTGTTCTTAGTTGTTTCCAGTTTGTGGCATTAAAAAAATTAGGCGCATTTAAGTGACCTAGGATCGTGTTGTAGTTGCTAACTTGTAAATCAGTTTTAATGGTTAAATTTTTTTTATTTGTTTTTGGCGGCAAAAATATTATTTTAATGAGCATTGTGCATAAAAAATGTATGTTTTGTACATATATTTTTATTTTGGTTTTAAATTAAAGCCCGTTATTTCCTGAACAAAATGACACCTTAATTATGGTCCTAAAGAAATTTCAAACCTTGATGTTTTGCCAAGATCATTTGATTATGTGTTCAGCCAGCTTATTTGACAAAATAGAGAAAGGAGTCGTTACGGACTATGATTTTCTTAGGTAAGCTGGCTCCCTACTTTTTCCAAAACTCAAGAAATTATCATCACAAATGAGCCAAAATAAAATCGTTCTCCCATCTTTCTTTCTTTCAAACAGCTAAGTTAGGAATGCATCACTGTAAACTACGCAGTTGACAGTGTTTCAATTAAGTATTAAAAAATACAGAATATGGAATGGTCACAGAGTAGAGCTGCAGAAAACTGTTCTGTATGATTTGATGTTAACTCACTGTTGTTTTTAGGTTTTCACAGTGGCTGGAAGGTACATTCAGGCCATCTAAGGCAACAACTCAGAAAGCAACCGATGAAGATCCCCCCATCAATGATCTACATTCTGATCTTGATAACATTCTGGACAAACTTCAGGAGATGCTGGCTTCTAATTTTTCTCTGACAGGTAAGGTGAAATATAAAATAAATAAATCTAAATCCATGCGATGAATTATGTCTGGAACCATCCTTAACTCCCTTATGCTGTAAACTCAATAGGCCTATTTGAATTTTTAGGATTCAAAATGTTTGGCCATTATATATAATATTTTAAATGTTTTAAAAATTAAAGTAAAATAGTACTCCAAAAGTAAATATATTACTAACCTACTACTAATAGGTAGTAGTAGTTTTTATCTTCCCAATAGGGAAGTAGCTATTTTGTAAGTTTTCTTAGTAGACAAATAATACCGTAATAGAAAATAACTAGTGTACATGTTGCTCGAATTCGAGCAATTACAAAGTATTACAGGAGTTATTTCAGATTGAATAACTGTCATATTTACAATGAGTTTAAAAGAGTCAACTCAAATATTACCGTTGTGTAACTCAGACCCTGTTTATCTTCGTTATTGATAAACCTAAAAGCATTCCAGACGGTTCTCTCCTCAAAATGCCTCGCTGTACAGGCAACACAGGTCATTAATAGAGGGCCAATTGAGAACGAAAAGTCGTTTTGGGGTAGTGTTAGGGCGCATTTATAACCAAATAGTTGAAGTTGCCCAGGTTCAGGTCCAGACTGTGATGAGTTAAGCCTATTACGCGCCACTGTTCTGTAGCTGCGGTCGTTATCACGATTGCGCCTCCTGTCTATATTTCGTTGTCCGAGACATTTAAAAGAAATAAACAACAAATAATAAACAAATTATAGCTACACAAAACAACGATAAATGCACAAACTTAAGTTACAATATGCTAACACAATCCATCATAGCGACACAAAACAACGATAAATACACAAATTTAAGATACAACCATACTAACACGATCCGTCTTGGGGGTTATGTTTACACAAACTCAAATAGTAAATAAATGTACTCAATGTGTTTCATTGAATTGAAAAGTAAATAACAGCAATAAAATTATACAGCTGATCAAAATGTAAACAATTATGTTCTTCATAAGGATAACATGGGAATTTTTAAAGCCACTGGGGCAGAGCCCAAGGGAATTTTTCAAAAATGTAAGGTCAGTTTGCAAATCTACGCGACACGCTCTTTCCAATGAGATTTCAATGGATAAAATCGGTTAGGAAATGGCGGAGGAGTTCAACCGACAAAGTTTCGTGTAGCGTATTAATTATATAGATAAGTACAAGGACCACACTGTATTTAATACAGATTAAGATGTCTAATTACACTTTCAGGTATTAAAGTGTTATTTATTTAATTGTTTGATTCATTACAGAGAATAAGAACAAAATGAATGCTCAGAATGGAACACATCACAATCAGCCTTCTGAGGGGTTGAATGCATCATGCACTTAAAGTGGATAAACTTTGTAACAAAGGGAATCAGGTTTATGTCATAAACCAAATCAGATACTTAACACTGCATTTAGCCAATTCAGTATTATGAATGTATGTTTTTCATAACACGAATCTCTAAGTTTTCATTTAATAATGTATTCATAGTGTTCAAACACTGAACTAATCAAATGAAAAGTGAAAAAGAGTACCACAGGCTCACAATTGAGTCCGTTTCTTAAAATGGTGCAAGTTTTGCCTACGGATCTGATACCATACCAAAGACAAATAAATACTTAGTTACTTGTATCCTAGGTGAACAGAAATGTATATACATATCAAACTGATATGTAACCAGCCTATTAATATTGTACGACTGTTTTGAATAATTTTTCAAATTATTTCAAACAGTTTTGTCTGATCAACATACAGACCACATGTGTGTTTGTCTGATAGTACATTTGTGACCAAGACATTCGATTTAGGCGAATAAACTGTTTAAACTGAATATTTATAATTGGGTGAGTGTACCAGTGAATGACCGTTTTGGATCTGCCTAAAACATCACAAAAGTATTAAAAAGTAGTTCTGGGACCTGATTTAAATGCACCGTGTCACTAGTTAAAAAAGAAAGTGTCAATCATTCTTTTGTAAAATACAAAATATATGTTCAAAGCAGTTTATCTTTCTTTAAGCATCTCACACAAACATGGTTGGTTGTAATTTGTCATGATTCTTAAATTATTGATTGAATCTGCAATGTATTACATGCAATTCAGTTAACCGGTTAAGGTACAATTCTAGACTCAATAGATCAATATCCTAACCAAAATTCTCTTAAACGCTGGTCAATTACCGGATCACAAATTTGGGTAGGCTCCTATATCCAGTAAATGGCCTTATCGGTCATTAACTATATTTGGATCAATTTTCTTTGGATCACTTTCTATGGATATGATTCCTAGGAAATAAAAAAAAACTCATCAGAAATCATGTGGATACAGACACTATAGGCCTAGCTAAGATTTAACTGTGGGTTCAATCTTACGTGAATTTACAAGATGAAAAGGGACCGGGTAAAAAGGAGTCACGAAAGGAATGAAAATCCTTATTTTTACTATGAACAGGTTATTAGGTGAAAATTAGGGGTTTAATATAGTTTTAAAATGTTATATAATATGCGGTCATTCACTTTTGCGATGATTTATGTGGGAAAATTTGTTTTCAGTTGTATTTTTAGGAAGTACAGGAGAATATGTTTACACTATTTCCTATGCTGTAGATTAATAGCCTAATTCCCCATGACGGATACAAGTGGAAACGGCCATTCACTGATGCTCTCACCCTATTTACATTATGAATTGAAATTAAATAACGTCTTCATCAGCATTGTACGTGTTATTAAATTTCAAAAAGTTTTCAAAAAGTAAATAAAAGAAACGTCGCATAACACTTAAAACATATATTTACGCTTATACTGTTACTCACAAGACGGTAAATATAGTACACAAAACCCTCTTATTATTCGCTCTTATTAAACTTATTATTCGCCTATTGAGTCTGATGATGATTGGAGTATCCAATCGAAATCGATCACCACTTACCATCTTTTGTGTATATTTACCGTCTTGTGAGTAACAGTATAAGCGTAAATATATGTTTAAAGTGTTATGAGACGTTTCTTTTATTTACTTTCCGTAAATTATGAAATTGCAATATACATATTTTTTTTTACGTAAAATAAATTTAGGAGTTAAGGATGTGTAAACGTAAAGCATTTATATGTGTTAACTTATTCTCCGTGATATTGTTCACTGAATTTTTTTCCTGGTGCAGCAGTTTTGTGCAAAGTATTATATCCATTTTAAGGATTTTTACATACACACTTTGTGATAAAATAGTTAAGTTAGAAATACATTATATTGATGTACTTGGTAGCTAGTTGGCGAGTATTATCAATTTTCACCCTAGATTTTTATATGTCTAGACATTTTTTGTCTTGCTTGGCTGGAATTTGTGTACATAATGACAAATTACTACTGCTCTACAGTAAAGCTGATACAATAAAGTGTCAATAGAAACTTGAAAAAAGCTCAACAATTTATTATGTAGGCCTATGAATCACATGTACTTGCCTACTGTTTAAAAATTGTCCCAGTTATAGCCTACACCTTAAAGAAAATATTTTTGATAATTAATGTTATAAAGGTAATATATCTGTGATATCTGGTTTTCAACAGTTCAGATAATTGTATAATCTAAGAAAAGCTAAGTGTAAATTGTGCCTTATTTTAAGAAACTTGTGAATATCATAATATTTAGTATTACAATCATTTCCGTCCATTCCATCTACTATAGACACTATTTGATAAGTTATTGTAGGCCTAGGTATAAAAATAATCATTTCTTCATATATATAATGCTCTAGCATTTGTTATGTTTATTCTTAAGTAATAAATTACAACATATAATTTTACAATCCATATAATTAAAAACTGTAGAACCAATCAATATGTATAATTTAAAATACTGATTACAATAACGTAATCCCAATTTTGCTCACTGTACATTCCACTTTAAAATGTTAAGCGAGTTAAAAATCATGTTTATATTTAACATTTATATATGTTTATATTTTTATAAATTTGTAACTTTTATAGCTTAAAAAATAAAGATGTTTTATCCACTAAGAAATGTTGCCTATATTTCCCTCCCATTTGTCAAAAGAATAGTAGGCCTAAATAGTGTACACATTTTTCTTAAAATTTTGAGTAATGGTACACGTCATCTGAGTAAAGTAATTTAAGCGAATTTTCCCATATGAAAGAAGTAATAACCTTAGGTGGGGTAGTAAGACTTAAACCTGAGACTAATTTACTTTCAGGGTTTGATGTTCCCAGTACCAAAAACATTATTTTTTGATCAAATTTCTACTAACAAGTAAAAAATATAGAGCTAAAAGTATGTCAACTATAAATAAGTAGCCTATAGGTAACTTACTTATTTATTGTCATTGAAAGTCTTTCGTAAGTCATTCATTGTTAAATTTTTTCCAACTAAACAAATTATCCCCCTGGCAAAAAAAAAAAAAAAAACAATAGATTTTTAAGGTGAATAAATACTCTTTTCAAAGACAAAATACTCTGATTTATTAACTAAAATACTGTTAAATTAAAACATTTTAATAATACTGTTATTTGTTCATTTTTGGCAAAGTTTACTTCTTAATAGGGTTTTCTAAATTAAATAGTAAAAATAGGACTGGTTAGTGATGGATGTAAACCTCCCCTACAAGGGTTTGGATAAGGGTAGATACCTTTACGAACTAATAGAATCATAAGGAAAGTGTGATGTGCGTGAAGTTGCGTAAAAGTCTGCAAGCTTAAAGATCTTCATCTTATACAACCTGAAATGAGACATATTTCTATGTTTACCCACAAAATCACAACAAAAGATGTTGAGGAGTCTTTTGGTCCAAAAATACCTCTAAATCTCACATGGCTGAATCCGAACCAAACATTTTTCTAAGGTCAGTAGTATATGCATATCGTCTTATGGAATGGTATTTTATCGAGTTCTGCTCGACAGCTGCGACGGTAAGACCATAAGAAGTGATCGATCAGGACTGAGTTGCAATGCAGATGCTTTCCTGAATCCTTAATCTGTTCGTCAACTTTGGTCTTGAGCCTCTCCACAGCTTCTATGGAGCATCCTCTGATTTCCACTTCTTCAACACTCCCGTTGGGCAAAAAATCACCTGCAGCAGAAATAGAAATACTGTTGTCACTAACAATTTGTCTAGCTTAAATTTAAGCATAGAATTAGAATAGAATATGCATTAAGGTACAATTTTATTTTTAACGAAATCAGAAAATATAAGAAAGTAATCTGTTCTTTAGTGACTACTGTAGTAGTAAAACAGAACTGTCATGATCTGAAGTCTCTGACCTGGGAAGGAACTTCAACACAGAACAAAACCAGTAAGCAAGCAAGGGAGAAAATAGTAGTAAAAAAAAAAAAAAAAATACTGTGGTCGAATCTAGATTGAGTCCTTAGACAGCATGGACTCTATATTTAATTGGATTTTGCCCTTAAAACTCCAACCATACATATTTTCTACTTACTCTAACAATCAAGTAAAAATTACTTAAAAAATTTCACTTAACACGTTCGCTACTGACAGGCGCATATATTTTTTGCACTTTCAGTAGCGCTTACTGGTAGGGCGATCTAAATAGACCGACACAAATATTGAATGTCACTGATAGACTGGAGGTAGTTAATTGATCAGTAGCTAAGACCGGAAATAAAATCCGGTTATAATCAATTGATATGCAATATTCTTGCTTCCAACACTTATTTCTATTAAATTGCTATTGTCTTCATCCATAATTTTACAAATTTTAAAAACGGCGCATATGTGAGCCGTCGGTCTACAGCAAACATGTGTAATGCAATTCTACTATGGATGGATATGTCCCATATTTGCGCCATCTCTAAAACCGACTAAAACACAACTCCACTGAGAAACTTGTGGTACAGCTATGATTTAAATAATCACGTGTGAGCAAATATTATAAATGGTGGCGGTCCCAGGAAGGGGTGGGAGGGATATATTCCCCCCTTGAAATGTTTTCTTTACCAACACATATACCATTAGCTTGAGCATACTTTAGAGTTCAAATATGTATAGAAATACGTTTTTAGGCTTTAAATTCCACAATTTTAATGGGGGGGGGGGGCCCGAGCGGCGCACATTTTGAACTGTGGCAAAGTCATTGTGGCTCATAGGTGGGACGGTTGGTCTATACTTATCAAATTGTTTATCATGTTGGTAGGGAGCGTGTTAAGAGCATTATGGGACTATTTGATCATTTTGCACATTCTTCGACATTATGTAACTTTGACAATAATAATACTCCTTAATTTAGTTTTTAACATTAACACGCCTTTTTCAAACATTGGTTTCTGGACATAATGAAATTTACTACACATAAAATTATGCTTTTTTCAAACATTTGTTTCTGGACATAATGAAATTTACTACACATAAAATTAAGTAACATGAAACCATAGACTAACCAACACAAGTAGACTTCCCATCCCATTGTAAATTTTGAGTCTCGTTTTTCAGGTCTAGTTCATGTCCGGTGACACTGGTCGCTAGTGTCGACAAAATGTTGTTTTCATTATTTTAGAGTTAATTTTATCATTTGTGCATTACTTTTTGGTTATATAACTAGAGGATGAGTTATTGTTTATGATTATATCGTTTTGTTTGCTTGAACGGGATTTTAAATGACTGAAATTAACAAGAAACAAATTGTAAACGTAAACAAAACATGACCTCTACAGTGCACCGGACAGAACTAACAATTAAATTGGCTTCAGCTGTTCCCTAAGGATGTGAAATATACTAAGGAAGGTATGTTTTATCTATGATGAAACTCATCAATAACCTTGCACTTAAAACAAAGAAATGCTTGTCTCTTGTTCAAATTCACAAAAAATATAAATTCATACAAAAAAGTAATAACCTTCATTCAATTTCTTGTTCAGTCCTTTACTGTATTCCAAAACTCCAAAATACACCAACACTTGAGGAACTCTGAAATTGATAAAAATATAAAGTCTGTTAAACATTTAAGCCATAACAAAATTAATAGTTTTATTAACAAAAACAACATTATAAGAGGATAAAAAAACCATCAATCATTTTAGCCTCTAGATTGCATATATATATGTATAATTAATTAATTATTGATAAGGTAAGATCGATAACAAAACTGTGTAGATACACAGGTAAAAACTTTGTACAACTTTTTGTCACATCATAAGACTAACTTTCAGCAAGATAAAATTTTTTTAAAGTATGATATACTTGATCATTTTATGTTTGAGAGTTTGTAGTTGAGAAATTTGTTTTGAGGAAATGCGGTAAAATGTAGTTGTGATGTGATTTGATGTAGACTGTTACTTTCAAAAATATTTGTTTATGAGCTTCGTCAACAGTAAATTATACAGCTTTTCCCAAAAAATTAAGATATTTCTAGGTAACATGATTTAGGACCCAGTTGGTTAATATCAAAGGTAATTATTGTTCTATATCAATTAGCTATGTTTTCTCACAAAATTACGTCATTAGATAGTAACAAGACCAAGGTTTGGATGGTAACCTAAAAAACAAAAGCCATAGCCTAAAATGAACCAAAATAAAGACTGGATGGTAATAATTTCCTTTGGTCTGAACAAACCTAATGCCATTGAAATTTCAGATACCTTTACACATCCATGCACAAAATATATTTGTGTAAAGCATATCTTTTGAGAGAAGAGGGATAATATTATCTACTTGGTCCCTAATGGATTTATTGTAGATATACCAAATAAGCTACTGATCCTTATTTCTTACCCAAACAAATTCTTAATCAGTTAAGCCTAAATAGCTTTACTGATGTGTCTGTAATTACCTGTAATCCGCAAACATGGTTAACGAGTCAATGTCGTTAAACACCCCAAGTCCCTTTCCTTCAAAGCACGACCACACGTCCCCGACAAGGATTTGAGCCCTCTTGTAAAATGAAACTGAAACAAATCGGTGATTTTGTTATGAATTCACTCTGAATTTCTACAGGAGGTAGAATGTTTATATTGCAGGATAAACATTTCCCAGGTATTCATAAATTTTAATTAAATAAAAATAATGCAACAATGAACATTTCTAATAGTGATTAGTACTTCACGTCAAATGTCGGTTCCGCCGGTTCTTGGCAAACCGAGAACCGATGGTGAAATTTCAGTATCAAAACCCGTCACTGGTAATGCCAGAAAATTACCTATAGTGCCGCAATCATGCAAGACAACGATGAAGTTTCTGTGACCGCGTGAGTCAATGATCGCGGAAGATGATTTTGCTGTGATCGATCGCAGAGGACAACGATGACGTTACTGCGATCCCAGGAGACGATGATGACGTCTACGTGGCCGTGAGAGATGTTCATGATTTTGCTGCGATCGCGGACGACTAAGACATTTCCGTGACCACAGTTCAAGATGATGTCTACACGGGCGCGGGATATGTTACTGATTTTGCCGCGATCGCGGGAGACGATGATGACGTCTACACGACCGTGAGTGAAGTTCATGAAAGAAATTGAGAAAGATATTTCGGATTTTGCGGTGATCTCAGAATACTACGATTATCACGATATTACTTTAGCTGGACTGATATATCAGGCTGGAACACCTCAATAGTACGTTAAATATGGTAGTTATTTGACGCAATAAGAAGGTTTAAACTTAGAATTTGGTTAATTTCATTGCTGCATGTATTTTTTTACTTGAAAAACACCCTAACCTACCTCAAAAATACTTAATAGAAAGACATAAACACATAAAGACAGGGGTTGGTGTAGTATAACCAATCTATTTAGAAAAGTTGGTTAAACTATTTAAAAAATGCTATTGGTATTGATAATTGTCTGTTTTAGTATTAGTATGACCAACCTATACTAATGTAAAGTAGGCCTACTGTAAAATTAAAATATGGATATTTTGTTTTAAAAATAAAAAAAAATAAGTAACCTATTCTAAAAATATAAAATGGTACCGAGAATCAATTTTGGCTAGGTACCAGTACCAACTTTGAAAAAGTGGGTACCGACCCATCACTAATTTCTAACTAGCCAATTTAAGTTTAAAACCCTTCTTAACACATTAAATAAATACCATATTAAAATGTAAATGAAGATATTACAAAAAAAACAATAGAATTCTTAATTATCTTTCTCAGTTACAGAAACATCATCTCATCACCGTCTTCTGCGATCATGGCAAAATCATTAACATATATCCCACGGGCGGGTGGACATTCGCGGTCACGGAAACGTTGTTGTGGTCAAGCGCGACCTCGGTAAATTGAAAAGTCCCGGTAAAAAGATTTTATGCATAATTCCCAGTAGAAGTACAAAAATCACGCATTATTCCCCGTTCTCCCGGTTATAACATGGTCAACTTCAAGCTGGCCAGCTCAGTGGATATAGTCACAGACAAAAAGAATTAAATATAGACCGACAGCCGTGCTGCGGTTAGCATAGGTTCTGGCGTCAACCACTGGGAGCGCCGTGTAGTTATGTATCGTGTACGCCGTGGCGTCCAGCGGTGGACGCCAGAACCGATGCTAACCTCAGCACAGCTGTCGGTCTATACTTAATTATTTTTTCTATGATATAGTGCTGCCCTAGCAATTAGTTAATTGCCAGTTCTTTTGTGGTATGACTTTGGGCCCAGCTGTTGTTTATCAATGAGGTTAATCATAGCATATACAAGGTCGCGACGAGACTAAAAAGTGGCAACACTGCAGTCTCCGCCTAACGAGACAGCTTTATAGCACTAATTCTTGGGGCATCTGCGCAATGCTAATGTTTACAGGTTTTATACTGTTATTACCAAGACAATAGGCTAGCAAGTGCAACAGTGGCCTTGTACTAGTGGAGGCTATGGCTAATGTATGTTCCTGACAAAAGTAACAGCTGATACTTAGTTCAGTTGCAAATCTACATGAGACCTCACATTCTACTCTACAGTCAACTTTAATTCACAAGCATTGTGTCCCACTCTTAATGTAAGAATGATAGTGAAGATTAGTTATTTTAGTCCTTTAGTCATTTCTTTAGCTCTTGATTGGCAGAATCTTACTTTTTCATGTAAAAAACATTTTTTGAAAGTCATAACCTATTCCTTACAATGTGCGGGTTTAATATTGCCTATTAAGTTGATGCCTTAAAGAAGTTCTGGTTTGGTTTTTGCTAAATGACTTTTGTCACAAATCCTGGGTGTAGGGTTAATAGAGAAGACAGTTGACTGATAAAAAAAAAACAGCCTACATAAACTTACCTCTTTCTCCATTATAATCAGCTTCGTCACGAAAACAAGGGAATTCAGTAACGATCAGCTTGAGAAGACTTTGTGCAGACCCTTCACATTGTTTCACACAGTTTACGAAGTTCCCTTAAAACAGAAAACTATAAGAGTGTAAAAAGACAAACACACTAAAAAAAGGTAACACACCTTAATACTGATCTTTATCTCAATCGGATTTCAGTAAAAAAAACATTGATTTAAAAAAGTTTAAACGTTTTAGCTGACATTCCTCAATCTACACTCTGTGGAGTCTAGCACTTGGGCAAAATAACAGTTGTGTGGACACAATTTTTTTGTAAATCCATAGGTCTAAGCCCTTGAACTCTAATTTTTCTCAGGTAAACTCCATCCCTTTAAATATTTTGTATTAAATGTATCTCATTAAAATGTTCTTAAAAACATGGACATCCTTCAAATGTAGGCTTACACGGTCAAAGTAAACTGTACAACTTGTCTTCGAGAGATGGCCAGATATTCTGGTTAATGAAACTAGCAAAGTACTAGCTGACAATTCGGATGTGTTTAAAGTTGAATTGTAACTTGTCCTGGATATTGATAGCAAGCACATGGAAATTTTCAGCAAAAATTTTTGTTAGTTCAACAAGCAATTCAACATTCAATGTGAACATCCATTATTTCAACTTTGTATTGATTTCCGCAGAGAGTTTTTACCTTTGTATTTGTCAAGCAGCTTCTTGCCCACTTCTTGAACACATTGAAGGCGTTCCTCCAGAAGCATCAGCTGTATACCATTGTCTCCTCGGAGAATGTGTTCCAGATCTTTCAAGGACCATTGAGAGTACACTTTTGGGTCTGTAGCATCTACTCCTGTCTTGGCAAAAACATTTTATTTAGTGTTTTCCCAAGTGAGAATTTAGTTGTGGCTAGTAAGTCATAATATACTGTGCCCTCATCCAATCCGTATCACAAGGTTTGTCTGGTCAAGTCTACCTCACTACTGCTTTTTATTTTTTACATTTGTAACAATCAATGACAACCATCCAGATAACTTCCTTAAACTAGAACAGGTTTTTTCACAATTTTGAATTTGTATTTGGAAAAAAACATTTGATAATGTTAGAATTGTATTGACACTGTTCAATGTTTAAATGAATAAAAGTTTCAACATTTAATATAGGCTAGAGGAAATAGTTTGGGTTTTATTTAATTGTTCTTAACATCTCTTGATTTCAGTTACGAAAAAACTTAGGTTTTCATAGTCATGATTTCAATCAGTGATGCTCGTCTGCAAAAACCCTTGAAAAATGAACTTATTATCACCAAATATAAAATTTCAATAAAGTAGATTGGTCTAGGTCTATAAAATAACTAATATGAGCGCATAAAGTAGGCAATGATGTAAAATCCCAACCACAGGATGAAACTATTTCAATATTCCACTAATAAACTCTAACGGAACTCACCTCTACGGCTCTGTTTACAGCAGCACAGAGTGCGAAGTAGCCTGTGTAAGTCTCCCCCTTCCACTGCACTTCCCAGTGAGCTCCGTTGTGGCTCCAGAAGCAGAAGTTTAGAGTGTCAACAAGCAGGATCCAATTGAGGGCAGCCTCGGTGGCTGCTGGGTGACACGGGTGAGATGAGAACCCACCCGGCGAGATCTTACCAGCCACCAGCTCTTCCAGTATCTGTAGTAATTGTAACTGTGCTAATATTGGAACAATTCGAGTAAATTCAGAATAAAAACATTGGCTACTTATCGAACTGGACAATCTATTTTCATGACAAAATTGTTAGGCCTATCAGCTTTTATATCAAAATGGAAGTAGCCTAATTACCTAGCCTACTAATTACAATTAAGCCACTGACAGAGAGTAAGGCCTAGGCTACTGATGTGAATTATTAATCTATGTCGAATATACCAACCAATACTCTTCGTCGGTCGCAACTATTTTATAACACGATCGGTCACACTAGGCTATATCTTTCATAAGAAAGAGCTTTCCAAAAAATTTTTTTTAGTACTTTTAGACATAGATTTTACCTCTAATTTTTATTTTACTTTATTTAACAACACAGACCTATGGATTTCATATCATCTAAGCGTTTCTCAATAAGTAAAAAAAGTTGTCAGACCATAAGTTTACGCATTTCTATACTGTATGGTATTCATTAGATATAGTGCGACTATGCCCATAGGCTATGTAAAATTTGATAGCGACCAGTGCCACTGCATTGAAAATTGAACTCGACGTTTTCTTTGCTGGGTAAAAACAGTTTTATTTATTTCTATATTTAATGGGGGAGCAAGCTGGTGTAGGGGTTATAGTGTGGGACTTCAGTCCCGGGTTCAAATCCCGCCAAGCCACCAAAGGATTTTATCTAGGCCTAAGTTATAATGCAGCAACCCCTAGGTCTAGGCCTAGTGTCTTTGGCCTCTGTGGACACAATAATGAAAAAGTATAGCAGTCCAGGGTCTAGGCCTTTGCCTTCCCGTAGCACCTAAGGTAATTAGTAGCTATACTTCCCGAAAGGGATAGTTCCTAAACACTAACCTTTTCTGACAGGTCTGAGATCTTGCTGTTGCAAATTTGGACATTTTTACTCAACTTAGATATGTACTTCCCAGATTCCCTTGGTGAGATTGCCATCTGAAAGAGTAAGAGTTAAAGAAGTGTAACTTAAAGCTTGTGCGGGAATATTAACCTGAAAACCTAATAGATCTTAGGTTTCGCTTTCCGTTCTGGTTCTACTAAACCCGGAAGTTTCTGGACACATGGAAGAAGATTCATTAGATCAGAAACAATCCGATTTCAATGAAATATTGTACAAATGTGCAAACATATGTTTAAACCATTTTGAAGGGCTTAAAACAAATTAATTTAGTATATTGAAGTGTTTTTTTTTACGGTTATCCGTAGTGGTGGTGATAGTGATGTGACGACACGAGTTGAGTTGGCGAGTCGAGTTGACTCTAGGAGGATTAAACATTAGTTGACTCGAGTCAAGACCCGAGTCGAGTCAACTCGAGTCATCTCCATCTCCACGAACTCGGAACGTAACGAGTCCGACTCGCAAAACTTAAACGCTATTGGCTCACAGCACAGCCTCAAAGCGAGACGCGAAGACCCGAAAGAAACCGAACTCATACGGAGAAAGCCGAACCTTTACGTTACGTTCTTATGTTTGTGTTTGTCTCGAACGGGTTAAAAAAATCTTTATATTTATTTCCAAACGAATAGCTATAGCATAGGCTAGTGGTAGCATAACCACGTACTGTTACTGCAAATAAGCTAAAACTGCTACAGTAAAATAAAGAAGTAGGGTTTGGCAGAGTAAGCCTTAAGTTATCCATTTTCAGGTACTGCAGACACGTGAACAAATGGCGGTTGCAAGAGTAAATACCAATTTATTTTTCTAGGCTAGGTTTAGTTTTAAGTTTTAACATGTCTACCTAAGGTTTCTAAAAATTATTTTTGGTTAGTCTTACGAGGGTAACTTAACTTGACTCTAAAGCAAGCCTAAGTCCCAGTTAAGACCTCCTTTTATTGTCTGACAGCCTTCTGAGGTCTGAAATGCCTGAGTAAACTGTTTTGGTGGGGTACGGGGATGACGTTACAGCTTTGATAGTTGCACGTAGCGTTGAGCTGGCTCAGCTAAAGCTATATAGAGTTATGCGTACCGGTACCATAAACGCATGGATGGCAGACCACCGTCTCTCATTCGCTTAGAGCAAAACCGAGATCGTGATTTTGACAACAAAAAATGGATCGACACCATTGTGCTGTTGAGGGTGGGGGCCATTGAGATCCAAACCCTTCATAGCCTAATGTCAAGTAGGCCTACCTTAGGGTCATGCGGGATAGAAAGCTGACCAACATAGAAAGCTGGATAGAAGTCTGGCTGGTGGGATCAGATCTGTACGGCTGACAAGGCCGCTAGGGTGGTTTCTTCTCCTATTCGGTTGATGGCCAATGTTGGAGGGCCTCTATCCAGTCGTAGAAGGCTGTTAATGTGTTCGGTCCAGTCCGTACTCTTGTACGTTGCGGAGGTGTGGGCAGACACTCTCAAAAAGGAGGTATATAGGATGCGGTTTGCCAAAATGCAATGTCAGACAGCATCTGCCTGCCAAACAGTGTCTGATCCCGCCGTCCTGGTGGTTGCTGGAGTCATCCCTGTCAAACTTTTGGCAGTGGAGAGGAAGGCAATTCATCAGCGCTGTGGGGCGGGCCAGGCACGAACAGAGGAACGCACAAGCACACCTACCAGCTGTGGCAGGAGAGCTGGGAACAGGAGACAAGGGGACGATGGACCAGGCGACTGATACAGCAAGTCCAACCTTGGGTTAACTTAATCGGCGGTGCGGAGAGGTGAGCTTCTACCTTACCCAATTTCTGACGGGTCACTGCTTTTCCCGATCGTACTTGGTCAGGATGGGCAAAGCTGTGTCACCCGATTGCATATACTGCCCAGTTATTCCTGATGACGAGGAACATACTTTTTTCCACTGCCAAACGCAATTTTCACGGGAAAATGGGCGTTTGCCTCAAGAGTTCCAAAGGAAAAATTGCTTTAAATAGCCTTATTTTGGTAGATAAGATACATTCATAAAACATTCAGATTCGTCCTAACATAAGTAAGTTATAAGTTCAGTATCAAATCAAATCAAATCAAACATAATTTGTTCCATGATAAACAAAAATTACAAAACAGTATTCTTAATAATAATGGAATTTCCCCACATAGGCGAAGCCTATGAGTAGGGCCTATTAACTTACCCTGTTAATTATTTTTCAGTGTTAAATCCTTTTTTCAACAAACTGGTAGGCCTATCTACTTCAGGGTCTCCAAACAAATTTTGAGAAAAGTAATTTTCTTAATTTGGCCCATATTGAACACTTTTTGTTACTTTGACACCGACCACACCGATAAATCGACTACCAAATATGACTTGAATATTAGTCTTAACTTTAAGACAAATTGAGTACAGTAACTACCTTTCAGGCATGACTTGAAAAACTGAAGTTGAACAACGTGGATGCTATAAAACTCCAACTTGTTTGAACACTGTATTTCATGATTACAGAAATACAGTATAATCAAAAGCTTTTAAAACTCAGATCAAAAGCTGCGATCTGAACAAGCTGCCTTTATTCAAAGGCCTTCAGAACTGCAGAGATTTAATATTAGCTAAGGCATCTACAATAGACACTCCTTTGCGGAAACATAATTGAAAAAAATTTTTTTTTGTTTACTTGTATTTACACAGGTACCTGAGGTTTAATTACTGCTTCTATTACTTTCCTAATTATTGGCACTAAAGAGACAGGGTGATAATTTTTCAACTGTGTCCTCTTTTTTAAACACAGGAATGACTAATGATTTTTTGTAAATTTGGATAAACACACTCCTTCAAACATGAGTCAATACAGATGGCAAGTGGCAAAGCGATGTCTTTAAGTTAACTTAAATGTTTTACAACATGACTAGGAAGACCATGCCCATCTTTGCTTCTTGATGACATAACATCAAGCACTATGAAGAAATCGTTGAAGTCTTCAGCTGAGTGGTTGGTGTCGAGCATCTTCTGCCCCTTTCCAGAACTTTCTTGACTATGGTCCATACTGCTCGGCATTTATTAGTTGAACTTTCAATAACGCCTGCATTTGCCTCCCGCTTGGCACTGTTAATGGCAGTCTTCTGTTCTTTGTACGCATTGTATGACGCTTGAATAGGCATGTTCATGTATGGTAGGCCTAGACCATTTCCTTTAGTTGCCGGAGCTCTAGGGTGCCCCACGTGACTCCGCTGGTGTGTAGCTTGGGCTTGTGTTGATATGTCTTTCTTGTTACAATAGTATACTGACAGGACAGGTAAATTTTAAAATGTCAGTAGCCTAAGCTTAGTGAAAAACATGTGATTAAATCTCTTTTCAGCTGGTATGTTAGTAGGTCTAGGACTAAGTAAATGCTGCCAATCCACATTTCCAAGAAGATACCTGAAGTTGTCAAAGCATTTAGTTGAATGGTCCCTACGCACAACCTTGTTACCTTATTACCAAAGCTGCGTTGTTGACCAACATAGCTGGATAAACTGTGTCAATTTTGAAATGGAAATAGAAACTTATATTTAGCTTACAACAAATAAAATAAGACTTGTATCTTTTAAGGAATTAAATTAAAAAGATTTCAAAATAAAACTTGGCGGGTGACTAAGGAGGTGATATGCACTCTACTAATTAGTCATCAAAATACTCTTTAACGGAGTGGTAAACTCTTTGAAGAAGCCTATCTTGTACAACCCTGGCCAACGTTTTCCCCTGAAGACTACCGATCTCTGGGGGAGCTTGTTACAACTTCCAAGAAAAAGCAAGAACGGCGCTGTGTTCCCGTGAGGCTAGGAATGTCAATTTTGCTTCTGCTACGTGTATTGTAGCTATGAAAACCAAATCGGGAGGCTGGTGTTTGTGGTCAGTTTCTAAAATCAGCCTTAACTCAAGGCCATCGTGATCAGAAATTTCAGGATATAAACAAAATATACATACCATAAATCAGATGAGACATTTGTAAAAATATTGTCCAAACAGGCATCCTGTCTAGTTGGCTGGTAGCTTAGATTGGGGTAGTTAAACTATCTGAGTTGAGTATATTTAGCAATCTATTTAGGGCTACACTTGACTGATTCCAAGTACCGTCAAATTTGGAATGAAAACCACCCCCGATCACAATATGAATCTTCATCCTACTTAGATGTAACCATTGACTATATATACCTACTTACAGTAGGTATAGTCAATGATATAACTTAGTAATAAAAGCTCCAGGTTATTCAAAAACAAATGTTTATCTTGTTTCATCTTCCATGTTTTGTCATCTTGGGAGAGTGGTAAATGCGTACAATAACAAATTTGTCTACAATCACAGCACATATTCAAAGTTAATTTCACTAATGAGTCAGTCAAGGTCTAAAATATTATAGTGGTATAGGGTCCCTGTTCATTTACGAAGATTCCCAAACCACCCCTAGCATGTAGGCTACGGCAAAACAATGACTTAGCACAAGAATCTTCAACATTTACATATCACAGTGCCCACATAAACACAGTAGGCTACATCATAATTATTTTCTCTGGCATAAAGGCTTAGAGTGTTTACCTTTGAATGTAGGCCTAATCCTTGTACATTGAAATACAGAATTCTTAGATTCCGTTTATCGACTGGGATAAGACCCTGTTTGTGACTTTTTTTATGAATTAGTTAAGTTAATTGTTAAGTTTTATCAGAAGAAACTATTTAAAAGTTCTAGACCTGATCTCTTTAACTGCACTTTCCTAATCATTAACCCTCCAAGTGTCCATAGTAATGGTATTAATGTCCGCCCATTTATTGCGCAATTGCAGGGTTTTATTAAAATGTATCTTAGAAACTTAAAAACAATGTAAAGTATACCGTTTTATATCATTTTGTTTGGGAAATTATGGGCTTCAATGTAAAAATTTTCAACAATTTTTGTGGGTTAACATTTTTCAAAAATTATAAAAAGGATTACAAAAATATAATAAATTAATAATATAAGGAAGTAAATTTGCAAATAAATAAGTTATGGGTGAAAAACAGATTTCGTACATTTAGCGTTAGCTAAGAATGCATAACCTAACCATAGCAAGGAATCTGGCCGATAATTTACATCAATATCACTACTTCTTCAGGATCATGAACCAGCCCTTTAAAATCACTTAAATCTTCTTATAATGCACAACGTATATCACTACTTTTTATTTTTAACAGTAAAACAATGATAGGCTAAACGTAATAAAACACATCAGTCATTGGCACGAGGTTAACCAAGTTGTTTACAAATACGCACGTCAGCTGTCTGCAACATTATTTTTGGAACTAAAATGAAAAGCGTCTAGAAACAGACATCAGGAGAAAGCTTAGAATCTGCCGAAAACAACGATACCAATCTTGATCCAGTTCAATCTGATTCAGTCAGTCCCAGAGCCTTCGCCGTAAACGATGTCTGTGTGTCGCAAAAGCGACGCTTAACACTCGGAGGGTTAAACTCAATCTTATATCACTTTTGTTTTTGTTTTAGACCCATTTCATTCTGCTGATCCAACCCAGTGAAGACAGCTTCAGCAGGTCATTTAGTGACTTTGAAACAATCGATGAACTCATGGAAGGTTAGTGAGAATTGAAACCATCTAATATGGATACTGTAGTTAGGATGTCATCCAACCGGAACACTGAGCATCGCACATACCAATCAAAATACTTAAACTTTATTCATATTGCACATTATGTACAGAATGGTGTCAGTTATTGTTATAACTAACCCAACCTATATACAACCTAAGACTACTTTACAAATGATACTGTTATTATCAATATATAAGTTAGGCCTACTAGGATTGATTTCATAGCAATGAAAGCCAGTTGAGCGGAGCGACCACGTTTCATGGTTTTTAATAAAAGCAATAAAAAGTAAAACTGTGTTTTGATATAATACAACTATTTTATCAATTTAAGTTATCAGTTTGTCTTAGAACTATCAACATTTATAACACGTTTCATAAGCAAAGATGTGGACATTACACACTTATCCTTTGTACCTGTATTTTTTCTAAGTTTGCATGCTAATGTCATCTAGTGAACCCACAGTTCTGGGTGAACCAGAACAATTGATATTTTCTCAATCTTGGCCAGATTTGGCAATTCAGGCAGATATAATCCTGCATGGGTTCATAATTAGCACTTCTAATTTTTTAAAGACTTGTCTGCTTTGAGAGAGTTTCACTAATAGTTTTTAACATTCCTTATTTAAGGTCTGTTTTCTAAAATTTTGTACATTTAACATAATATGAAAAGCATTTTTTTTAAGCACGTGTTGCATTCAATTGTCTCAAAACATTTCCAGAAGTAGTTGTTCGTGTGTTTAAGGCGTTTAATTCTAGTCTTTATTTTCTACAAATATCAGACAGATTTTGAGAATGCATTCTAACATTTTCCTTAAAAGGTATTTTCTTCTAAAACAAAAACGCAAAAAACTACTTTAGCCTAATGCTTATGGGGAAGCTCATATTAGGACTGATGATGGCGATTTAATTTCGCCGAAATGCATCTCCTGTAATTGGATACATTAGGATCGACCGGCGGACACAGGTAGTTTAAGATTTTATTGATTGTCATACCGATCCGGAACAACAACAAACAACATAAAATGAAGTTATGTATAACAGTTTGGCCAGCATATCTGAAAATATGCAAACCAACTGCTGTTCTTTATATAAGAAGGTTTCAACTGAATACTATAAGATCCCCGTGCGTAGAACGGGTAGACAGCTAGTTATTAAAATATTTACTGTCACAGGCCTCTGTTATACAGTTCTTATTTTAATACAAGTATTTGATTAATATTTTGGTAGGCCTATGCTATAGTTTATATTGTTTTATTTTACAGGAATCACGGATATTTATGATGACTACATCAAAAAGGCCTTTCCCAGTAAAAGCAATATTACGTATGACCTACTTTCAATCCTGAAGTTTGTCAAAGGCCTGCGAGATATTTCATGTCTAGAGTGAGTACCGTATTTTTATAACTACTAGAGTTGAACCAAGTTTTAAAGATATACCAGTACTTGTAAACATTGATAACTCTAAAACATTTTTCACATTAAGTACGTCCTATTTTAGCTTAATTAACCTACTTCAACAGGAGTAGGTACATTCTAAATTTATGTACTAGTAATTCTTGCATTGATAAGTACCAAAACATGATAGTGGTGAGGTTATGTTTAGGATACAAATGTCACACTCTCTATTTGGAGACAGGTGTAAATCACCTCTTACTAACACATTTCTTAGCATCAAGCAATTCACCCCCGACAATGAAGATTAAAAGATATCTAAACATAACAGGTCATGTTTAGGGTCATGCACAGGTCATGCACCAAAACAAGAGTTTGACTAGTTCTTAGTCTATATTTCATCGCGGAACAAGCTTGTGTGGTGGTACAGCATCTGCGTTTTGGTCTCCAAGGTCCCAGGTTTAAATCCCGTCAATCACCAATGGATATTGTCCAAGTGATGTTGGCGCAGCCATGCAAGCCTCTTGTGAAGTAATGTGCACCAGCTAGAGCTCATCCTTGGAGGTGAAAGTGGGACAAAAAAACCTAATAAAATATTTAGTGATTAGTTTTGCTTACATTGAATGTTGTCAAAGCTTACTATAAGTCAAATTATTAATATAAATAATTTACATTTGAAAAAACACAATTCATGTACAATGCATAACCAACATAAAAAATCAAACTAAAACCCTAAGGCATTTCACCTAAAGCATTTCATAACAACATTACAGTACTTGAAGAAATATCAGATATGAAAATAATTTAATCTGGTATGACTAAAGATTTTAACAAGTATGACAAAGATAATAATGCAGTTTAACAATTACATCCAAAAACGATGAGCTGTTCACTCACCTTGAGGTCTTTGATGACTGCTAGATAGCCATGCTCTCATACCGAGTGTTGCCATCCTTAAGGACGACAAGCCTTAGAGACAAAGTCCTGAATCTCAGGGATGGTATTTGTCATGGCTTCTCCCTGACCTTAGCAGTCAAGTGTCTGTCAAGGTTTGGATCCCCAACAAAATTCTAGGGCTCCATTGTCCCCTAGAGCCGCCTCGCTTTTTGCGGCAAAAGTAGTCCAATTGTCAGAATCCCCAGCTCTAGGTGAACTTCCCCCTTATTGGTACACCTGAAGGACTTAAAGATGTCATTAGACTCCTCTAATCTGGCCTTGGTTTGCTCAACCTAGACTTCAGCAAAATATAATAGTTTAATATATAATATATAAAGGGGGGGGGGGGGGTAATTCCCTAAAGTTTTCCTTGGTCTGAATTACCTCAGTCCTGGACATTGTTCTCCTTGTTTTTTAGGAACCTGGGATGCCATCTTCTGTGCCAGAGGAGGGCCAGCTTCTTTTTGACCTTTTGTCACTGTAGCTTTGTTTATGGTAGCCTCTGCCTGCCTCAGTTTCCTCTTTTCCTCCCTGGCGAGTCCCTTTTCTTAGTTAGTCCTGGATTAATGCCTATTATAAATACAATTATTTTGCTCAATGATATGTAAGGTTTAATAGCTTAGTAAATTAAAGTAAGGGTTATTTAGGCAATTAACAGTTGGTAAGGGTCCATTCCATATATTAAGAAATCAAAAATTAAAGTGACAGTTAAAATTTAATTTTAATTTCTACAAAACTGAGTTAGAATCATTCACCCAGACCCCATTAGATTAAAGTATATGAACAGTATGATTTATTTAAACGATGATTTACGAATGGCTTCTAATTATTTGATTTGTTTTTTAGGTACAAGCAGATACAAAACATGTACATCCCACACAGTAAAGAGTGGGTTGCCCAGGAACTATATAAGTACCTGGCCAAAAAACATGCAGAAGAAAACCGATTTAATGCGTAATGACGACATCTAAAAAAAGACATGGTGCTAATTTGATCCAAGATATTTGCGTTAATTCAAAAAGACTATTTTAGTTGTCTTACACAATATTTTTGTTATTCCTTTAAGAACAATGTGAGACATGTGATTCATTAACTGTGTTGAATGTCAAATTAGAAAGAATCATCAGCTACTGTATGTACATATTTTTACCACAGGACAACAATTTGATCATTGAGTTTCTGTGTCACTTGTCCTTGATTTCGAGCAGAATGTAGATATAGTGTTTTCCATTGATATTGTTGAAGTAGATATCCCATTAGGACCAACTGTAGCCAGTAGTTAATATTGACAGTAAACAATTAAACTATTAGACCATCAGAGTGTGCTATTACTGAAGGAATATTAAAATTTTCACCTTTAATTTTTTATGATGGAGTAAGACGTTAAAAGGTTTCATCAGTAACCACTTCAGTATGGCAAAAAGTTGAACATTCATCACTCGGTACAGGAAGAAGCTTATTCTGATGAAAACTGATGTCAAGGGAAAAAATTTGGGCAAGGAAAAACCTATCAGCTAATTTCCCTTGCTCTTAATCGGCTTTCCTTTTGGCCACTATGTGCGCTAGTGTTTCTTTACTGTACTATTAACTTTAATGGTTTTAATACATTTGGATTGTTTAAACATGTAATTTTTACATGTTATTTAGGTTTTGTATAACCCAATTGCTTTTATTTTTATTTGTTAGTATAAAAATCTGTTAGTCTCAAGAAATTGTTAGTCTCAAGAAATCTGTTAGTAAAGATATATAATAGTTTTTATCAAATTACTGAAAGTTACTACAAGAAAACTAACAACGCAAACTATAGGGTAATTTTTAATGTACATAATAAAATTATAAAATTACATTTTATAATACCAATCAAGATTTAAAATTATTTTCCTTGTACCCCCAATGTTGTTTAGTTGTTACAGTAGAACCTCTATAGTTCGACAATTTGTGGACTTAAGGGGTGTCGAATTATTGATATGTCTAACTATAAGGAGTAAATGGAGTTTAATATACAGGAAAGTAAAAACACAAGTTTTAGGCCTAAATAGAAATCACCCAAATTTATTAAATACTAAACCACTTAACAATTTCTCTGTTCATTAGTCTCAAGTCAACAATAAATGACAAATTAATGTTCAAGTCAGCTTACTATACAATAGTAACCATTAAATATCACTTGACAAAACAGCTCAGCCCGTGTCGAACTACAAGGAGTGTCAAACTATCGAAGGTTTACTGTATCGCGTTTATCAATAAGTACAAACTAACATAATTGCTTTGTATAATGTGATTAGAAGTAACTATAGTTCGGCCGCTTAGAAAGCGACCTCCTCTAGCATTGGTTTAGCATTAGCACGCAGGTCGTTTTCTATGCGGCCGAACTATGCTAGAGTTTCAACATGGCTGTTTTCTGTAAATCTCAAACTACCTCTAACACTAATTAGTAGAACTCTAAATAAATCTCTCAAGAAATAATAGGCACATTGAAGTGCCTCTCTTTAATATTTTAGTGGCGTTGTTTATCTTTCACTTTTCCTTTTACATTCTTTCTAATTTGTATTAGATGCCTTGCACAACTATTTTTTCATTTAATAAATCTCCCATCAATAATTCACATAGTTTAATTAATATTCTGGCCAAATATATCAAAATCATTAAAATGGAATGTTATTTCAGTTTAACTATACTTCTATAGGCCTACTGTTAAATCATACAAATCTGACGGTGTCTTATCGTGTGTGTGTTTTGTTTGAGTAAATCACATAAAAACAATTAAATTGACTAGGCTTTTATTTTACAACAACAAAGCTACCTAAGGAATATCTTAGAACTGTTCCTGCTGTGATACTGTCCAACGGATCTGCCCCATTGGCTTTCAAAATTCTGAGGTTAGGCTTTTAAAAGTCAATATTGATTGGTCTCCATGGCTTTAAGAGAAATCTCATCATGTTTACTTTATTATTTCAATGTAGAATAAATATTACACATTCGTCAAAGGTACTAGAAACAGCTCACAAAAAAACCGTCAATAATCACTATAAAAGCAGGATTACTCCTAAGGCATTCCTTTGGATGGAGCTTCCTTATTGAAAAGTAAGCCTAGTAAGTTTAGTTGTTTTTATGTGAATCAGTAACAGACACTCAGCTAAATACACAATACATGAATAACCATTAACATCTAGAAATAAAAATAAACAAAAGTAATTATTAACAAAGTTATAATAATAAAAAACTGGATAATACCACAGAAAAGTAAGATACAGAGGAAACATTCAATGGTACACTAAGTGGTGAATTGCACCAGGCGCTGGTTTCTATAGTAAGGCAAATTCTATTGTCGTCCCCTTCCGCTCTCCTTTTCCCCACGCCATCACATACAGTGCTCACACTGACCATGAGACCATGTGTGCTACAACTACTGTAAAAAAATGCTATCTAGCCATCGCCATTTGCGCTCAACAACGTACATTTCCGCCCCACCAGACCAGAGCTAAAGGCGCACGGTTGTCCCATAAGCTTGTATCCTCCGCATCTTTTACTTCTCTGTGATAATACTGAGCAAGCAATCTGTATAATTGCAAGGTTTCTGTACTTTAATACTTGTAATGAAATGGCAACCATACAAAATGGCATTTAAGCTAAGAATGAATGGAGATGACTAACACAGGCTTTTCATACTATATCTAAATAGTATCAGCCATAAATATTTATATACATTTTAGAAGATCTGAAATAACCATGGGAGTAGTCACTTTTTAATCGCTTCATAACAATGATTAAATGATTTTTTACAAACCCCTGTATTTGATTCATTTAATACAGCAATGATTAGATTTCAGTTTTTAATTTTGATTAGGGAATATGCTAACCAGTATATCACTATTAATTTAGTTTTCACAACCTGAATTACCTATTAGACTGAATGAAAATTTTAAAATAGAAGTAGTTGAATAAAAGATATAATATCATTTTCAACAAGGTTTATTAAAAAAAGTTTATTTGAATAAAAACGATTTTCAAAACGGGTTTTATTCTAAATTTGAAAGCTTCGACTTCCAAATCTTCGAAATCTAAAATGTCTGTATGCACAATTTATGAAGAATTATGCATAACTTTCTCTCAAACTCTGAAACTTTACTTTAGTTCTACTTTTAAGTTCTTCATCTTGGAAATCTTTTCTTAAAATAGATTTTCCAGTTCCGTCATCTGCTATGTTCTCCCTCACTCTCATTTCCTGGTTCTTCACATTTTCCAAAAGAGTACGGTTGTTTACAGCGTCATCTGTCAACTTTTCAAGTAAATTTTGAATGAAATTCTCAACACTATTTTTCATTTCTGAATATACTTTGCTGTCTCTGGGGACGTAGGAAGGTGTATGAGACAAAATTGTGTTCAATAACTCATCAACAATTTGTTCTGCACTTGTAGACTTTTTAAGTGCAACTGATCTCAAAAGCCACCTTAAAATGTCAGAAACAGCTGTTTCTGCATCTGAGATTGCTGATTCAATTGAAGTTTCACTATCGGAGTGTGTTATCTTATTCAGCACTGTATTTAATATACTCATAACGTCAATGTAGGATTCACCAAGAGTAACTAAATTGAGACAATGTTCCACTATTTGTTGGGCAAACTCTCTGATTAGCTGTCGGTCTTCCTCCTCCGAAGGGATATCATCAGGAACAGGAACTGGTGGTGGATCAAAAGGAATATCAACTACTTTCACCACCAGTTCTTCTCTGTGCTTGTTCAAGTGATGGACATAATTAGACAAAAACTCCTTTGGAGACGGAGGTCGATGCTTAAACAGAGCTGCATAGATCAGCTTCATCATTATACCAATCTGGGGAAAGAATGAGCAAAACAAAAAGTATTAATATTCAATCATTTAGAAGATTCATATGGATTCAATTTCAACACAAACTGTTAAATAATAAACAGTACTTAAAAGTTACCGGTATTTAACAACTAGGGAGATAAAAATCTACTTATAATGGTTTGAGGTCACATTGATTTAATTTGGCTGTACTGTTTATTCATTTGGGTACAAACTAGGCAAAACTGTAGACCATTGAACATTGATATAGCTAGCTAATAATACTTACAAATTTACACATTGAAACTAGAGCGAGCTTCTTACTTAAAATGTTAAGCTTTATTCATAAACATCTTCCTCATGAATCAAAATTGTAGGACAGATAAAAATGTGTGATTAAGTTATCTTTACAACCTGCATTGAAAAATTACTACCAAACCTAGGTAGAGTATTGTCACTAACTGTATTAAGGAAAAAATAAGTTAGGTACAACAAATAAAACGAAAACAACATCTTATCTTATAGGTATTATTCTGAACTATCCCAAATAATAATAGATCAACCAAACCTCTGGGTGACTTTTCAAATAAGCATCATTCCCGGTTTTCACTTGCAATTTAAGAACGTCCAGTTGGGATTGCTGATCGAGAGTAAGGTCAGCGTTTTTGTTGTAACGTTTTTGCAAAACGCCTGAACCAAGGTCTTGGATCAAACTGTTGAAGACTCTGTTATAAGAGACTGGTGTTTCCTCTTGTTTGATCTCTTCCCAGCGTAGTCTCAGCATTGCGTCGTGGATGTAATGCCATCTGTAGCCGCGGCTAGCTAGTATGCCTAGAACAGGGATGCTTGATTTTACAAATTTCCGATCTTCTACCATCTTTTCAGGAACCTCCAGCCATTGTATCTTACTGTTGTCTCTTCGACTGTCTGCTCGCTCACTTGGGCTTCTTTGGTTGAGAATACTTTTTTTGTAAGTCATCCTATGTTCTTTCAAGTCTGTTTCGCTTATGTCTTCCATTATTGTAGAGATATCCATGGTTGTTCGATTTGGTTTTCTTTATCGTATAACTTTGTTGACGTCAATAATTTCACGGATTAGGAAATTTTATTATTGTGGGTTTAGAAATTTAACACTTTTGTGGTGCTTGATACCACTATTTAAATTGAGAACCTTGTAAACACTACAAGGATAAATTCAATAGTAACTGGTATCATCTACACAAATAAAAAGAAAAGAAAACTATTTTATAGGTACATATCCATCCATGTCTAAATTTATGAGACAAAGGATATACTAACTATTTCAAGCTAATCTTTGATTTTTGCCAATTTGTAAAATAAATAACAATAATATTATTTGTCAATAAATCCTTATTCTTTACAAAAAATCTTTTATTGTTACTGATCTAACAGCTGGAGTTTTAGAGAAAAACTTAAATATTTTGAAACTGTTTCTCAGTGTAAATGTCACATAGTATTTCCATGGGATTTATGAATCAGTAGAGGAATATTATTTTTGGATGACCATTATTCAAACAAGTACAATAAAGAGATCTTGATCCCTGGGATCTATTTTCTTTTTCGCTTTGATGTCCCCAGGTAAAAAATACCATACATTCAAATTCATCTGTTTTTGATGAAATTTGATAGAAATGTGTAAACAAACATACCAGAGTTTGCGAACCAGCATGATTGGACTATGGTAACAGGGTTGTATAGGTGGTTTTATGGGAGTTAAATAGGGGTTTCCCATTTTTGATCCTCAAAACATAAAATTTTAATTTTGCAAATTTTTCTCAACCACTTTGTAGAGCTTAAAAAAAATTTAGTACACTGAAGCATTGATGTATATCATTGTTGTAGTCAATAGTTACAAAAAAAAACTGAAAATTTAAAATTTCCATGTTATTCTTATAATTAATACATGAATTGTTTTAATTTGCTTGTTTATGAAAATAGTTTGTAATATGACAAATTTCTTTATTTCACACAAAGTTTTTAACATTTCTTTCTAAAAACACACCTTATTACCTTCCCTATTCCTGCAAACCTAAGTACAGTAGAACCCCTCATATTCGGCCTTGGTTTTACCGGTCCTCTGTTTATCCGGCCCCTTCCAGGAAGCCAATATCAAAATTTTTTTCTCACAGCTTACAGACGTTTAGATGCAAGCACTAGTCTTTGTGACTGATGAAGTCATAAAATAAATTGTTCTCATTATTTATCTGTTTGTTTATACATTTTTTTGCTGAGTCACTATACTCAGTTGAGCTAGGAGGCCTAACCTCTTATCAGTTGGTTGATTATTTCCAAAGTGGGGTTAGTACAGTACAGTACGAGTACATTAATTTTTGTATTTCGTAAAATGGTTAAGAATGTTGAGTAGAAATGCATGTACCATTTAAGTCCTAATGATCTTTAAGTACAATTTATTGTCATTTTTACCTCCATTTAATAGGTTTTGTTACCTGGAATCGTAATATTTGTACATTCATTACTTAATGACTTTAACCTACAAATATTTTTTTTTCTTTTTACAAACATGTTTATTTTTCTAAAAATTATCCCAGAACAGAATTAAATGATACTTTTGAATGCATAGGTATATTGATTACCTATTATTATTAGGTATGAATTGTCATTTTCATTGTAGGTTGGTTTATCCGGCCAAATAGTTATCCGGTCAGGGACTTGGTCCCGTGGTGGCCGGATATGAGGGGTTCTACTGTAATCATAAAAATTACTGTTATTTGAATAGGAAATTAGTATGGATATTTTAGGGTAATATTTTAGTGAAAATCCAACTAGATAAATGGAAATTTGCTTAGTCTGCACAGCGGGGGTATATTATTTCATATTGGTTTCACAAAGTTCATAGAAATGAAGGAAAATTAGGTACAGGCCTAGACAAAAAGAATTAAATATAGACCGTTAGCGGTGCTGCGGTTACCACAAGTTCTGGGAGTGCCGTGTAGTTATGGCGTACACGCTACGTAACTACATGGCACTCCCAGCAGTGTGCACCAGAACCTATGGTAACCATGGCAACCGCAGCACGGCTGACAGTCTATATTTAGTTTTTTTGTCTATGATACAGGTGAGAAACTTGTTGTTAAGGCCAATAATTTAAGAATTTAATTTTAAGGGAATTAGCTAAATTTATGCTAGGTGTTAACCCACTGGAGATTTGATAACATCATATTGGATTTCACATGCATCCTTCAAATCTTACCAAGTTTATAGACTCACGCCAAAAACACATACTAGAGGTAACAAGTCAAAAGTAAAAATTCCACACTTTATGTAACATTTATTAACAAAGAGCAAAACAATAAAAATCATACAAAGTATCAACAAATTGTACTTCACCAACAATTAAAACAAGTTTGAAAACATGAGTCCACCACATCTTTCATTCACCCAACAACTTTGGTAAAATAATATATGTACAATGAAAAGAAAGGAACATAACTTCAAAAAATCAAGTGAAGCAGTTCAAAAGTTTCAAACTCTGATAAAAAAATCAAAGTTCTCTCTCTTTTACTAACGTAAATATATTTTATAACAATATCTAACAAAGGTAATTTACATGAAAGTGTGGAATCGACTTTGTGTTATAATAAAACAAAATAATTCACTTGGTAACAAGACATTTACATTCGTACAGATTAACAAAGTTCATCTCTTTTTCAACACTATCCACAGCCATGGTTTAATGAATTTCCCGTCCGAAGCTCTAGATGGACAGAATCTCCTCCACAATGCTGTTGGAACGTGTGACGTTTGGTCCCAGACTTCTGACGGCACTTGTAAGGGACTCAAACTTTGTGATCTCGGTGGCTTTCTCGTTGTGGTATTGTTCGCTGTATTCCTGGGAACAAACAATCAACTTATTACAGAGAGCTGTGGCAAGTGGGGAGTAGGTATTAGCACTGACTTTTGTATACTGAATTGTGATGTTTAATGGCTACTTTATATTAGAGCCAATATTAACTTATTAGACTGTAGAAAAGATGTGCACAGTTATAATACTGGTTTTTGTAATAACATTAATTTGCCAAAAGTAAGACTAGCCAAGAGAGATAAAATACCAATGATGATTGCAATTAAGTTGTTCAATAAGTTACCATTAGATATAAGACTGCTTAGTGATAAGGATTTTAAAATTAAATTGAATTATTTTCTATGTAAAGGATCCTTTTACTATAGAAGAGTATATGTCAAGACAATGGACTGTTAAGGACTTCTGTTGAATATTATTTATTTATAAAGTTGACGTGCCAATGTATTTGCATGAAATATTTTCTGGCTAAATAAAGTTCTTATTATTCTTATTCTTATCATATCTTTATGGATCAGCTGAAGCCAATTTTATTGTTAGTTCCGGTGCAATTAGAATGTGTTTTTGTTTACAATTTGTTTCTTGTTATTTCAGTTATTTAAAACCTCGTTCAACTAAATAGAACGGTCTAATTAACTTGTTCCCTAGTTATATAATCAAACAGTAAAGCACAAATCATAGAATTAACCCTAAAATAGTGGGAACAAAATTTTGTCGACACAAGTGCCCGTATCACCAACACATGATCTAGACACAAAAAAGAGCTTCAAATTTTACAATGGGATGAGATGTCTACTTGTGTTGGTTAGTCTATGCTATTAGACTGTGCAGCGATATAAAGACTGTCAAGTACTGTTACAGTAAGTCCCATAGGCAAGCAATTGATACTTTGAATACTTTAAAAAAAATGACCAGAGTGATGGATAAGTTAGTGCAGGTCTTGACCCAGAGATCTAATCAGCCCAAGACATTACCAATGAGCTACCATCCCTGAACAAAGCTACTGTTCTTAGTACTTTAATATATTTCAATTCCAGCTAACTACTTACCTCCGAAAACTATTAGTGCGGGTTAAAAATTGCAATACAAAAAATAATTGCTCTCACCGAAAATGTAAAACAACAACTAGACATTCCATCCCTATATTAAAGTTGTAGCCTGGTTTTTAAGCAAATTTGTCTTAGTTGATGTGAGCCACCTACAGATTGCGCTGATCTAAATTACTGATTTCTGCCGATTACACGATGGTTTTTACCAAGTCAAACTGATGGAATGACTTATTATGAGCTATAGCAACTGTTGTGACCCAGCAACTATGTCAGTAACAAAAAATAAGGTACAAAATAGAGTTTTAGACACTAGCGCAATCTGTGACTGGCTCACAAAAAAATTGGCGACAGCTGATCCATATAGATGGGATGTCTTCTTCTGTATCCAATAAGCAATGGTAAAACGTAATTCTTTAAAGATGTAATACACATAAAACGTATGACATTGACTAGTATAAAACCATCCAGTAGATGTTACCTTGAGTCTGTTACCGAGGAAGACTGCTCTCTCTCTTCGCTTGATCATGTACTCGGTGGGGAGCAACCAGCGATGTTCATGGCATTCCTCTGCTGTCGGCCGTTTGCTGCAAAAACACAGATATTTGGTCTGGAACTAAAACCCACTACTAAACTGTATTAACGTTGACATAATGTAAAATATATTTTATTTTAGCTAAGAAAATGTTGATACTAATTGTATGTCATTTTTCCAATTGTACGTAATTTTTCTTGTCCAAGAGAAACCCCATGCTGCTAGTCGCTGACTATTCAGAACCTTAAAATAATTATCCTACTCTGCCACAGAAATATGTTTGAATGCAAGTATGTCCTTTGACATATGATTAATCAATATACTAAAATTTCAAATTGATATACGTAACATAGGTATTGATCTTATTACTGTTTTCACTAAGTTTTACTAATCCAATGACATTCCCGCATCTAGGGAACTCTAAAACAAATATTGTAAATATTATAAGCACAAAACGAGATGAGATACATTGAATGATAATAGATTTATAATCATGCAAATGAGAATTAGAGATAACAGTCCATAATCACTTACTGAGGATGCCTCTTAAACACCAGCATGATGAATCTCGTAGCCTCTTGTGTCAGCTCCTTGTACAGATGTTCAAACCTGAAACAAGACAAGAGACTGAATTCACTTTACCCACAAGCAAACTAAAGTTAAGGTATGGCATGCATTCAAGGGAGTCCTCCATTACAGAGCAAGTTCTCCTAAACTGTGAGAGCAACATATGTTCCTAATTTTAAGACAAAACCTTCGTAGGCCCCCTTTGTCCTTGTCCAAATTTTGTTTAAGGTGGGCTCTCAACCACTCTGTCACTCGTAAATACATACAGTAGAGTCTTGGTTACCCGACCTTAGGTTTTTCGACCTTTGGCTATCTGACTTTCCCAGTTATCTGACCTTTACCAGTTATTCGACCTTCCTGGGCAAAATCAAGGTGTCTTCCTTATTTCTTAAATGGAAATTCTGGCTTTTCATTACCAATTTATTTTTAAACCCTGACCAAAAAATCTGTTATTCTCTATGTCCAATTTATGTACCTCATGGTAGGATGTGTATATAACTTGTCTTGTAATCACAGCGCCATTGTCAATGTTGCGCGGTCACAGCGTTGTCTTAAACATCTCCCACGATCTTGACACAATTTATTGACATGTCCCACGCTCAAGGCGTGATTGTTACCTTATCCTATGGTCACAGTGCCAGCACGAAGATTTCTCAGGATCGTGGTGCCATCCTGGAACATCTAACGCGATAATGGCACCGTCAACATGTCTCTCGCTCGTGGCGCAATCGTCAACTCATCCCGCAGACACAGCGCCAGCACAAACATAGTTTTATAATTTTTTGCATTATCCGACCTTACCGTGGTTGGTTTCGGTTGGATAATCGAGACTCTACTGTATCTCTGCAATTTGTGATTGGCTGGGTTGGGACCCTGGACTACAGGGCTAACCAATAAACCAGCCACACCCCACTCTACGCTTACAATCAAAGGAGCTAAGATCCATTTCATTTTGATGTTTATAAATTGCTTATTAGAAAGCTTCCTCTCAATACATATGGGACCTTTTCACCAATCTGAGATGATGTTTGGGGTACTAAAAATTGTCTTCAGTTGATCCATAAGTTAGTTAAATCTATGGCACTACACACCTGAAGCGTACAAAGTTGATGTTCTGTCTTGTCTCATCCTTGTTGGCCCCACGGAAGGGTGACACCCCAGACAGCAGCACATAAGTCAAAACACCCACAGACCAAATGTCTGTCTGGGGATAGGCCGCCTCCTCACTTAGAACCTCGGGCGCTAAAACCAGCAAGATAACACAATATGAATTAACCCTTTCCAGACAGGAAGATCATGTAGCGTTAAACAGGAAAAAAAATTGTAAAAACAAAAAAGATTGTATTTCTTAAACTTTTTATTTTATTTTTACTCTAAACAAATACACCTAACAAAGTTAGAGCATGAATAATGAATAAGCCTAAGTGTGGAATTATTCACTACCTGTTTACAAACATTAAGAAAAATGCTGGATACATATCCCGTAACTTGGTTTCGCAACTACAGCGACATGTTAATAAATCAAGAATTTAAAAAGTGGTTATGTTACTTATTGAACAAGATTTTATTTTAGTGAGAACATTGCAGGTAAATTTGAACAAAATGTTTAAAAAATTGTGTTTAAAGCAGGACGAGCTGTACCAAGGTCACAGCACTGCGTAGCGAAGTAGTAGAGCTTTTGGTTACTGTACAAAACACCTACCATCTAGCCATAAACATGAAGCCAGTTGCTTTGCAGGCTACCTGCATCAGCTAACTTGAAATACAGAGGCAAGTAACCTGACCTGAAACCTGCCTTCTCTACTGGCCTTGTGTAAACACAGCTTTAATAGAAGTGGGAGAAAATTCACTTTACAACATCTACGAACATCATGTGGATGTATCCATCCAGGGAGGATTAAGCCTTTCACTATGACCTACTTTAAAGCATGAAGTTATACAGGGTGAATAAAAAGTCAAGACCCCCCCTCTAATATTTTTCCAAGTAAATATACAGATTTATCCTTTAGGTGGTCGAGCAATCTTAGCAGGAAGTTTCATTTTATCATTTTGAAATTTTTGAGTGTCCCCCCAAAAGGGGGGATTTGGGGGGCAACTCAAATATTTTAAATGTAAATCCCCTTCAAGTGACACCTCATTTTGAAGAGTTTACAAAAACTTAAAGAATGGTGAAAACTAGAGGTTTCTATCTCTTCTCTATCCAAAATGGTCGCCCGTCAAATGTTGTGGAAAATCAACGGTAAAATTGTTAATATTGGCTGCCATTTTGGATAGAGAAGAGATAGCGACCTCTAGTTTTCACCATTCTTTAAGTTTTTGTAAACTCTTCAAAATGAGGTGTCACTTGAAGGGGGTTTACATTTAAAATATTTGAGTTGCCCCCCAAATCCCCCTTTTGGGGGGGCACTCAAAAATTTCAAAATGATAAAATGAAACTTCCTGCTAAGATTGCTTGACCGCCAAAAGGATATCTCTGTATATTTACTTGGAAAAATATTAGAGGGGGGGGGGTCTTGACTTTTTATTCACCCTGTATATGACATAAAATAACAAGGAGCATGAAAAAAATAACAGGATACGATGTAAAATGAGTTTATAAATGGATGACTGTTACCTGTGAACTCAGGGTGTCCTAGACTCTTGACCACTGTGCCGATCTTGCTGACACGTTGTGTCGCGCCAAAGTCCACCAGCTTGACTTGTACACTCCGCACAGACAACATGACTACGTTGTCAGGCTGTAGATCCAAATGACAGAATCCTCTCCAATGCAGATACTGCAGACCATCCAGAACCTACAACCCATGTTCACATTAGGTTTGTGTAGGTTGCAATATTTTCGAGTTTGATTTTGTTCTTTTTGTTTTATGAGCTGTCGGTTTTTTTTCTTGGTTTAAACTGACAATATTACCACCCACAACATTTAGATTGTGAATTTGTTGGGAAAAAATCAAGTTAAAAAATATTTGGTTAACTGATCCAACCATCAGGTTAAATTTATGTATTTCAAAGCTATGGTGTAAATGTAGTTCCTGTAAATGGAAGATCAAAATGTACTACATAAAGTGAAAGTATGATTTTTTGTCCATTTTTCCAATAACCCAGCACTCTCAAGCTCAGCACCCTTCCGATCCACTTTATACCAAGTTTGTGGGACTGTACTGTATATGTGATTCAACTGTTAAGCTTACATTCTCACTTTTCATATCAAGTATCAAGTGTGCACCTTGTTGCACTCACCTGGGTTATGATGTTGGCGACCGTCTGTTCTGTATATTCATGTCTGTTAGACAGGTAAGTAAGAACGTCCACTCCTTGTAATTTCTCCTCAATGAAAACAGCCACTTGAGCATTTGACGGTCTGAAAGGTTCCACTGTTAGTCACATCAATAATAATAAATTCTATATTTATAGATATAGACCCAAGAGATGGTAGTAATTTTATTTAGAGTGAGTTCCTTAGTTAGTGGTTCCTATTAGTGATGTGTCAAAACCGAATCTCAAATCTCAAAACCATCAAAACTTAGGAAAAGTTTCGGGTTCGAGATTCGATCACCAAGTTTCGAGATTCAAAAGTTTCGAAATTGAAGATTTTGACAGTTATTTTTGAAACTGCTGACATTTTTTTGTGATATTGTAATTGTTTTTAACACTGTTTCCAAACAAGCTGGTAGCAACAGAGCAAACATCACCATTAACAGTAATGAAACAAGTAAATTTGATTCTGAACTTCAAAAGGTATCTTAAATACTATAACTGGTACAATTCAGTTTCACATCAATATTTACTAAACACACAGAAATATTGACCACTAAATGTTCTAATTAATCTAATATTAATGTTTATGTTGGTGTTAGAAGTTTAATTTATTTTTTTGTTGTTGTTTGTTTATGAACAATTCAACAATTATGTTGTTTTGGGTTGTCTTTTAAGATTATCAGTCACATTCACATGTTTATGTTATGTCACGGTCAGGAGTCTATCTCTTTCAGTTTTGATTGCATACTTAACATTTTATGATTATGTGTATTTTTGGTAACCTTGACCTTTGTAACCAGCTAAGTAGAAAAGTTTCGCGTTTAGGTTTTGAGATTCGAGATTCGGGATTCAATTTTTTAAAGTTTCGGTTTCGGTTTTGAGATTCGAAATTTCTGGTTTTGACCATCACTAGTCCTATATTATGAGTTAGAGCTCACTTAGTGGATCATTGGAACAGTTTGGTCGAGTCGCAGGAATTTAATACAAATAGCCCTTGTGAAATGTTTACACTGCTGAAATGTAAAGAAAATTGAAGATCTCAGCAAATGTTTGGTTATTTCAACAGAATCACTTATCATTTTATAGTAAAGATAGTTTAAATATTCAAGAATACATACATACAGTATACAACAGTACGTAAGAAATTTCAACAGATGATTTTTTGACTTCTAAGGACCTCAAAACAAATTGTTGAAGTAGTCTCACACTTAGGTATTACCATGATCACTATGGTATTAGCTTCTGCCTTAGGGTATTGCCACGTGAGGCGATAAAGAAAACGGACCCAAAAAAAAATGGACCCAGGCCATTCCTTGCGTGACAGTGGCCATCTGAAATTTCTGCTCGGCAGTTTTCGATGTTGTATACACCATTCACGTCCATTGTTTCTATTTTATTAGCTACAAAAAACAGCTGTCGTCGGCTGTAAAAACTGCCTCGTGTGGCAATAGCCGAAATACAGCGGAAATTTGTTAAAAATAACAAAGAGTGGTGCTATTTCCCTAGTTATAAATAAATAAATAGTTTGCATTATTTCAATAGTACCTTAAAACAGCACGCTTAACAAATATGTGTGAAAGAGCATCCTCCAAGTAAGTGTACATTTATTATAAGTAAAAAACTTTTTCAACATGCATGACCTTATATGACATCTACTGAATGAGATCTTTCCAATGAGCCATAAATTAACAAAACCGGATGAGAAACCACGGAGTTCTGCCGACAAAATCGTGCTCGCCTATTTTATATATATATATATTACATACTAAATTTAAATCAAAATTGATTAGCTGTTTTTGTAAAAGTCCAATTTTTATGTTTTTGTAACAAAATCAGAAAAAAATAAAACTACTGGAGATATTATAAATACCCACTTATCAAATTTAATCACAATCGGACACATGTGTGATCTGTAGCTCTACACATCCATACACACAAAAAAACATAGACACACAAATACACAGATATTTCCATCTAAAACTCAAACCAAAATGATGACAACAATAGGACTTTCTCCATATGTATAAGGGGAGGAATAGTAACAGAAATTGGCTTTGTGTAAAAACCATCCACACCTAACATTTTAACCTTCAGTTTTAAAAATGTATTTTGCGGTAACTAGAAGTACCGGTAATTTCTAAAACCCTTAACACTGGTACAGTAATAGGTTTATTAGACTTAACAGATCTGATTTACTTACTTGTAGGCCTCGATGAGGCAGGCGATGCGTTCGTGTCTGAGAGACCTGTAGGCTTCAAATTCAGCATCCACGGCGACTTCAGTGTCTGGTCTGTACTCTAGTAGTTTGGCCACTACTACGCGGTCGTTGGACTTGTCTATACCCTTCACTACCACAGAGAACCTACCTCTATGAAAAAAACACAAATAAAAGATAGTCTAAGGTCTATGCGGATACAGACAGAAACGTACAGAATGGCTACAGCTGGTCCATAGATGGGATGTTTACTTTATCCAAAAGTCAATGGTCTGATTTGCTCCCTGACCAAATAGTTCTTTCTCACCAACAACAACTTTACGCCTCACTACACTGGTTGAACAAGGAGGATTTAGTCTAGAAAACAGCTGTTTGCCGCCAGCTTAATCAAATGGGGTTTCATTACGTACTACTGTAGGCCTACTGTAATGAGTTTTTACCGGTCACCAACCAGTTGATTATATTTGGTAATGAGTGGTCATAATCAAAAACATATCCTCTAAAGTCTAAAGAGGTTATGAGTAGTGATTGTTTCAGGACAAATAACTTATATACTATTACATTACAGGCAGCTTCCTTGATGCCTTGAGCATATTTGTTACTGACTAATCAGCTGTTTAATTATAGTCAGGACCATTTATTGAAAGCCCAATGATGACCCACCAGGATCTAGTTTTGAACCATCAAAAAGCTACATATGTCTCTGAGGATTGAACCGGTGACCTTTTGATTGCCAGGTGAAGACTACAACTTTCAGCTACCCAGCTATATCTGTATATTCACAGTTCCTAAGCCCCAGGACAAAATTGCTCTAGTAAAGAGAAGGAATATGAATGAGGCAGTTTTTGTTACACATCCCAACAACTTTCTAATACACGATTGAAAACCTGGCCTTTCTCTTTAAAAGGAATGGTATAAATCTTGGTTATTTCTAATAACTTTCTAAAATTTAGTAAAACAACTGAAGTACACTGAGTGGTACATGAATAGCACATTACTCTTTAACAACAAATTAAAAACTTGATGTTACCTGGATATTTCTGAGATGTAGTTGTACTTCTCGGTGGGTTGGTCGTGGCTCCAATGGATGGGGTTTTTCTCAACTTTGTACTCGAGGTGAGATTTCTGCTCCTCGTGGACCACTTCCTGTCCACTCTCCACAATATCCTGCAGATGCTTCATAGCTCTGGACATTTGTATTTTGGGCACACCTGCAACCAAGGAGATGAACCTCTCAGTATATTAGCACAAGGTAAGAATATGTATAGTCTTTGTTTGTTTTTCCAATTTGCACATGCATTGATTTTGAATACTGCAATTAGAATTCTCATTCATATTTTACAAAGTATTGAACATTCAACTGGATAGCTCAGTAGATGAATTGTGGGAAAGTGAGCTGGTTTAGTAGTGTAGAGCACGGGACTTTGGTTGCCAAGGTCCTGGGATCAAATCCTACTAGTAACCAATGGATTTTAACGAAAAGATATTGCCCCAAACCTATCAAGTTTTAAGTAATGTGTAAAACGGCTCCGGTCTAGAGCACACCGCCCTAGGATGTGTAGGTAAGAGAAATGTGAAATGTATATAAACTTTCACACCATTCAGAAAATTCTTGGCCACAATTGGCCTAACAGTAATCTACCCATCTTAAGTTTTTTGCTCTTGGTTGAGAATTCTCTTAGAGAAAATTGAATATTCTAATTTTGGTTTATAATGTAAAGTTTTTGTCTTTCTTGTGCCAGAGTGAACTCTTTCCTAGTAAGTCTTCTATCTTAACAAAAATCTTAAATCATCTAACAAATATTAATCTAAATCACTCCTGTGATTCTTATAAGGTCTACTGCTCCAGAAGAGTAGCCTATATCGTATGAATACCTGGTTCTGATGTCTTGATCGCTTTTGTTGGGATCCCTTTCTCGCTCCAGCCAATCTTGTTCTTGGAGGCCAGCCTAAACTGGTAGCTAGTATTAGGCTTGAGGTCTCTTACGAGGTAGAACTCATGGTCAATGTTACTGGCTAGGTCGATCCAGTCCACGGCGTCTGTCAACAGACATTTATGAGTTGGCAAAGAGAACCTAGGATAATCTTTTGGTAATTTAAATGATTTGGTTAAAGGAGACTAGACAGTCCAAAGAAAATAAACACAAAAAATGACTGTTAGCTACCTGCTTTCTCATTATGTTACATCCATCAAACCATAACGGTCCATGTTTTATTCCATCAACCTCGCATTCTGTTTTATCCATACATTAACAATAGGCACAAGTTGCTTAAACTATTTTTCCACACCTGTCCATCAGGGGATCTAACAGAACTTATTATTTAATGAGATTTCCGTTTGTTTATTTATTTTTTAATTTTTTAATGTATTAGGATACATCTTTGAGTTTGAATGTAAACATACATTTTGTACTCATGTTAAATGTGTGGCCTGTGAGCATTAAGTCAATACACTGTATGTAGTTGTATATTGAGCCACAGACAGAGAGTGCCGATATAAATTACCGATTCTCTGTTGTATACGCCAAATTTTTAACTAATTAATACTGAAAACCATATTGTATGAACTATTATAGTATTTTATTCAAATAGATGGGATGCCTACCCTGGTACAGTAGAACCCCTCATATCTGGCCACCACGGGACCAAGTCCCTGACCGGATAACGATTTGGCCGGATAAACCAACCTACTATGAAAATGACAATTCATACCTAATAATAATAGGTAATCGATATATGCAATCACAAGTATCATTTAATTCTGTTCTGGGATCATTTTTTGAAAAATTAACATGTTTGTAAAAAGAAAAAAAATATTTGTAGGTTAAATTCATTAAGTAACGAATGTACAAATATTATGATTCCAGGTAACAAAACCTATTAAATGGAGGTAAAAATGACAATAAATTGTACTTAAAGATCATTAGGACTTAAATGGTACATGCATTTCTACTCAACATTCTTAACCATTTTGTGAAATACAAAAATTAATGTACTCGTACTGTACTGTACTAACCCCACTTTGGAAATAATCAACCAACTGATAAGAGGTTAGGCCTACTAGCTTAACTGATTATAGTGACTCAGCAAATAAATGTATAAACAAACAGATAAATAATGAGAACAATTTATTTTATGACTTGAGCAGTCACAAAGACTAATGTTTGCATCCAAACGTCTGTAAGCTGAGAGAAAAAATGTTGATATTGGCTTCCTGGAAGGGGCCGGATAAACAGAGGGCCGGTAAAACCAAGGCCGGATATGAGGGGTTCTACTGTAATTATCTTCAATGGCTAAACACACTTAACTTATGTTTTGTTTTAGATACCCACCACTACAATACTAAACCTATCCAGTATCCACCAGCACAAAAAGTATGCGTAACAATGCTCAATTATTTTAACCATGGTAGAGTATAACTTTTGATGGAAATTGGAAATGTAGCGATTTACGTACAAAAACAAAGCAACCAAGCATCTCTCACCAGACTCCTTGCACTGTACACTGTAGCAGACGACGGGTGAGTTTCCGTCACACTTGGGTTGCTTCCATCTCAGCAGAATCTCTGTGTCTGAGATGTCTGAAGCATCGGGAGAGTCGGGAGCATGAGGCGTCTCTGCTAGAACTACCCTGAAACATTACAAACATTGGTACTTTATTAGACTATGTTAAGTAAGTTTTCAGGAAAATGTTTTTATTTCTTGTACTATGTCATATAATTTATGCATTTGTATTTGCCGCCAACAGAGAGAGAGCAGGGGTTTTCAATTCAACCTAGTGGGGTCAGCACAATGCCCATTGGTTAACTTGGCGGAAGGATATTTTTGCGAAGTTTTAGCGTCGCATCGGGACGCTTGGCCCAGTCTGTCGGTTGCCTGGTTTACCTAACACATGTCACTTTGACATAATTCATTTTCTCTGCCATTGCGGCTTTCCCTCTCATAGTTTAATTCTCTATTATTGCCACTCGGATTAGTCCGTGGCCCCTTTATACAGTACTCATAACATTTTCACCTTTTTAAATTAAATTAATTTTATTAACCAGTGTAAAGTCAGTTTTAGCAGTGAATCCTCCCATTCCCGGTCTACCGCGGTCGCGAAGGAACTTCTTGGGAGCGCTCATTTGGACTGTATAGACTTTTAGACGTGCGTTATTCCAACATCAAGATCAAGACACCAACGTAAGAAGATAGTGTCAAGTGTTGTGCCTTTGTCTTGAGGATATTCTACCATCTACCATCGCAACTCGACCCCGTGGCGCTTCCTTGCCGCTCACTACGTCCGACATAATTCCAAAGGTACATTCATCCATAAATCATTTATTAATTAACCCCATATATAAATCAGACTATATGATACTATTATTAATTGAATTTAAAATACTGTACATAACTCTTTGAATCACTCAATAATTCATAGCTCGATAAAGTTTGCACTGATATTACGTAACAGTGATATTTAATACTTATATGAGTTCTTCAGGGAATTCAAATTTTCTTTTTGAAAATAAAGTTACAAAAACCACATTTTTCCTCTTTAATCTACATTCTGAAGAAGTCTTATGTTGGAAAATATATCAATGATATAAGACCCTTTACATCAAGTATTTATAAGTATCAAGACTTATTTTTAAAGTAAGTTTGCTGAACTCTACCTTTAAAAGAACCATATAAACTACTTTTGGATTTCCTTTAACCTTGTATTCCTTGTACAAAGTAATGAATAAAGAAGTTTGAATTGAATTTAACATATAAATTCAAGAATTCATTGGTTAGGCCTGCAACAATCAAATATTAGTTGACATCATATTTAAAAACCTAACAGTATTACCGATTAAGACAAAATGCAAAAGGGTATATTTTAGCCCAAATATGAAAAAAGAATGCGTGTAAAATGTAGTGAGATGCCTTGTAACTTTATTACTAATCAGCTGTTTCTTCAACGAGAACTTATTAATATAAAAAAAATATATAAATATATATTCTCGGGGCTGGTGAGTCGGTGGCTCGGTAGCGTCACGGACTTCGGGGCCCAAGGCAGCGATGTCGTGGGTTCGGATCCTGGCAAATATCTACAGTCTATGTGAACGGGCAAATGCAAGGTTAAAAAAGCCCGCCAACCTCTTTAAAAAAAAAGGAAAAATCCAACGATCAAGGACAGCTGGGTCTAGTTTCGGATCAAAAGTCTACTGACTTTTCTCAGAATCGAACTAACGCCCTACTTATTACCAGGTGAGTACTAAGTATCAGTTACCCTGCTTTTATAAATAAACTAAACATAAGCTATGAAACATTTAGGAATGTTTACCTGCAGCGAACAACAGTCTGCCCACTCTTATTTCTCGCTGTCACTTTGTAAATTCCAATATCTGATGCATGGGCTGGGTTGAACCTAAGAATTGAGCGTCCAAAATCATCTTCCTGGATTTTTATCCTATGACTTTCTGTGAGCACCATGTCATTCCTAAAACAAAAAATTAACAAACTCAATGTAAAGATAGATAATTTAAAATATATAAATGCATAGTTAACATGTACACTGCGGATGACGAGTAATCTCATCACCACTAGCTTTTTCCAGCAGCGCGCGACGAGTATACTCATCAAAGCGCCGTTTATACAAACACAAACTATTGTTCCATTGCAAGGTTAGCCACTGTCGTGAGACGTTGTTTTCCTTGCCGCTTATTTGAGCCGGTGTAGTTCATTTCAGATCCGACTATTTCATCAATGGTAGGGATTGTTATAAAAATTTATTGTAGTGTTGTAGTTAAGCTTCGATCTAATGACATGCAACAGAAGGACGATAATGAATATACTGTAGCATTGCGGAAGGAACCTAACCTTAAAATTTTGCTTGACCGTTTCTTGCTCTATTTTTTATTGTGTATTCGAGTACTTCACCCTGATTTCCCCCTCCATTTGGCAATACTGAGGGCCGAATACCAGTATTGTTTAGTGCTTCTATCTGTTGGGTTCTTGTAAAACTACGTCCACAACGACTGGGACGCAGTATATGCCTTTCATTTGGATGAAACTAAATTTAAACGTTTTCGCACACTCATCCACGCAGCATATTAGCTGTTCGCATCACCAACAGTGGCCGGCAATCGCGCAATAGCATTGAACGAACATGTTAAGCTAATTTTTACAATTTGCAGCAGTTATTGTCAATCCACAACACCAAGTCAGTCATGTTCCTCAATTATATCATTTTTCTTTGAAAATCATTTATAAACGAGGAAAATATTCAAATTTATGCAAACTTAGTAGGCTATGTTACCGGCAAAGTATATAATGCAGGAATTCTATTGAAGGCTCATAGGTGTGTCAGGCAAAGTATAAAATACATTTGTTAAAAAAATGCATTTATTTTGTGTATGGTTAGGTTAGGTTGGTTAACTGCTCTAGTAAATTTTAGATAAGCATTAGCAAAAATGGAATCAAAAGTCTAAAAAGGTCCTTTTAAATACCTAATGAAATATTGTGTATGTATTATTGTGTTATATGGTTAGGTTAGGTTAGTTTATTTTACTTATATTTTACTTTTTACCATGCCAGTTGAAAAGTGATTTTAATATTTGAGATCAATAATTGATAATTGTTTTACAAATAAATTTAAATTAGAAAATGTACCTACCGGTACATGATTTTAATCCAAGGAAATTTTTGTTTTATACCCAGAGTAAATATCAAATAATATTATAAGCAATAAAGATATGTTTTATTTATTTGTGCCCCATCTATTTAATACGTTACCCTACCAGAAAATTTGTTTAATCTAAAACATATGCATTGTTATGGGTTTAATGTATTAATTTTATGATATTATTCTATTATTTTTACATTGTTTCTTATCACTTTATTATTAAAATATTACTGTAACCAACAAGGCAAAAAACACAACTATATTTCTTGGTAAAAACACTGATTTAGAATACTTTTTCATAGTATAACTATATTCAAAGCTATGAGTAAAATTGCAAATACATATTAAATATTCTCAACAATACCAGAGTTAATCTAACTGATGGATTTATGAAAATAACACTAAAACTTACAGTTAACTACATTGATAATTATTTCAAATAGGTAATGAAAAATAATAGACTTTTGATTTGTTTAAACATGAAAATACACAACCAATGGAATGTCATTATATTTTAATATAATCAGCTGATTTATTAAAGTGTATTCATAGTTCACAGATGATTTATTGCTTTGACACATTATTTTTGTTTGTTTACATTATTGTAAGTAATATTTTTATTGTGACACTATTTATGTTTCAGTACTTATTTTGCTAGATTTATAGCAGGTTAAACATTATAATGGATTTGTTAGATGAATGGTTAGAAGAACTAATAATCACAGACAAAAAAGTAGAAGAAGAAAGGCTAAAAATGGAAGCATATCTAGCTCTTCCCACTCCAGTAGTGGATCTTATATTTGTCACATGTGTGTATTTTGAACAACCCGATGAGGTTCGTTACCTAGCGGTAGAAGTGTTTGATAGATTCATTAGATTACATTTTGAAGATCTTCAAAAAAAGGTTTGGACTAAAAACGAAATTTCTGCTCAAGAACATTGGAAAAAGGTTGAAAAGAAGCTAGGCACACAAACTTCATTGAGAATGCTATCTTGCATCCAAGTAGCCTCTAAATTCATTATTCAACCTAAAGTGGTGAAACCTAAGGATATTCAGAAATATTTGGAACTTGAAGGTAAGAATTTCAAACTATCTATGATCATGGCTTCAGAGATTAGAGTTCTAAATACGTTGGACTTTAAACTACACTTCCCAACTGTTTTTACTAATGTAGGAATGCTTTTGGAGCAAATATGGTCATCAGAGCACGCACACATTCTTCCAAAAGATGTTTACCAAACAGCTTTACTGTTGACAGACGTAGTTTACTTACACCACCAAGAAATATTTTGTAAACTTTTCTACTTGATGACTGGTAGGTGGGATGTTGTACCCGAGGAGAAACAAAACTTTCAGAAGACAGAATGCAATATGTTGTATCAAGCTGCAGCTGTTGTAGCCTTGGCCGTTTCATTCACTTCGACAGATGTTGATGAGTTAATACATCGGGAACTTTCAAATCTCACAAACTTATCCTTGGGTGATATCAGAGGTCTGGTGAAGATAATTAATCAAATCGTCCTATCATAAGGTTCTCATGTGAATAACTTAGGTGTTGTACGTTTATGTTTGACATACATTTATATAGGGTCTGTTTAGCATCCATTTACTAAAATCTTTAATGCGTTTTGTACAAAGTAGCTTATTACTTTAAATGTTATTATTGTTTGTAATTTTTTAGAATGGTTGTTGTATTTAGGTCAAATCAGAAGAATGATTTTTATTACATTAATTTCAAAAGGCTATTAGTATTGGTAATGTAAATATTATATTACAGATTCATTTTGTTTAATAATAATGAAGTTTCAGAGGTGTTGTTAAAAATCCCAATTATAAAAGAATAAAATTATAAAAATGTAAACAGGGGCTTCATTTCTTATGCAGTTTTTTCTTTGTTTATATTTTCAAGTGTAAAACAATCTAAGTCTGAAACTCCAAAACATGTTTTTGAACAGTGTAGGCCTACTTTTAGGTTATACCAGTAATATAAAACTACCGTACAAGTTAAAATGTTGTTTATTTTATTTTATTTTTTTTTTCCTAGGATGCTATACAAAACAAAGGTAGGTATTAGGCTGCGTTTACATTGGAGGCACGCTTGGGCAAGTAAAATGGTGGCGCACGCTTGGCCAAGCTTGCCCTTTGAAACAAAATTGTAGCAGATTACTGGAAACCGGTGGCGACTTGACCAGTGGTGGTTACAGTGCTCGCCACTAGCAAGCGCACGCTGGGACAAGCTTGCGCTTCTCAAATCACGAAACAAAAATATTTGTTTCTACAAGCAAGCGTGCCTCAGTTTGTTGTGGTTCATAGACACAGTAGTATCGGTTGTGTCTGTTGGTTAAGTGTTTATAGTTGTTCAGCATGGATACGGAGGTGTTGGTTGATGCTGTTCGTGCAAGAAGACCAATTATATAGGATAAATTAGTTTCAGGCTACAACCAGGGGTTCCCATCGCCTAATTAATGATTGTAGTTCATGTATTTTTCCACCAGATTTTAGTGATTAATTTGATTTCTTGAACAGGGGAAAATAACACAGTAATAATTTGTTTTTATTCACAACATAATGTAATAACACACACCCTTGTTTTAATCATAAAGAAAAATCATTTCAATTAGGCCTACTTTATGACTTGTAATGCAATTATCTGTCAAAATTAAATTGTTTTCTCCTAAACTTAATTGCCTCTTCACTATGTACTACAATAGACCCAACCAATAAGGTAAATAATTCATTAACAATAATGGTAGCACAAGTGTAAATATATTTGATTAAATTACGCAAGTCGTAGGCTTATTTGAATTGTTAGCAATAACTACTACAATAATACTGTACATATAATGCCCTTTCAATTACCCTAACGTAACCATCAGCTTTTCTTCGGGAGAGATACACTTCCTGAAGTTGGAATGCTTTTCAATATTTGGTGTTATTCTCTCTAAAATGTAGTAAAATGTTTCTGGCATCATTCTAAAATATTCATAAAACTTATCTGGCTATTGCAGAAGATCAGCAAAAATCCGGGCATACTCCCTTCCTTCTTCTCGATCCATAAAAAAATAATTTACCCCCCCCTTACTCGTTCAGAGTCTAATAATAATAAAAACTTTACAACTCCATTCTCTAGCACAATATCCTCATCGTCTGATATGTCAATTTTGACTGTACTGTCCTGCTGAGACTAGTGTGGCACTTGCGCTTGGTTGCTCGTAGTATAACCACAACTTCGGGCACGGCACGCTTGCGCAAGCGTGCGCTACCATTTTACTTGCCCAAGCGTGCTTCCAATGTAAACGCAGCCTTAATAAGCACAATGATAACCCTCCCGGACGGGCAAAATCGTGACATAGAACAGGAAAAAATTATCGGAAAAATTAAAAATTAATTTTCCTTATATTTGTGTTTTGTTATACAGGTATATAAAATAAACACAATGGAACACTTCATACTGTCAAAATAGTTTTTTACTCGTTTTTAACAATGCGGATATATCCGCTACCCGACCGCAGATGAGTAGGAAAGCAGCAGATATATCCGCCACCCGTCTTTGAAGATATGACCATGACAATGTTAGGCAATGAATAAAGAACAATATGTAAACAATAAATAAAGACAACGTAGTGTTGAGCGCGAAACGTCAAGGGGCGAGCGTAGGAGAGGTGGGTGGTGCACTGGAGAGGGGGAGGTGCTAGAGAGGGGTAGGCGAGGGAGAGAGGGGGGAGTGCGGAAGAGAGCGCAGCCATAGAGAGAGCAGGAAAGTGGCCTTGGTACCGCAAAACATCTGGTTACTGCTCAAGCAACTGTCTGAAGAGAAGGCTGATATATCCACTTCCCGTCCGGAACATCAAAAACTATAAGCGGATACATCCGCCACCCGTCCTTTACCACCAAAGACATAGGCGGATATATCCGTCACCCGTCCGTGAAGGGTTAATTCTTCCACACAACAAAGTTTATCAATTTGAATTACTAGTAGGATAATTTAGGTTTCAACAACCGTAAAATGTTGATTTCTATAAACTACGGTACCTAAACGAAAATCCTATAATCCAATTATATATATTTAAAAAATCTGTACTGAAAAATACTGAAAAGGAGAATATATTTAATACTTTTAACAAGATAGTTGCAAACTGTACGTACTTAAACCATTGCACAACGGGTCTGGGGTCTCCAACGGCAAAACAAACCAACTCTGCTGGCTTATCCTCTTCTACAGGCAAAGTCTGTGGTTTCTCTCTGAAGAATGGTGCCTGGAAAAATAAACGTATCATAGTGTATAAGCTCATATAGTTGATTGATTTATATCTGGATTATCTGGTTATTTGATTAACAAACCAATCTTAGCTATTTCTAAATCTCCGTTGCTTGATAAAAACAGGTCCTATTGTGGCAAAGTGAAAGAGTGCAGGCATTTATTCAAAGTGTTGTACAGTAGACTCCCTCTTATCCGGACTCCTCGGGACCAAGGCCAGTCCGGACAACGGTTTTCCCGGTTAAGCCGACGTCCCCAAAAACTCATTAAAATGTACCGTTTACGGTGATATTCGACTTAAATTTAGGAGAGCATTGTATTTAGACATGTGATCACTGGTCTCAAATCTTTCCCACGAGAACAGTCGTTACAATACCACCCACTTCCTGCCGATCTAGTCCGGTTAAACCAATGTGCTGATAAAAATTGTCCGGTTAAAGAGATGTCATTTCCGTCGAGTGTAGTCCGGTTAAACCGATGTCCGGTTAAAAGGTGTCCGAATAAGAGGGAATCTACTGTAAATAGAAAAGAAATAGTCACTTTTTAGGCCATCTAACCTAACCTAACCTTTTAGGTACCAGGAAAAATAGTAAATAAAAACAAATTGAATGAAAAATCACACACTTTGGTTTCTAAGTATGCAGCCATTATCTCAGTACCGGTAATGAAAACTAAGGGAAAAATACAATTTTTACAGTACCACTGTCTGTGAGTTTGTTATCAACTAACTGTGTTATTTTGAACAAAAAAATGCTTTAGCTGGTCCATATATAGAGGGGGTCTACTTCAGTATTCAAAATGAAAGGTTGTAACTCTTACTATATGATTGAACTAGACATTTATTCTCATGTAAAGCCGTAACCAGTTCTAAAATGAAAATCGCCGAAAATGAGTTTAATTGAACTGAGCCCTCCGACAGATGGCTGACAATAATCTGTGCTTTCTGGTCATACCGAATTTTAACCACGCCAAACCGAAAGGACAAATCTACTGTAATAGTATATTACGTTACTAGTACTGAAAATAGGTGTTTACCGGACGAGTGTGGTCCTTCCCGTGCATGAGGGACGAAATCAAGTACGGAATTACCATATGAGTCCGGTAAACACATTTTGGACGAGTGACGTACAATATTTTACGCCTTACTACTCTAAGCTAACTTAACAATAAAAAATCTGTACAAATCCTTAACAGTATATTCCCACCGACTAAAGTATTTAACAATCACTAACTCATAAACTCTAAGAGAGCTTATGTTTTTGTTTATAACCACATTACGAAATATAATCAGCTGGTTCGTGTCCGGTAAAAACTCATTACAGTACAGTAGTACGTAATGAAACCCCAATTGATTAAGCTGGCGGCAAACAGCTGTTTTCTGTACTAAGCCTTTGCATGGGAAGTTTGTTAAAACAGTGCAGTGCGGTTTAAAATATGTAATATTTTATATCACATTAAAATATTGGTTCCAAAAACTAAGGAAGAAAAAATCATTTTAAAATGTATCACACTCAGTGAGCGAATCATTCAAATTCCACCAACTGTCAAAAAATATACTACAGCTGGTCCATATAAATGGGATGTCTACTTCAGTATCAAATGGCTGAACGTACCATCCCGTCGCGCCGTGCTGCCATCAGTGCCTCAGCCTCGACGTGAGAGTCCAGCCGGGTGCCAAGCTCGTGTCTTATCCTCCTCAATGTGTGCATGTCTGGGGAGCCGTAACGGTTGATCCTCTCTTTCCTTTCGTCGTCAATCTCCTCGTCCATGACATCTGTGAACCTGCGACGCTCTCGGATCACTGGCGTCTGAAATTCAATCATTGGTCAGTTTTTAGATCAAATCAACTGTTTGCAACAATTCCATGTTAGTTAAAAATTAGAATGAATTAAATACACTTGTCAGATTTGATTATATCTATCAAAATAAGATAGGAATTTAAAATTTGCAGTTTCTTTTTGAACATTCCTCATATGTGTTACCAATACTTTAATATACTAAATTATTTGGCTTATTAAACTCTACAAAACAAAAGAAATTGCAACATTTTAGATTTTTTAGGTCAAAAATGGAGAAAACTTATGTTTACCCTACAAACCCACCCACAAAATCTTGTTCCATAGTCTGATCATACTGGTCACAAACTCAAAATGTAGGCTTACACGTTTGTACCAAATTTAATCAAAATCAGATAGTTTTAAATTGGCAGATTACTTTTTTTTATTATTATCAGTTTAGGAAAAGAACCAAGGTCCTATTGGGTTAAGACAGCAAGCACTATGTTGAGAAGGAATCAACCACCTTTTGCCTTACAAAGGTAATACAACCAAACCGAACAATCCTATTCCTTTATCCATTAAAGATACAATGCCAAATCCTCTGCCATTTACTACTGTTACTCAAAACAACTATTCTTTATTAAAGACTGCTGAAAAAACAACTTCTACACCATCTAGAATATCCCAAGATAAAAGTAAATCTTTTTCGCCATCAAATACTCCCAATCAAGAAGCTGCAATAAAACAATCATCAAGAGGCAGAACTATAAGACCTACCAAACGGTTTCCTGGCTAAACTCTGAAAAGAAAGGGAAGGATGTTCAACCTCTATGGTTATTTAATTAATATTTAACCATATGTTTTTTTTACTTTCTTTACTGATGTTGTCTTGTTAGTCTTTATTAAAAACAGTTAAGTTTCTTTTGATCTTTTAATTTTTATCTAAATAAGAAATGGAACTGATATAAATGCAGGGTGAATGTAGAATGGAGCGAGAGGGTACTGGTAGTTTTGTAAGACCAGCTGTACAATCTTTACTCATAAGGCTATTCTATGTTCACTCTGATCTCAGAAGATGTTCACAATTTTTCCGAGACCGTAGGAGATATTCTATATTTTACCGTGATCTCGGAAGAGGTTTTTGTTTTTTCAACGACCGCAGAAGACATTTAAGATTACACCAAGAAATGAGGGGGATGTACAATGTATTGTACAAACCGATTGTAGTATTACAATCAATACATTCAAAGCAACATGATTCAGGCCCAACCCCTAGCTTTGTTCTCACCCTCCAGTCGACGTGTGGGTTGTCTCTGTCGTGGTAGTTCCCTCTGGACAGAGGACATCTCTCAGCAGCCACCTTCATATACTCCCTCAGTCGCACAGGAAAGTCTACATCCCTCAGTTGCAACAGGTAAGTGTCCGGACCGTTCTGGTAGCTGCAAACACAACAGTCATAGTGATAACTAATCATGAAACTGTAGTAATGCCAGCTGTTGTTAATGCAAGTCATTTTACATTATGCAGTTAGGACAAAGTAAATCTTATCTTAACTAGCCCTGTATCGGCTGACCTCTGTCAGAATGAAAACGGACATTGGTTTATTAACCCTGAATTAACTAACATTTTCTAGGAATACAGAGCTTCCTGTTCCCATCGTTATTGTAGGAATCAAATATATATTTAAGTCTGTGCAATGTGCATGTGTAGTTTTGTTACTAACCTGACCTGTATCAAGGAAGTTTTAGAGCGTGGTTATATATAATTAATGTAAATATATATACAGTACAGAATAGACAGATCGTCATTGTAAAAAGTAAACACAGCTATGCCACAAACACAATCACTTAACATACATTAATTGTTATTGAAGTATACAGTTACAAACTTTAAAATCTAGAGCAAACCAAACATTTCAAAAAATTATAGCAATTAAAAGTTTTTGAGATGTTGAAAAATATTTAGCTGTCCAAAAAAACTGTACATTGCAACAAACCACTTCCTATAAATCTCATACGAGACAAGACATATGGTCTCCTGTTCTCACAAAGAAGTATTGATAAAAACTGAAATCAAAGAGCTTTAAAATTGAATAGGTAAAGTAATATGAAACTAAATCGATAATTACAGTATTTACAACAAACTGTAACTTTTACTTACTGACTCTCAGACTTGACGGCACACAGCTCGTAGTCCAGAGGTTTGCGAGAAGGGATCTGGTCTTCCCAGGTTCTGGGTGTACCCGCCTTGCTTGTCTGCTCGGGTGGAGGGGTCGGGTCGGGTGTGTAAGCTCGTCCGGGTGGGTAGACCATGCGGCTTGGGTGAGTGAAAGCACCATCCAGTGGCATACGTCGGTACCATGTTCTGCATGAGGCATTGGCATACCAGTCCCTGTAACAGTCAACAAGCAGCTGACAATCTTGAAAAATATAAGCTAATTTGAAGAGATGTACTATAATTGACATACAATAATGTTGTTTATCCTTGTAGGAATCACTTGGTTACAACATAGTGTCACAAAGTGAACATCTCTTGGATCCTCGACTAAAAGCTCAGGAAAGGTGTTGATGAGTGTTAATCTAAAACTACTGCCACCTATCGAGTCTCAAATTGTGGTTTGCTTTATACACGCTTAATTATCATTGAGAACGAATTTCAGCTTTTTTGTATCAAACACAACAATTTACGTTTAAAGTATCCAAAATGTAACTATACAATTAACTAGAACATTGACAAAAACATGATAACTATCATGGACAATATTTAACACCATTTGCATCACACTTTCTCTCACCTCATCATCATGGGAGGCTCTAGTTGGGAACCTCTTTACACACTACTCTTGGCCAGGCCTAGAGGGATGCAGTTTTATCACATAAGTCATTGGTGATTGGTCAAACTCAAACCCAGGACATGAGGCACCAACGTTAGAGAAGAGGTCTAGTTAGAGAACAGGACTTTTGTATTGGAGTCTGGGGTTCAAATCTTGCCAATCAACAATGACTTGGCAACGTGCTTGTACGTAACCAAGTTGTTCAGTAATCACCTTCAAGCTGTAGGTAGGTCCAAGGCCTTACAAGAAAAACAGGCCATGCTGCAGCGCAGGCAGCACAACACTACATCACAATGATGGATAGTTGTACTAAAATCTAACAAACAGCCACCTTATTTACCTATAACATCTGTGATGTAGCAGTGAATCTACCCACAAGTGTTACGTCATGGATCCTGCAGAATGGCCTGTTTTCATAGTGGGACCTTGGTAGGTCGCTAAGGTATGGAGAACTGTCTCCGTATAGGAGATCCTTCTCTACAAAAGTACTGACGTCTACTCACTTTAGCAGGTTGTAGTAGTTGCGGAGAGTGTCAGTAGTAATACTGTGTTGGTTGGAAGGCATCTTGTCTGCCGAGTTAAGCCAAGGATGTCGCAAGGCTGCTTTCACATCCATCCGACCTTCGGCATCAAATACCAACAGCTTTGTGATGAAGTCCCTAGCTTCTATTGACAAGTACTTCCAAATGTCCTCCCGGAACTCCCATTTGTTCTCCTAAAGCAAACGTAGCATTGGGAAATCACAAAGATAATCTGAATCTTCTCCCTCTCAGATGGTTGACGAGGTAAATCAAACAATAAGTGTAAATCTAGGTCACGGTAAGAGGAAGCACCATTATCACTTCAGTTAGTACTTGTGCTCTGATCTAATTTAAATCCGTCTTTTAATGATCAAAAGAGTGAAAAGTCTAAGGGAACTGCTGAGGTAACTGAGGTAAGTTAAACGACACTTGGGTCCATGTAAGAAATCCAACAACACTCCACCTACCTTGATGTTGGTAAGTGTGGTACGATCGTCTTGTCCTCTAAACAGAGATATGCCCGTGAGCAGCAGATGAGTGATGACTCCCACTGACCACATGTCTGCTGGGAAACTCACACCTTCACCCTTTACTATCTCCGGAGCTACAAACTCTGGCATACCTGTCAACAAGAGGAGTAGAACAAAGTTACGTAAATTTTACCTGTAACAAATACAATACTAGGTGTCATCAATTTTCCAAACAGTAGCTTAGGAGTAGCTTTAGCTTGTGTGGGTAAATAAAAACCTGCTGGTTCTAGACTGACTCATATTGTACTATTTTATCACAATGGATTGAATATGTGACCTGGTACTTCACTGTTATTAGATTAACGCACAGATCAGTACAGTGACAAGCAGTTGAGGCTATTAAAAAATAGAGGAATTGCATAGTTTCTGGAGGGCCCAGCATGTTAGTAGCATTTGAAAACTGTATTAAATAAACTAATGTCATTACACGCCAAAAAGGCAAATTTAAATCTCTCCTAGATATGACTCCACCCCTCATTTAATTTTTTTTTAAATTATTTTAAACCTGTTAAATGTTAAACTAAGGGCAGCCTATATTTTGGAATTTTCATGTCAAATTTTAATAATTATAAGTATTGCATCTTATATCTTTTTACAATAATAATGACGATGTCAATTACAATAATGTATTGTTTAAAGACTGAATAAATGACTATTCAATGACTATTCCTCATAAATTCAGTGGCTTATCTGAATTGGTAGGTTGATTCAGTAGGTAGTAGAAATAAAATAACATACTGTAATTGGAATAAATGTATCAAGAAATGAGAAAGAAGAGGCAGCTTTTATTGGAAAATGCTGGAAGTAATAACTTATCACATGAGCCAAATTTTACCTTAATCATGTCTTTTAAATAAAGACACTCACTTTTGAGTGTCTGCTTTCAGCTGAATGTAGGGTGAGTAGCTAGTTTTTACAGACTAAAACCAGAAGAACAGCTGTTTCTTTTGCCAGAGCCAATCTAAGACTATAATAATTGAGGCGGTAGCTGCAATAAAGGCCTATGGATCCATAGGCCCTTTTTGCGGAGAACGTTTCTTTCAACTCTACACATGTTTGTTGGTATACCTGCAAAGTCTCATATTTGAATCTGAAGTAGTTTTTTTTTGTACAGCTGTTATAAGAAAGTTGTGTATAGGCCCTTCTTGCATAGATCGAGGTTAATGACATTGAATTTATTTATTTATTATCATCACATTACATCAATGATTGACAGGTGATTTGTCATCAAACTAAAATCTATTGTAACAAAACAACAATCATAATATTAAAAATAATTATACATTTGTTAGGAAATCTTCCAGTGAAAAAAATGCCTTCTCCAGAAGCCATATCTTATGTGTTTTTTTAAATTTCAATATTATGCAATCAATTTCCTTTATTGTTGAAGGCAGCTTATTATACATTATTTTGGGTCCCATATATTGTGGGTATAAATGAAATAATTTTAGTCTATGTTGCATTGGTTTTATTACTTTATTACAAGTGGCAGAGATTTCAAGTTATTGTTGCCTTTCATCAGCGAGGAAAACAGGAAGTTTTACACTGATTTGTTTGGAAAAGAGGGTGATGCTGGAAACTAAATTGTAGAGACATTGAAAGATAAAAGTATTAGATATCCAACTAGCCTATATGACTCACTTTTTTATTGTAAAATAAAAGTGTTACATTTTCAACTATGACTCATATTTTACTGTGCAGCCTACCTGTTTTTCTCTTACAGGTTACACTATGATTTTATTATTTTTAATTACTGAGCCGGTAAGATGTAATTTTAAATTTAAATTTTTCTTAACAAACTGTTAGAAATTGAATAAGAAAACACATATTTTATGCTTTATTAGATCATATAAATATTGGTCTATGCAAAAAGGGCATGTAAAAACTTCATCTATGCAAAAAGGGCCCATGCACTATTTCACATAAACAAATATACTTATTAGCCTGATATTGTTATTAAAAAACCATGGTAACAAATTTGCTTCAGGTTCCAAAGAATATGGAGAAGTATTCCAAGTTATATTCTCAGTAAATGCAATATTTATGCAAGAATGACATTTTTTTGAACTAGTTTTTCTCAAATCAATGTTTTGGCATATAGGCCCTTTTTGCAGCTACCGCCTCAATTACCAAGGACAGGCTGGTCCAGTTTTAACACATTCACTGCTAATGATATGTAATACTTTTATAAATGGCTAAAAAACATTAACATTAACATGATCATGTTAATTGAGTGACAATATATCTTTAATTAAATAAATTTCATACTATAAATTGTGGATTAAAATATATTATGTAATTATATACATCATGTATTATATATCTGCTAATATACTTATGACGCACAAGTGCGTCATTAGCAGTGAACGTGTTAAACTATCACAGAAAAAGATCACTTCAAAAGTTAAGCTTGAAAATATTGATTCAAACAATGAAATAAGGAGTACTATGAACAAAAAGACTTTTATCTACGACCGTTTTTTAAAGTAGCCATTTCAGTCCAGTTCTTAGAATTGAAAAGTTTCACTTTACAGCTGTTTACTTTCATATCCGCATAGTTTCATTTCATATCCGCATAGTTTTCTCATATCCACACAGGTAACGGACCAATGAGGTTCAAGTATTGAGAGAAAAGAATTAAAATTGTAATGCTTCGAACGTAAACTAATCAGCTGATCAGCTGATCAGTTGACCAATTTAATTGTTGATCCGACTTGTTCATGTTGATACTCGCGTATTCTTAATTAAGTTGGTGGAAGTCCAAAAATAAATTAAATATTTGCCGAATTGTACCTGATACAATATTATTTATGGTAAGAATGCTGCTAGCAATGTAATAATTAACGAAGTTTAACAAACACGTAATTACAGGAAATCAGCTGATTATACAACAAGTCGTTGCATCACTTTCAGTGGCAATGACAATACACGAAAACATAACCTCTCTAAAAAGTTATCATTAGTGATTGTTAGTAATTAAATCCAGATTGATGGTAATTAAAAAACGGTCGTAGGTAAAGTAGTGTACGCAACTCGCGTTAATAGTCTTTACGACACTCGTAGAAGTTTTTAAGGCACGAGCCGTGGCGAGTGCCTTAAATTTTCTACTCGTGTCGTAAAGACTCACTTAACGCAATCGTTGCGTAAACTACTATTTTGTAGGCCTTATCCTTTCATTTTAGGGCTTAAAGTAACATAAACACTTGGAATCATGAGAAACACTCCTACTAAATTAATTTACAAGTTTAACTTACCATACTCCAAAGAAGCGAGTCTGTTGTAAGCTATACGCCTGGCGAGACCAAAGTCACAGATCTTTAAGTCATCTCCACCAGGGTGAGAAATGAGAAGATCACCAGGCTGTGAAAAAACCGCCCTTTTAATGTTGCACTCCTTAACAGTTAAAGCATATAGTAGAAAATGCTGACTTCTCAGATATCTTCACCATAAAATGATCTTTTCCTACCACTGCATGGAAAGGATCATATTGCCACAACCTTAAACAGTACGCATAACAGCTCATTTACGCTCTAGAGCAGGAATCGATCATTCCCACTCGCTAAACAGTGCAAAAACACTGTTTAGTGCAAACACAAAAACAATGAAATGCCAGTAATGACCTGGCATTTCACTGTTGGCATTTCTACACCAACCATAGCCGCGGATCACAACCAGTAAACAAATGACATAACCTAAATGACATTTTATGTACGACTAAAAAGTTAATCTGTTTGTTATGATAAGTTAATTATGGTGGTAAAAAACACACTGCGTGTATTACGAAATACGATCACTAACAGTCATTGTCACTCTTAAGCTGTATGGCAGCCATCTACAGTTCTCAAGCGGCAATGACGTACTTTGCGCTCTCTGTACACAAATAGCTACTGTAATGTTTGTAGTAGTAGAGAGTCCTTATATTTACGGGCAATTAAACAAACGTTCTCCCCCTGAGAGATAGTTGTGATGAAGTGATAGTCTATTTAAGCCACCTTACAAATGGGGCGGCAAAAACACAGTTTTGTTTTGTTTCAATAGATTCGTAAGTTAGCTTTGTATATTCAAGAGCATGGAGAAATCTTTTAGGTGGTATTACAATTAAAATAAATTACATTGAAGACAAATTTAGTTGTTAACTAACTTGACAAAAACCTCTATGATGGTCTTAAAATTAAAATCAATTACCTTAAGCCGGGTTTTCCTAGGCGCGGAATCGGCGAGCGTAGAGAGGAACGCGGAGAGCGGACTCCACTTGTCTTAGGCAATTTAATGTTACTGTTTTCCTAGAAGCGGAGCGGAATGCCATGTTAATTTCAATTCCGCTCTCCGCGTTCCTCTCTCCGCTCTTCGCTTCCGCGCCTAGGAAAACCCAGCTTAAAAGGTATTTAAATTAAAATCAGCCACTTTTGGAGACTTTTGAATTAAATATGGGCTTAAAGAAGTTCTTTAGATTAAATTCAATGACTTTGGAATTTTTAAATCAAAATCATAGAGGTCTTATCAGCCACTAGGAAGATTTCTGTGACATTTTAGCAACCCTCTTAACCCTGATTCTTATGATATAGATTTTGATAATGAAACTTTGTAGATTCTCGTCATACAAATTCTTGTACTATACTCACTGTCAGACCAAGATGGGCAATGTTCTGGTCATGCATGTGTTCCAAGCCCCACAAGATTTGACGGATGTATCCAGCAATCTCAGACTCAGTAACAAACGTCTGCTTGGTAAGGTTGTACAGTAATTCGCCACCAGCAGCACTGTTATGTGGCTAAGGAAACTAAAATTCTTACAAAGGTTCTTGCGACATAAAGTCTTAATTGAAAGAGTAAATATTGCTGTTCGTTAGAAATAATTAAAAGAAAAATTATTCCTGTTAAGTTTTTTTTTGTGACTTGGCGGTTTAGTTTGCAGCACGGTATACTGAAAAACGAAGACAGTAACATTGTGGGTTTAGTGTCTTGGTATACCACTTTAAATTCACGAGTTCAATTCATTTTTGTACTGTCCCGTTTCAACTCTTGTTTCGCTTGATACGTTCAAAACTCAGGCCTTTGAGACCCATTTCGACAGACAAATGTTAAGTTATAGGCCTAAGAGGGTGCCAACCACTTCAAAAATACCTCTTAAAACAAAGGACTAATTTTTAGTCCTAAATACAAAGGCGCTAAATACAGTTAACTCCTTTGGAAACTTCAGATTCGGACTCTTATAAAAAGTATTGACTAGTAGAAATTAATACAAAAATAAATAAATACCGTACATTAAATAGCCTAGATAAAAAAGGTCTGAAAAATAGATAAGTGCAGTACTTGACCGAATAATAAAGGAATGATAAAAAAAAAACAAAAAATAAACATCTCTACTTACAGAACAAGTGCTAGGCAAAAAGGTTGTGCTTGTTGGTTCGTTTTTCCCTTAGTGTCTATGATATTGGAATTTTGTATCTAAGAATCATAAATAGTAAATACACCAAAGCCAGAGACTTAAACTGCTACGCCAGCAATTCACTAATTTTTATGCGGCCAAAGATTTTTTAAATTGAGTTATGAACAATGTGCAGTGGTGTAGTGGTAAATTTTCCAGTGCGGGAACACTCGTCACTATCATCGTTTAAGAAAAACACAGGTCGCCTATTATAGGATTTTTGAAAAAAAAAAAAAAAACAGAAAACCGAGTGCCATCCTGGAGGAGCGCCAACGTTCCCACCTCACTACACCAAGGTACTTCAAACATCCCCAGGTGGCTGTCCAAACTAAGTCCTGCACTGAAATTCTTTAAGTAAATATACCAATGTATACAAATTTATATTTGTCAAAGAGGGTGTAAAGTAACAAGAAACTACACAATATACAAGCCATTGTAGTAAAGGATACATTTCTGTGACCAAAGTGAATGTGTGTGGGCTCTCATAAGCATCGTACAGTCTGATCAACTTGCGATGGTTCAACATGTTCATCATCTCCAGCTCATTGCGCATGAAACCTCGCAGCTCACCCTTGCCGTGCATGATCTTGGCAGCGTAGTTGCGACCTGAACAGCAATAAGGCTTAAGTGTCACCTTGGGAAACTGTACGACTTTACTATGTGATATTATTCAGATGGTCAACTAATCTTTAAACAAAAAATTATGACTCTTCTTCTGTGACTTTTTTCTTGACGAATCCTCTGTAATGTTTGCCTAGTTTCTCTGGATTAGTACTTAAAATTCTGTAAATTTTAAATGCTATTGAGTTATCAACTAAATAAATTACGAGACTGTATTGCACTGTACTATTTCTATTTCTTTTTGATTGGCGCTTCTATTAAGAAAAATAACATTAACTGATCTTTACATCTTTTTTGGCTTTGACACAAATTTAAAGCATTGAGTGGCCTTCATTAAAATCACTTTTCAGGGACATTTTATGTGACCTCCAAATAAATCAGTACATTTTCAGTGACTAGATGTCTTCAGTAACCAGGTGACGCCCTTTTTCTTCAACTTGAATAATCGTGTTATTATTTAATTTTACTGATATTAGACTTTCTCTTGGGATAATTGACTTTTATCTGGATAAAAAGAACTTTATATATCAAAAGTTTGGGCACTCAGAAATAAAGTATTACTTGAGAAAATTTGGCAAGCATCAGTAGGCCTATTGTTTGTATTGTGCAAAATAATAAAATTTCAAGCGATAACATGTTTAACATATCTACTTATCAATCAGAGCTAGCTAACAGGTTTTGACTTGTTTACTTACGTGGCCAAGGATAAAAAGCAAATATGGCTGTCAAAACCAAAGAGATCCGAGTGAAAGGCTTCAACTGTCTTTTGATTGTTTTACAGAAAACTATATTATTCGCATGAACATGAATTTACAATGACCAAAAATTAACATTCTATGGATTGATTTCAAAGTATACAAACTGATTTACCACTGAGCCGCTCTACAGAGTGGTATGTGATGCCCTGAGTGCCTCTGCCCAGCTCATCGCCCAGGTCGTAGAATTCGCCCAAAGGTTTTATCTTGGGCTTGACGTTGCGTCCCTTGCCGTAGGTGAGATAGCCATAGTCTGACTCACTCTCCTCCACACGTACCATCACGGAGCTGGATACACTACCGGCGATGTTGCGTGCTGAGATACTGTACAAGCCCTCGTCCTTTGTGATGGCGTCGTTGATGATCAGTATACACAGGTCTGGCTCTATGTGTTGAATCTGCAACCACAAATTAATGTGAATCAGCTAATCTGATTTTCAGGATATTGTACTAAAGAAACTTTTGAATGTCAGAGGGAACCTCGACAAGATGGGCGTGAATGCTTAAAGAGATTGAAATGATGAATCAAATTACAAACATTATTACAAACGAATTTGTAAGTTAAAATCTTCTTGAGTGAAACTGCAGTAGAACTCTTCATATTTAACAAATCCTTTCAGGTCGAGCCTAGGAAGTATTTGGTTTGATAAACCAACTAAAGAAAGGTGATTTAATCCTAATAAACATTACACACTATAGATATAATTAATTCTTTGATCAAATTAACAGACGTTTAAATCTTCTTTTGTGTAGAAATAATAACAAACACATAAAAAACTTATATTATTAACCATGTTTAGACACTGATTCTAACTAAACAGAATCACTGCAGTAGTGTACGCTAAATAGAAATCAGAACACTACTGATTCTTTTGTAATATATTTACTGTGCATATGCAATAGTTCAGTATTAACTGTATACTGGCCTATATACAGATGGACTGTGATAAGTGTTCAAATTTACTTGCTTATCAGCCGTAAAAAAGCCACATTTTTATTTTTCAATATTACGAATTGGCTGGATAATGCAAGGTCTGGAAAACACAATGCCAAATATTAACAGTTCTACTAAAAAACAGTCTTTCAGAGTCAGAATGGGTGAATACAAAAGTCTTACTGCTGGTAGAGAAAAATGTAGAGGAATAATTACCTATAAATAAAATATATCACGTGAAAACTGCTTAAAAGCATTGTAAAGTTAATATACACTTCCCAAGAGTTCTTGCTCTTTGAAAACTCAGCTACTGATCAAGTTCAGTTTGGCGGAGTCCAAGTAATTTCTGGTCAGAAGGAAATAAGAACTGTTAGATAAATATTGGATTAGATAGGCTAAAATATAAAATTAAAATAGCTCTAAAATCAAGATAGTCTAAATAGTACATATTTATATATTTACAGACGTCTCATGCCTTTTCAGGGGAAAATATATCTACATAAACATTGTCACAAAATGAGTCACTCAAGGAGTTTTCGACTAAGAGGTGGCACACAGGAAACTATAAAGACGAAACTACAAAGAACATGCACGAGCGAGAACGGAGAAAACGTAATGAAGAAGTGAAGAACAACGACTACAACATCCCAACACTGGAGCTGCAAATCTGGGTGAAATGTGATATCCAAACAGACTGAGACTCTCCAATGCTCTAGAAATGTAATTTCCAGCGCAGAAGAGAACGAGGCGTACAAACCTTTCCGTTGCCGCTGTTCTCACTCGACTGCCCAGACCCGGGAAAGATGTTGATAAGGTGTTGAAGCATCTATGCATCAAAAGCACACACATTGATTTTGTGAAAAGCAGTTTTCAACTTGTCAAGAATCGGAAGATTTGTTTGAGTGAATCTGATGGATACCTGATTGCTTCTAGAGTAGTTGAGGTTTATTCATGTTAATACAGTGTTTTATTGTAATTTAAATTTAGATTTTGGGTAATTTCTGGATGCTGTAGAAAGAGCTTCATAGGGTGAAGGTAAAATAAGCAAACAAAATGTTATGTTAATAGCAAATAAAATTATCAAATTATCAAAATACTTATTATCTGGAGAAAGATCAAGATAATAGACAGTTTCTCCTAAAAAAAGGGATGTATTTTTTTTGTTGCTATTTTACTTAATTAATGAACCTGCGGTTTAAGTTGGAATTGGAACCGCCGGGTTATGTATTATCACATCAACTTCCTGAGGTTGGCGTTAAAGCCCACATCTCAAGGACGTGCCAGGCTCCCAAAATACTAAGCCAAAATAATCTTTTGTTAACACTATATCATGAAACTGTAGTATTATGATTTTGTGAAATAAATGCATATAGTAAAAGAAGTAAGCTTGTGACAGAATAAAAATGGCATTGTAAGCAGAACGTAACATTGCTAAAGCGTTGCTGCATGAGACACATAAAGCGAGGCATTCAATAGTTTTCTATGCAACAACAATGTAAGCTTACTACAAAGCTTCTAGTAAAAGAATTTCAGAATATAACCTGTCTTACCTCTGAACCGTAGTTGGAATAGATCCAGGCACAGCAAGATTATTACGGGGAAATCAGTTAGGAATCTAACAAAGGTTCTCTATTCTATATTGGAAATTTATTATTAGAGCTGAGAATGGTTTTGAAATATATTCTTCAAACAATATGACACCTTCATGCAAAACCTTTACACTTTGGGGATTACATATGTTACAAATTAGTAAAGATGGGAGATTAAAATTTGGTTGGTGCATGAATCTTTCACTGTACAAAGATACCATTATACATCTTACAGCAGAGGTGCTGAATAATTTTGATGTAAACAATTTGTTTATGTTGATCGATACCCATTATTTTTTATCAAAGTATCAAATATCAATGCAAGTATTTTTAAGTCAAAAAAGATTTGATCTGCCAACTCTCAAAAACCCAATTGCATAAATAATCTGATGTCAAATATCTACAAGCTTTAAAATAGGGTTGTTAATGCATGGCTCTACATTGAAGAAGAATGAATAGATACACAACTAACTCACCCAAGAAAGAAGTTCCTGACAGTTGAAGCACACAAACTGTTACAACACAAATAATTTGACATTCCCCCATACATGGGGACGCTATTCAGAAGAAAGTAGTAGAATGCTGAAGAAGCCTCTTGTTGGGGAAAATATCACACTAATTATTGTGCTGTGTACATAAAACTGCCTGTAACTCTTTCTTGGATAAGTTAGTTGTATAGCCATTCCTCATTACTTTATGTATATTTCACTAAGAGTTTGTATCAGAGGTATCCGTCCCCCCAGGGTCAAGGTGCCCCCCCCCCATTTTATACTGCCCCCTTATTCACCCCTACCCCATAACTTATCCACTTGCCCCCTTACTAAACCAACTCTAACATTTCAAGGATTTACTACTAAAGTTAAAAATCTGACTAACTGTGAATACAAAATGTTTATTACGAACATTTGTTTTCCAATTTAATGTGGAGAAAATATGAATATTTCCCTCCCTGCATCATCTCTAAGACTGTGGTCTTATATCTGCCTATATCATAATGTCGTTGTAACATTAATCCCTGATTGCGGAACTGACGAGATTAACTCCCACCCCCACAGCCTTAAAGACCTCATCGGCAACTTTTTGAAACTCACCCGTGGTAGCAATGACTTAATTGTCTCAGGTGATTGCAGCACATTCTTGACTTTCCCTTCCAGTCGTAAAGACATAATTATTGCCCTCCGTAGTTGTGGCAATATCTTGACATTCCCACGCTGTTTTGGAGACATCATCAATGTACCTTGCTATTGTGGTAAAGTAAGGAACCCTTCTAACGATTGCCAAGACATTATGTTGTTGTGGTGAAAAAATTTTAATTATACCTATGAATACTGAAGAGCTAAAATTGTGTTCAAAGTGTTAATGAAATGCTTTTTAGGGCTACCCGTTAAAAAAATAAGTATCAATGACAAATGTAAATCCCCCCCCCCAAAAAAAATACCATTGGCCCAAGTGTGCTGCTGTACCCCCTCTGGGCACCTCTGTAGCATAAAGTTGATACAGAAAAAGGTTTGTCAACAAAAACTGCTACAACACCTACTTCACTAACCCAGTCTGCCATACAGTTTAAGTCAGTTAAGATGGCAACATAGATTGCTGAACTATATTACTTTCAATGTAATAGGAATAGTGCAAATATCAAAGTGTTGTTTGACATAGTTTAAGTTTTTAATTAGTGCAACAAGACGTTGTTCTACAATTTTATATTTTGTTAACATAGACCAGCCACCAGCCTAACCTAACCTAAACCTTACCTAGCCATCTAAACCCAGCCCAACCACCTAAACCAAACTCAATGAGCTAAAACTAACCCAACCCAACCTAGCCTAAACCTAATCTAATCGAACCTTGATTCTACTGGAGGAAGCCAGCGGCTGCCAGTCTTTGTACCACTTTATCTCTGGGTAAGGCACTCCGATGACTCGTGCCTCGATGCGCCCCGAGCGCCTAACCATCACGATGGTTTCGTCGGGCCGCTGTAGGAACTCTGGGTATTCTGCTATCTCCAGCCGCACTCTCTGACGAGCCATACCGTGCTCATTGGTCGCCACTGCCTCGTACATCCCCACGTCTCTTTCCAGCATCCTGCCAAAGGAAAGGTTATCAGAAAACATAAGACTGCAATATGTTAGATCTTATTTTATGCACAAGCAGACATTAAGTAAAATCTCCCTCCAAAAAAATACCATTGGCCCAAGTGTGCTGCTGTGCCCCTTTAAGCACCTTGGTAGCATAAAGTTGATACAGCAAAAAGTTTGTCAACAAAACTGTTACAACACCTACTTCACTAACCCAGTCTGCCATAAAGTTTAAGTCATTCGTTGCCATAAGTTTGCTTCATTCCAGCCATGCTATAAATCTGAACAAAAATAGTACACATTTTTCCAACACTACTCAATGTATTTATTATTCATATCAATATAGCAAGAACTTCTAAAAATTCTATATAACTGAATCCTTTTCTAAACACACCTCACTCAACCATGTCAGGATTTGTTTGCAACTTCTTAGGTTGTATTTTTAAGGAAAATTGTAATACATGCAAAACTGCTACATATTAAAACATAACTTATTGAGGATTGTTATCAGTATAACAGACTTATCTGAATAGCTAAAAGTCCACCCTGGCACAAAAACCCAAAATACAACATTATATCAAATTAATTATTGGGTATGCACATTGTTGTATTCCTTGGACTCTTCTCGTTCAAGTGGGCCTGATATAGTAACAACACAACAATGATTACTTACTTGTTTATGAAGAGTGTCGCTTGTCCGTTGCGGGTGTAGCTAGAATCATATCTTCCTCCCATCTCTATCGGTTCGTCGTTGAAGAAGTACGTCATCTTAGGCTTGGGGTAGCCGTAGACAAACCAGAACAAGTTACAGTTGTGGTTCTTGACTCCATATTGGCAATCATGTTCTTGCCGCAAGAACCTGTAATATAGAATTTTTAGATTGGTTATTGTATCAGTTTAAACTTTACAAAGCAAAATGACTGTGTTAATGTTAACATTTTTTAAACACTAAAAATATTAGTTCGTTTTACAATCCTAGACACTGAAACATCAGGGTTCGTATTTTAAGGTAAAATAGAATGAAGATGTTAAACTAATGAAGAAATGGTAACTTTATTACTCACTTGTTCTGTTTCTTTAGCCCAGGACCATTTCTTAAAAGCCCAGTGATAAAGGACAGCTGGGTCCAGTTTAGAACCATAAAAAGCTACTGACTTTTCTCAGGATTGAACCAACGACCTTTAGATTGTTAGGTGTTATGTGAGTACTAATCAGCAGCACAACTTCTACTTTAGCTACCTGTACAATTTCAATTAAAAAAAAATTGGAAATCACAATTATTACGATCATTATGTTTATTTGAGTGGAAAGTTTTAAGGCATTGAACAAGTGAAAAAAGTTTTCTCAATGTTACGCACTTAAACATTTTTTTCTGTTTGATGTTAAGTGTTATGTTAATTGTAGTTTTTCTATACGTTTTTGTTCTAGATAGGTAGACTTCTCTCAATGTGGGCATTGAACCAATAGGGTTAAGACATTAACAGAACACATGGCTTCATGAAAAAAATCTTGAGCTCCAAACACAAGACGAGTTGTGTCACTAAATATCTTTTGTCTATTATTGGACAGTCAATTTTTATCTCACTGGGATAATATTGTGTAGTAGTACAAGAAAATCAGAATTTAAACAAACTAACATACACTCCTAGCCAGTCTTACTTGGGAGCTTGAGCGTAGCCGTCGTGGGGAGGTCTCTCGATATCAAAGTCCTTAGGGAAGTAGGGGGAAGTCTCCGGTCGGAAATCGATGCCTGGAGGCAGATACGGGATAAACTTGGGGGGATCTGGCTCCAACTTTTGTCTGTGGTATAAGATAAAATATTAGCAATCAGAATACAAAGCTTATTCACCATACCACACTAATAATCAACAAACAATAACTAACGCTTTTCTTATACACTGTGTAATTCCAGTAGATTTCCTGCTGTGAACAACATGTAATAATCAACTAGGATAAGTATTTAATAATCACATGTGAATACGATTGATTGATTGACAATGTGAACATCACAGAACTAGCACAATCCAAATGTAAAATACATAAAATACATAAAAACTGCAGAATTGCTCCTTGGCTTACAGTTTTTGTGAATACCTTGATTTGTTTGAATGGAGAAATAATATATGCGTCAACATATTCACTTTTGCTAATTCAAAAGCAAAAATAATAGACTTGCGTCAGGATGGCTTAGAATTTAATTGTGGTACAGCAGAGGTCCAACAATCCGAATTGCCATTCATCCTAATTCCTTACAGAAAAAATGTTATATACCTAAAACTACAGCAAAAAGAATCATTATTAAAGAAGGCATGATTGAGAAGCCATGATTGTGGCAAATCTTTTGCGATCATAAAAAAATCTCGAATATCTCTCGTATTTGAACATTATCATCGTTTATGGCAATCACGAAAAATCTTAAACACCTCCTGCGGTCATGTAGACATCATCATCTCCCGCGGTCACAGAAAAGCAGCATCATCCTCCGCGATCACAACAAAGGTGTAGTTTCGTTTATCGCAGAATCTTTGCAGCGTGTTCTGTGATTTTATAGCAAAAACTATTTTCAACTCGGCCTAATTTCTAATGTACGTTTGCAAAAATTTTTTAGAAAGACTTTGTGATTGACCACACAACATGTTCTGTGAACAGATAAAAAAAATTTTATTGTTAAATAAATTTGATCAATCCTGTTGTTTAGTTTTCAACTATTATCTTTATTCAACTTTTCAGTTAGGCTATGCAATTACAATTTGTTCTTATTTTATTTATTATTATTACTTTTTAATACTGTAATTTAGTTCAAAGAACTGACTGTTAAAACTATTATAAGAAGAATGAGGAAGCAGCTGTTCAATTATCTGTGAGCTTTCTATATTGTGTGCTAAACATCATTACGATTATGATTAAAAAATACTCTGAATTTTGGTAAAAATCGTATTATCCTAATGTGGTACAGTCCCTATCGGTTCGTATGGTTGGAGTTAAACTGTAAATACATTTGCCTTTTTTTTTTGTAATGTCTAAGCCTTGAACAGTTAAAAACTGTCTTTTTCATAAGGAAAAATTCTTTTCACAAGGTAAGAAGAACAAATATATACTGATATGCTACTTTTCAGTTGAATGTTTCTATAAATTGAGATAAAAAAGTATTAAAAGTACGCACCTGTATGTCTGGGCGAAGGGAGATGGATCGCTGACTCCATACTTGTTTTCTACTCTGATACGGAATTTATAATCTCTGAATGGCTCCAAGTTAGCTATGTCACAGGCACAGCTTCTCACACCTAGTACATAAATGTAAATATCTTTATACTGCCATCTAAAATGCGACTTTAAATTACAAAATGCAATTTCTAATAGGTACTGTGCATGAGGATGTTCATGCAGCTTCTTCAAACCTACTTTATTAATGTATACTTATTTCACAATAATCTCTTAATACAAAATATTCAACCAACTTCTGCTTATTCACCCACCAGTCCTAGCCGTGAACCACTCTCCGCTCGGCAGTTCGCACATCTCCACCTGGTAAGTGACCGGGTCACGTGGGCCGATGGGAATGGAGGGTTTCCACGACAGCGTGAGGCGTCGGTCTGTCATGCGACTGATGATGGGACGGTCAGACAGTGGTAGTGGGGCGCCTGTCTTCTGGAACTTGTCAAAGTCTACGTACTGCTCACCGATGGGCTTGCGAGGCCTGACGTCCAGAGCTGGGACAGAAACAGGATGAAAATGTCTTAAAGATATTAAAGTACACTGTCAGAAATTAAATGCTTAAAAGATACAGAGTAACAGAGAGCCCCAAGTGCCTATGAATTAAGGATTGTTTTCAGGGTATCAGGCTAAAGCCAACACGTTCAAACTATTCTTTCCCATTCAGTTCAGTGAGCAAACGTGCTATCCTTACCTCAAAAATTAAAAATAGGTCTTTAAAAAAACAGAAAACAGAGGTAAGGTCTGGATAGATGGTTATCGATTGGAGACATAAAAATGTCAGAATTCATTAGAAGACTGTGCCAGGGAGAGAAAGTTAATTTGTTGGAAAGGAAGATGTGGAGGGGCAAGATTCTTAGTATTCTGGGACTTCACAACACTAGTGTGAGTGACATGGATATACATCATGAGGTACCTTTAACAAGTTTTCAAAAGGTCATCTGGACTGAAGTGTAGCATGAATATGCCTGGGAGTTATGAGCCAACCACCCAGTTAAGTTGTGGTTAGGTTAGGCACTGAGGACTCCCCTATACCTCAAAGACCCCTCACTCAATAACCAATCAATGATAATATTCTTGGTATTGACCAATCAATGAGCCCACACTCCATATCGCTTGGGTTAACCAATATACTGCCAAAGTCAAACAAAAATTCTTTTGCCATCAGCTGAAAAACAATTCTTTGTCACAACTATCAGGCTAGAGTTAGTTGTAAACAATGCATTATTTAATCTTACTAATATTATAAATGTAAAAGTTTGTGTGTTTGTTTGTTTGAAGTTCAATCACCCAACTACTGGTTGAATTGGGTTGAAATTTGGTATGATGAGCTCACATTCCCGATTACATACAGAGATATTCTTATCTCAAAAATCCTTGGCTATTAATAAGAGTTCAATAGAGCGAAATAATAGCAAAGCACGAGTATAACTGCAATAACACTGTACAAAGGAAGGGTACTCTGCTGGTTTAAAATAAAGCATACAATATTGACTTACAGTCATAGATCATATGAGCATCACATGTCTCCTCCCCGTGAGGGTTGTATATTCTACACTTGTACTGTCCTACGTCCAGGGCTGGGTCTACACCTATGATGGACAATCTAAGTAGACCTGTGCCTTCTCGTTCCATCCTGCAAGGCAAAACACTCAGTTAAAGACGCCAAAAAAGTATAAATATTGTCAAATCTTGGTCTTCAAAGATAGACAATAGACAATAGACAATAGACAAAATCTTTATTGAAATATTCCTAGAGAACATTCATGCGTCAGGTAGATAAAATGTAATATTACAAGGTAATAGATAACGGCGTTGTTGAATTGGCAAAATTACAGCCTGGAGATAAATTTCAGCTATGTATCTGAAATTTTGGCTATTATTTTGTTGTTTTTTTGTTTTTTTTTAAAGAGGTTGGTGGCCTCTTTTAACCTTGCATTGCCCGTCCACATAGACTAAGCGCCTGTGGGTGGATCGTTGACAGCAAAGCAAGGGGTGAGCCGGTACAGCACAAAGGTGAACTGTACTGACAAAAGTTAGTGGCAGTGACCAGGATCCGAACCCATGACATCGCTGCCTTGGGCCCGAAGTCCGCGACGCTACCGACTGAGCCACCGACTCACCAACTGAAGGTTATTGGTTCAGCAATACATTCATCTCCTGATGATCAACATTCGGCCATCGACTTTCACCGTAGAAGCCTACTTTCTAATTTAAAATTTACGATTGAGATCATTTAGAATATCAGGGACCAGATGTACTGGCTAAAGAAATTATAAACAAAACAATTTCAGAACAGAAGTGTATTTATAGAAGAAGAAAAAGGACGAGAAGAAGAAAAAGAATCAGAAGAAGATGAATAAGTGGGAGTAAGAGTAAGTGAAGGAGTAGTAGAAGGAAGAGAAGAAGAAGATAATAACTGTGATGATAATGATTATGCTGATTACTGACCTGATGCGTTCGCTGGGGAAAAGTTTGTCGTTGCCCCGGAACCACTCCGCTTCAGGCTCTGGATATCCCATTGCGCAGGCCGTGAACTTGGCCGTCATCCCCTTGAACACTTCACAGTCTCCAATCTTCTTTAGGAACACTGGCGGTTCAGCCTTGGGCTTCCTCTCACTAGCAAACACAAAGAATGAACTCATTACTAAGCATACAAGCAACATACAATGTCAATATAAAAACGGTAGGTTCTCATGAAAAGTCTTTTTTTGATGGAGTACTGCCGAGTAGAAAGGATTGTTTTGAAAACTACACTTGAATCTCTCTGAAATAAGTTTTTCATGAAAGGTTTTAAGGTAATTGATAACTTGTTGAAGATTTTTTCGTAAGGTTGATATTGGTAAAAGGCTTCGGTAAAAGAACTATTTATTACACTTGTAACTCAACATATGGATCCTAAATACCCCCGCCGCAGCAAACCTGCCGACTAAGCGAATTTCCATTCGTCTAAATTGATTTTCAGTTAAATATATTTTAATAACATTAGGTTTAACGAGTACCTAGGTTTGCTGCTACAAGGAAACTAATAAAGTGTGTTTTAGGGTAAAATATTGATAGCTTAGTACAAAATAAATAAATTTGCCAAGTTTGATCAAAATATATCCATAAACAAGCAAACTACAACATTTGACAATATTCTCCATAAGAATAACATGGGAATTTTAAATTTACAATTTTTTTAATTTTCTCCGTTACTAATAATTGAACAAAAATACTTTTATATACTAAACTATTTGTTTTTTTAAGCTCTTTAAAAAGGTCTAAAGATAAATCGGGAATTTTTTTGTTTTGAGGGTCAAAAGTGAGAAAAACCAATTTTTACCCCATAAAACCCCCCGTAAAGCCCCGTTCCCATGGTCCGATCATGCTGGTTCGCAAACTCATTCAAGTTTATCCCGCTTTACACCTTTAAACCAAATTTCATCAAAATCGGACAAAAATTACTCAAGTTATCGCGTTCACGGACGTATATATATATATATATATATATATATATATATATAAGTCTATATATATATACATATATAAAAATTTGAACAAATGGTGTTTTTGGCCTCTGGGGACATCAAAATGAAAAAGTAAATCGGTCCTGGGTCTAGGTCTTACCGTGCCACCTACGGTAATAGCTACTTTCCTATAGGGAAATTCGCTAAAAGGGTCGCTTTTGAAGTAATTTGCTCTTTGACTTTGGTTTAACAATAAATTATGCTAATCAAAAAATGCTTCATCTTAATTAATTCAACACCAACACTTAGGTTTAGACATTAAAAAAACATTAGAAAATGCAAATGAGTGTGTCTGTGGGGGGGGGGGGGTTGACACAAAGAGTAAAATGTTAATTGAATTTTCTTTGAACAAAGTAGAAGTGTAAAATATATCTTTGATTTAGAAAAAAATGTATATTTTAAGATTATACTATCTTATTAGCATTAGCTAACACTTACAGTTTATCCACCACCTCCAGCTCAGCTTGGCAAGTGTCTTCGCCCTCGCGATTTGTAGCAACACACTTGTACACTCCTGTAAACAATCACTTGATGTCTAATGTGAAACAATTGCTTTGAACACACTTAACATGATTTAATTGGGATCGGACCCGGTTCGGGTTACTATTATGTTCAAACTATCCAAAAAATCAGGTAAACTTCAGAAAAAAATGAAACTATCTATATTTAGAGTAAATAACCATATGTTTACACAAGGAACATTTGCTCTTTCACAATCGCAAAACACAGGGTGGTTGGGTTGGAGTAGACATTTAAATGTCGTTACCTGCAGTACCCGATCCTACAACATGGTTTAGTAAAATTACACGTCATACTGAACAGATTGTTTATGTTGACCTTACTAACCTGAGTCGTCTAGACAGCAGTCCTGTACGTAGAGATAAACAGCGTCTCCGTCTCTCTTCAGTCTATACTTGTCACTGTCAGACAGTCTGGTGTCTCCCTTGTACCATGTCACATCCGGCTTGGGTGTCCCCGTCACTCGAGCCATCAGTTTGGCATCGTAGTTAGGCAGCTGTGGAGGTGAGATTCAGGAATTAAAATACATTTGTTTTGTGTGGAAACACTTGATAAATGGAATGAACAAATTGAAATATTCTTACTGTCTTTTAAATTTGAACATGATGTCATTGACAATTTCATATAAAAGCTTAGTCAGTAATAACAGTATGATATTTTATAACTCGATAAAAATAGACGTATCAGAATTCTTATTTTCAAATTCAAAAACTGAATAGTTGTATTGCTAAAACACTAATTCAAACTTAAAATGAATTCTTATTTTTGAAAATTTTGGTAGAGTGTGATTTAAATGTGATGGAAAATATCTGCACTCGGCAATAACACCTTAAACAACACAAACTAACCATAACCAAAAACTAACTTAAAGCAAACTACTGCCATAAGTGAAAACTCAAGGAGGAAACACAAACTCTGAGGGTTGAAGGACACTCACCTGCTGAAGGTCGTTGAACTTCTGTGTAAAGAGCGGCCTCTGGTAGATCTTGCGCACAGTTCCCTTAGCCTCCTCCTTCACCTCTCCTAAGGGGTTGGTTAACATGACACTGTAAGTACCTGCGTCCTCAGGCTTACAAGGGTTGATCTCCAGACCAATCTGTTAACAGGGTTCATCTATGTCATTTATCATGATTTTTAGTTACATCACTTTACATCCTCAAGCCATACGCATTACTTCATGCCAAGCCTAGAGACTCGCACCATCATCACATAGATAAAAGCTATTAGTAATTGGGGGGGTTTAAACCTGTTACATTGAGAACCGATATCCCACGCTATACCACTAGATCAGCTCAATCCAAATTTCGACCCTTTTGACATCAGTTGATATAAAACAGTTTTGACAATAAGTTTTAAACCAATCATTGTTTCATTTACTTTTTTGTTATCTGAATAATTGCTACTTTTACCTTTGCACTTAAATTCAATATCTCCCATATAGTCCAGTCAATAAAGGGATTGTAGAGGACATGGAGAGGGGAAATTGTTTTACTGCGGGAATGTTTTTGGGGTAGTTAGAAGATAAAAATACCAAAAGCCCCCGCCCCTGGCCCTGCTGCTTCAGCTGGGGAGGGGGGGAAAGACCCCATTTTTTAATTTTTAATACTACACTGAAAACCGTTCATCGTACGGGAAAAATGTAAATTATAAAAAGAAAGATGATGAAATTCTCTACAAGAAAGGTGTTGCTTATTTCTTCCATGAAACATGGAAAACAATCAGGAAGTACATCTAAGTGCATTGTCTTGTCCCACTACAGTGTAGTTTATCACATGGAAGGTCGGATAGCCGAATGTCAGATAATCGAAATGCTACCGTATGACAAGAAAGTTTATAAATATTACGTCTCATTTTGAAATTTTTGACCCTTTCTTTTAAAAACCCATAGTTTCCTAAGCCACCCTCCCGGTTTACCCTACTCCGAGGTTGTAAGACGAAAGAAAAGAGATACTGATTTTCACCTTGTTTCCATCGCAGGTGATGGCCACTCTATCCCCAGACTGCAGAGGAGTTCCGTCCTTGCTCCACACCACGCCGGGCACAGGGTTGCCGAGGAAGGGGGCAGAGAAGACCAGAGGCGAGTCCTCATCAGCCACAGCGTCTCGGAGACCCTTGGGCAGACTGGGTGCCTGCTCAGGAGCGTCTGTCTTAGCTCTGGCTGGAAACATGGCCAACTTTTGTAGTCAGTTAATCGTAAAAACATATTACACAACACATTTTTTTGTAATTTTTAAACCCCCCTCTCCCCCCCTTTTTGAGGCTGTATAACACAAGCCAAACCCCCCCCCCCCACAACACCTGTAACGTCCTGTCAGATATTTTCTTAAACAAGATCGTGGAGTTGAAATCTAGGTAAAATTTTCTCCTGAAATAAAAATATTATTTAAAATAGGTTTTGGTGTTATGTTATCAATAAAAACAAACATTTTATTTACAGATTATTTGAACATCATATCCAAACATTTGAATAGAATAGAACTGAAAATAGCTTACTAGTAAAAATATTTTTATCAAAAAAAGACTGTTCCTTAAATAATTTTGTCATTTATTGGTAAAAATTAATTTTTAACCCCCCCCCTCCATCTCTATTGAATATTAGAGACGAGGAGGCAGCTAGATGAGAATGGGGGGCAAGTTGGATTGGTTGCCGAGCGCTGAGCGGACATGTAATAAGAAAGAGGTTGCGGTGCTTTTAGGCACAGTTTAAAATATTATTAAATTGCACACACAAAGAAATCTACGTGTATTTATGTATGTGTGTACACACCTGTGACAGACAGAGGCGCCTGACTAGTGACTTCACCCTGGGGATTCTTCACTGTGACACTGTAAGTGCCAGCGTCTGCTGGTGTAGCATTGTCTATCAGAAGAGTTTGTGATCCGTCAGGACCATCCACGATCTTCACATGCTTCCCATCAGGCACCAAGGGTTTGCCGTTCAGAGACCACGCGATGGTGGGCGGAGGATGTCCCACCACCTTGACCTCCATCTTTGCTGGGAATCCTTCCACAACGGTCACCGGCTGCAGCTGGGCTAGGAACTGAGGCTTCTTCTCCTTCTGCTTCACATCCACCTGGAAAAATATAAGTGAAGGTTTGGTTGAAATGTTTTTGTTTGTATAACATTCTAGATCTGAAGAAAACTCTCTCTTCCTTAGTTGATAATGCTGTCAGAAACAGTGAAATGTTTTTTTTTATATAGTATAAAGTTTTCTGTCTCATGTGCCTGTTTGGACTCTTTTCCCATTCAGTTTTGTTTAAGGAAAGGCTCTAGGCCAGGATTTTTATGGTAGAAAAAGGAGGATAGCAGCTAGCTTACCTTGAAAGTGTATAGAACCCGGCCATAGAACAAGTAGAAAAATATTTTGCACACAATATTTCGTCCCCTAAGGGACTTTGTCAAGTGTAGAGAGAGTTTATAAATTACAAGATGGCTGCTGTCATGGCTGATGGCTGTTGTCAACAACCAGCACCTGCAACCCTGCATAGTTGACAACAGCCATCAGCCATGACAGCAGCCATCTTGTAATTTATAAACTCTCTCTACACTTGACAAAGTCCCTTAGGGGACGAAATATTGTGTGCAAAATATTTTTCTACTTGTTCTATGGCCTACCCACACTTTCAAGGTAAGCTAGCTGCTATCCTCCTTTTTCTTTCCCATTCCGGTAGGCCTTCTTCCATTAAATATCCTAAAAACCTAGACCCTTGTGCTCTTGTTACACCATATAAACCTTTATACGTCACTTTTTAAATTTTAATTTGTAGCATGCCTAAGAATCTTGTGTTTACTTCCTGTTATCTGTAAAAACTACAGTACCGAATCCATACTATTGCATGATTGCGAACGCCAATGACAATAAATGATGGTTAAGAATATGCCTTAACAGACTTATTTTTCCATTTTACTTTCTATATTTTATTTCCTGTTCATTACATAAGTCACTATAATATGTCTGATACATGGCCTTGTTTATTTTACTTAGTATCTTTCTATTATCTAATTTGACTGACTAAAATTTTCAATAAAATAGTCGTCTATTACTAGACAAATAACAATTTAACAATGTTTACTTTTATAAGATAGGTTTTGCCAACAGCTTGCTTTCTACATAACTTCTACAGTCTACTACCCAAAATTGTGGTAAACTTACTCTTTGTTTAGCCTGTCGGAACTATTACTTGGTTTTAAGCCAATTCTCAGTATTTTGATTACCTTAGCGTTAGAGGAAGTATCTCCCAGCCTGTTGGACACTGCCACTTCATAGGTACCTGCATCTTCAGGCTTCACCTGCAAAAATTAAAGCAAACTATAAAGTATATTCTCTGAAAAACTCAACTTCAACTTAATATTCAGTCACAGTGAAGCGGAACAACAACACAAGGAACTAGTAAGTTGGTGACTTGGTAATGTAATTATACACACAATATTCCTTCTAGGCTATTCTACGTTTAGTTAATAGAACAATGTAAATTAATTAAAATTTCCTGAAGAGATAAACTAGATAAAAACTGGTTTCATCTTTAAATTGTTGTTAGCCTGTGCATCTCTTGGAAGTCACTTTGGGAATGTTCACAGGAGTCTACTGTTGAACACATGGTATGGTGTCACTGATCACTGAATTTAGATTCCTTAAGGACTAATTTTGAATTATATTACATGAAATATATTGCAATTCTCTTACATTAAATTATGCATGTAATATAGTTATTTGTGCAACTAGTGAGAAAAGTGAGCAATTGACTCACTCGAGAGAAATCCTTACTCACGAGCCGTAGGCGAGTGAGGAATGGTTTCTAGAGTGAGGCAATTGTACTTTGAACTCGAATTGCACATTATACTTTTCCTACAGTTACCATAAAACAAATAAATTGGTGAAGAAACATAACCTATTTTTACACAGAAGTGAACTTTTAACATAACATTTAATGTGAAGTGACAAATACAACAGTACAACAGCTGACCAGCTGATTTACAGCCAGTGCTGCCAACGTATTTCGCGAGCATACCACGTTGCCTGCATGTTACGCGCTCACTATTTCGTGCCTTCACGTTGCAAATCTGGAGTGAGACAAAGTAATTAGAGTGAGACAATGTTATCATTGTCTCACTGATGAGTGAATTGGCCACTTTGCTTTCTCAAATCGGTGAGAGAACATGCACATTGTTAGGTAACTGTAGGAAAAATATATTTTTGATAATTATCTAATCTAAATGAAGTTATGGGCTTTGTCAAAAAATAGGCTGTGGATATTATCATAGACTAACCAACACAAGTAGACTTCTCATCCCATTGTAAGTTTTGAAGCACGTTTTTCGTGTCTAGTTCATGTACGTAACACAAAGGCGCTAGTGTCGACGAAACTTTGTTTCTATTATTTTAGGGTTAATTTCTTGATTTGTGCTTTACTGTTTGGTTATATAATTAGGGGACAAGTTATTGTTTATGATTAGATCGTATTATTTGGTTAAACAAGGTTTTAAATGGCTGTAATAACGGGAAACAAATTGTAAACAAAACTCGACCTCTACGTAAACCGTACAGAACTAACAATAAAATTGTCTTCAGCTGTTCCATAAGGATGAGAAATCTACTAAGGCAGTTTGTTTTATCTATGATATTATTCATGATTAATTACTGAACATATATTAATGGAATTATACAAAATAAGTTGAATCAATACTAGGCCTGCCCTTTCACTATAGATTAAGGATGACTTTCTGAGGAGTGCTTTATGACAACAAAATTATAAGAAGGAACAAAATTAAAATATTTTAAGAAATTTAATACTAAATAATGAATGTATGAAATGGAATATTACAATAAATATTCATACATATGGTTCACTTAAGGACCTCACCTTGTCTATAGCCAGTGTGAGCACACCCGCGGGTGTAGTGCTCATGATGACGTGAGGCGAAGGTCTCACCGGGTGTCCGTCTTTGGTCCACTTCACCTCGGGTGTCGGGAATGCAGCGACTTGCGCCTCTAATCTGAGAGGTTCTCCTTCCACGGCGGCTGTGTCTGTCAGACCCTTGGTGAACTGCGGCTGTCTGGCCTCCGCTAAAAATGGTAGAGAAATTCAATTTTCATTTGTTGCAAAATGCAACTGTAATTTCTTGAGGTGACTGAGTCATAGCTAAATCATAAAGATGTGTAATGAATCAGCAAACAATATGTCCATGACCTACTGTTAGGATTAGCTTGTTTGCATTGGCGATAAAATTCCACTGCTGATTGAACTTTACAGAGTTATTATTATTGCCACACCCGTAAACAGTATGCAAAATACCTCAATTCCGCTTTATTTATTTCCACTTGCATTTGCAAGCAGGAATGACTATTGCCGCTTGCTAAATCAGCTGATTTCACATTTGGCATTTATTTATATAAAACACTAACATCCAGTAAGCAAATAACATTAACTAAAAAATGCAAACATAACCTGATTGACATTTTACATACAACTAAAAAAAAGATTATCTTAGTGTTATGTAAGGTTAATTATGGTGGTAGGAAAAATCTAGTGTGTTTACAAGCACAAACAGTCAATACCACTCTCAAAATGTATGGCCGCACTCAGCTATCTTGTGCGACCTTCTACAGTTCTCGAGCGGCAATGAAGTACTATGCGTTCTTAATACATAAATATCTATTTCCATTAAATTGTTCTATATATTTTTACATACACCTATTCTAATAGAGTATAAATTTTAAATACTGCTTCAAATTAAAAAAAAATCTATGTACACTTCTGTTACAAACCATAAGAATCGTCATAATGCGGAAACACAATACTATTACAACACAACACACATACAACAGCGTCAAATGTAACCATCACAGCCAAGGATTAATTTTTCAAACAAAAACATCTTGTACTTGATCAGCAAAAATAGCACCAACAATGTACTACAAGTACTCTGTTGAGTACTCGTCTGATTTTTAAAAAGGTACTTTTATAACAGATAGAGCAAATAAAGTTGCAAAAATGTTGAAAAATTTAAACTGTTGATTGACACTATAAATTGGCAGGAACACTGGCTAAAAAAACACAAGCTCTTAAAACGTAAAAAGTAGTTCTCTTTTATGTCTCCTGAGTGGCAACATCAAGTAAATATTTTTCTTTTAAATATTCAAGGTGGTGAGAAGAAACCACCACAACAACCATCAGTGATACGCTACTAAACGGAAGAGACAGCTGTTTCTGAAACAATCCTACCCTACTTACATCAAAGCCAAGCTAATGGTATCAGCTAATCAAAATAGAAAATTATACATTATCTAACGACATCTACTCACGAGCAACAGCGACGGCGCAGATGCTGGAACTTTCTCCGTTTTCATTGATCGCCATCAGCTTGTATGCTCCACAGTCAGTGGGCTTGACACTGTCAATGTTCAACTTGACTGAGCCATCAGGAGCCACGGAGATCTTCACTCGGTCACTCGGCTCTAGCGGTTCTCCATCCTTTAACCTGAGAAACACAAACAAAACAATGTGAGTTCTGGTTCTACCTATTGTTACATTTGAACTTTATTAGCTTTTATCTCTGAGAAGGGTTAGCTAATATTTTGATTGTCGTGCTATGCAATGTCTTCACTCCCCGATGGCCACAGTGATAGAGGTCACCTCTTTTGTTAACATGACCAATAATTCTGTTCTTCTCTTGATGTATCTTCACTACTCTATCAATAAACACACTGCTGCATATGACTTTCTGGGCAATCGCTACAGCTGCGAAACATGGAAAATGAGCAAAGCAAACTGCAAGTATGCCTAAATAGCTTTGAGAATGTTTATAAAAGTTAAGGAAAAAACAACGCCAAATGAGGAGCTGTAGTTAGGGGAGTCTAAAACCAGGCGTTGAGTGGGATACACCGTCAGAAAGAATTAAGAAGATGTTTCCATAAAAGCCTTGTGAGGAAACTCTGCTGGTAAATGAAAACAAATTTGCCAGCCTGACATTTTTTTGTTGAACATAGCTCAAGCCAAGCTTTCATTAAAGCTCGAGCCTCAAGTTTTTTTATGTGTCACTGTCATAATAGATGATAGGTGATAATTCTAAAGTCTAAGGAAATACTCCACAACAGCCTACATGCATTATGTTGCTGACCTACAATGGTTCTATCATAACACAACTTACTCAAGAAACTTAAGAATACCATTTTAAACTACAAGATAAGGCTCTCCTTTAAATGTGAAGGTTTGATCCTGAGAAAAATCTTTTTAAACTCTCGCATAATTATTGGTGGAACTATTACTTGATTTGATGCATGACAAAATAAGGAGGCCAGACAGTTAAATTACCAGGGTTTATAGAGCCTTCACTTACAAACAACTTTAACATTTTAAAATTCCACTATCTTTGAATTACATAAAAAATATTTATGTACAAACACCTTACATTTATTCTATAAAACTCACCACTTGACCTGAGGCATGGGACTGCCGTCCACCTTGGCTCTGAGCTCCAGAGGATCTGCCTCGGCCAGGTCGATGCTGCGGTCCAGCGTCTTGGAAAAGCTCGGAGGAATCTGAGCCATCTTGAGACTGGCCGAGCTCTCCGCCTCACCTGCTAGATTGGCTGCCTTCACTGTGTACTGCCAGGACAGATAATGTTGACAGCATAAAGGTCAGTTTTGGTAGACATTTGTTTAAGGGATTTTGTTTTTGTCTGTGATGTCTACTGTATTGTTCTGTGAGTGAATTTAATTGTTTTCCCATTACATTTAGGTTTGTGTACTATTCTTGTAATGTTTTGATACTTCACACTCTAGGATGGGATCAGATTCCATCTCTAAAAAATGTTTAGAAAACTTTGCTTTTTAGCTTTTTTAAGCTAATATTTCAAATTTGCCAGCCTGAAACTTTTTTGTTGTACAGAGCTCAAGCCAAGCTTTCAAATAAAAGCTCGAGCCTCAAGTTTTTTTTTATGAGTCACTGTCATAATAGATGATAGGTAATATTTAATCAAGAATCAAGAATTTATTGCAACAAATTATAAAAAGAACATTTTGTATAGTTGAGGTCAATATTTATTTATTTATTTTATTTTCAAATGCTACAAAACAGCACATGCCAATTACTCTGTAGCATTAATCATGTAAAAAGAACGTTAACAAGAGTATTACAATATAGAAATAAATACAAGGGAAAAAATGTCCGTCTTCTATGGTGGCAGTCATATCATATAACAGTTTCACTCAAAATATGAATATAAAATATAAATAAGAATGACAATATACAATTTAAATATACAGTAACAAGAGAATTTATACTAACTAAAATAATACTGATGGTCATGAATCAAATATAATAAACATGCAATAAATATAATAAATAAAATAGGTAATATTTAGACAAATTATTACTTAACGTTGTTAAGAAATATTGAATTCATTTGACAAACAGACATTTAAAATTTTTAGTGATAAGTAAAATATATCAAACTGATAGGCATTACAAGTGCGAGACATTATATTTAGTGGGGAATTGAATCCAAGATTGGTACGAGAGTATAAGAATAACTTGGGCTAAGAAGTCTGAATAATCTGCAAAGATAAAATGTCCAGTGTATAGCATATTGATTAGGGCCTATAACATTCAATAACTTACAGATAATTTAACCAACAATGTAAGTTACACGTGTAAGACCTACATCAGTCAGAAAACTAAAAACTGATATCAATGTCAGATATAAAAATTTCACTTAAACTATAACTAATGGTGGAAAATGTCTTTTATATCCTAGTAGCAAAGTGGACTTTTCCATTCAAGCAAATCTTACTCAAAAGTAAGATTTGCCTGTTCTATTTTAGGATGTTGTTTTGAAGCTTTTGGTTTTCTTGTGACAGGATGGGCTAGTTCCATTTTAAGTAAGCCTGCTATCCCAGCGACAATAGCATGGTTAGTTATACTTTTGAGAAGATAAGTATGCAAATGTAACTAATACTCTGACTATGGATTGAAATAGAGATTCTATACCCATCTTAACACATTTGCTACCTACCAACTATACTCAGTGCCTAGACACAGAGGAGTATGGCAGTTGGTAGGGAACATGATGTTAACACATTAGCTACCAACTATACTCACCCCTCAGATAAGTATCTCATCCCTCAGATGTTAATCTGTAAAAGTATCAAAACTTCATGGAAAACCGAATTTTGACACTAGCGTACTCTGTGAGTGGTCAACTATTCAAGCTGGTCCATATTGATGTGATGTCTTTTTCAGGACCCAAAAGTTAATGGTAATAGGCAATCATTACTTGTACTGAAATTTTAAGTAATAATTCACAAGACCTACCTGACCAACGTCAGCGTGACAGAAGTGACCAATAGACAAAGTACTACAAGCTTGACCTTCTGTAGCGTCTTCAATGACAATATGGCCGTCACTGACTAACTTCTTGTCATCTTTGTACCTAGAACAAAGCCAACAAAGTGCATCAAGCATGAGAATTACAAGGTTACAACAACACAGCTTCCAGTGTCTTTATTGGGATTTGATACAATTCTCAGACAAGGAAGGACGGATGAGCCTGTATTATTCTCTAAAATGAGGGAACAATGGGAATCAAAGAAAAGAAATGGAATATATTTAACACATTAAACTTTAAACCACTCCATACTTGTGGTCAAGCGTAAAATATGCTTTTCCAGAAAAAAGTTATTTGGCTTGATCAAATCTTCTGACAACTCATAAAGCAACACATATGGTGTTCTATGGTGATTTTCCAGTTTGGATATATAGTAAATATACTTGACAATAGTTCATTCAGTACAACCCCGCTAATCCGTCACCTATGTAACTGGGGCCATTGTCGAAACACAGAAAACATAAAAAGGACATATTAAAGGAGCATATTAAAGGACCAAATTAATTGCTTGACTGATATCGACTATGGGAGACAATGATGTTGTTTTGATTCCTTTACCGAAGAGGACATTCAGGAGTTTGCTGCGATCACATATGTACTCCTAACTACAAGTTTCCATGATTGCTGGAGTCAATGATGATATCTCTACGAGTTTGGGAAATTTTAATATTACTGCGATCACAGAAGACGATATTGATGTTTCCGAGGTTGCGGGGGACAAACAAGATTTTAACCACAATTGCAGGAGACGGTGATGTTCTTCATACGACCATAGCAAATAGCCACAATATTACTGCAATAACATTGTCACCAACAGGCAATGGCACAGACGGATTGAGCGAGGAGTCGGACTAGCGGAGGTCAGATTAGTGGAGTTTTACTGTAATTAGATTAAAATTTAAAATTAAATAGAAAAAGATTTATTTTTAATGCAAATAGGGTAATGGGCTCTTTCTTATATTCAACATTTTTTTTTAAGTCATGGTGAGGTAGCCTCTGGATCACTAAATTTAAGCTAAATGGTTTATGTTACCTGGCTTCGTCAAGTGATCCTGCTTCAGTAGTAGATTTTTTTAAAGGTATAATTTTTAATCAATGACTGGTAATAACACTTGGAAATAACAATTTAAAATAGCAAACAATACAGTACTTATTCCTAAAGTGTGATGACTTAATAAAAACCTTTCTATATATAGCTGAATATGATACACTACAATATCAATAACTAAGGTAACTTTGAGAAAAATAAAAACAGATAAAACATGAAATGCTTTAGAAAAAATCAATTGTAGTTAAAATAAGTATTAGACAATAAAAATAAAATAGTTAGAAAATATTAAATACATCAAATAAAGCTACAGTTACTAACCAGCTAATTTGAGGTTTAGGTATCCCAATAGCTCTGATTTTAAACTCCACGGGGTGATAGTCCTTGATCGTCTGTCCGTCGAGCTGCTTCAGTAGAGACGGTTTCTCCGCTACAAAACAGTAGCAAAGATTAAGTCAGCCGCAGTCTAGCCCGATATAGACCTAATTTCAACGACTTGGCTGAGATACAAATTGATTCTGGCACCAGCTTTGACACAAACACAATAAATCCTAAGCATTATAAGTTTAGAGATGAAAAATGAGTGCTAATTAAAGGATAAGCTATAAACGCCTTCTTTGGACCGTTTTCAATTCCTTGGAGGCTTATATATAATTATCAAGAATCTCTTAGTTATTCTTACACAATGCACATGTCATGACTGGGTCAGTGGTTGGAGAGCAAGGATTCCATCCTGGAGGATTCAAGGGACTTAAATAAGCTATGGCTCTTAAGTATATGATTATGTAAATAAACACTGGAATTTAATTTATTCATTGTGAATGCAATCATGTTATTTTAAGAGTTCTTTTTATTATTCAACTACTTTTTACCGACAAAACAGGTTGATAAAGTCAACTTTCTAACAGACAATCTTTCTACCTAACGTAAATTTATATTAAGTTTCTTTTGAGTTATTTATTTTTATTTTTTAATGAGGGACATGGTAATGCTCAAGTTAACTTACAAGGTAATACTCACTATGAACTGTCAGTTTCGCTTTGGCTTCAGACTCTCCTACATTGTTGCTTGCCTTGACCGTGTAGACGTTCTCATCGTCCACTCCGACATTCTTCAAGATCAACTTGTAAACTTCATCTTTTGTGTTGTTGTCCATCACTGAGTGTTCGTCATCCTTCACCACCTTGTTGCCAGCCAGCCTTCATGCAACAAGAAGAAAGCGGATTAAAATCACAGACAGTATTTGTGAATTAGGCAAGGTAACAGGTATGTGTTGAATAGAGACTGGTGAAGAGAAACTCATGAAACTCAAGGAAATCATCAACTATCTCTTCAACTCATACCTTTTTTAGCAGACTTTTTACCATCTAAAAACGTAGGCCGTTTGACCCTATGTTACATCCTTATCCTTAAGAGTCCATGGAGGATAGTGGCCATCTTGGAAAATTTCACAAAGGCTGTTGAAGAAATTAATCTCTCAATGAAAGTGCTCACCTTGACACCTTGAGGCCTGAAGATGGTTTCACAGAACCTAAACTAGTTGCCAGAAAGCAACAAAGGATTACTATATGCAGGTATTGTAAACCATTTTAAGCTGCTGAAGAGTTATTTATTGTCCAAAAATATTTTTTCAAACACCAAAGTGATTATAATTTAAACAACTTTGCCTTGCTTGATGCCTATGTGGAAGGGCAAAGACAAGGCAAGGTTGGGGCCAACAAGGTCCAATGTATACGGATACAAAAATATTGTTCTCACCAAGTGATATTGGGACGAGGGTTGGCCAGTATGTTAGCTATCAGTTCCACTTGCTCGTACGGAGTGCAGGTTGTGTCCTTGTAACATATGATCTCCGGTCGGAACACCATGTCCAGACGAGCCTAGAAAGAAACAAGTCTTACTTCACAAAATATTCATATCAGTTTACAAATCATACTTTTAAGATGTAAATGAACATGCAAGAAGTAAATATATTAAGTACCTCTTTTTTGCAAAATATTTTAATTAATTAAATTTCTTGGTTGGTATAACACAAAAATTGTTTTACCCTTTAAGGATTATTTCCTGGTTTTCAACTGAAAGCCTGAACCTACCAGTCCTAAATTGAACTCCAAGGCTTCAACACGTTACAGGTTTAACTGTCAACAATTTTATTGGTGGAGTTATACTTTTCAAAAACATAGTCACAAGATCCCCCTCCCCCCCTTTGAGTCACAAGATCCCCTTTGAGGTCAAAGGGTTGAAAACTAATCACAGACAACAACAGTTTAAAATTTAAAACTTATACACATTTAGCATTTTAACGTCTAAAAGAAATTTATTGTAAAGTTTATGAGTATTTAATGAGGGATGACTTATAAAGGTTTCAGTCTATGAGGACTTAAGTTGCTCTCTACAAGTCTGGAGTAGCAGTTATGACTTTGCTGCCCATCAAGTAAACAAATACATTCTTATGTACAATATTAATCTAATGAATTTGTCACTGAGGGTAGTATATGCACAAGTAGAAGTATTGGCAAATTCTTGTGACAGCATACATAATCACCTCTAACTCTTTCTAAAAGTTTGATCCAGTTTACTATTTTGTTTCTAAAATTTGACCGAAATGGTAATTTATTTGACTGTAAATACTGGAACACATGACGAGGCCACTCACACTGCTGTCGGCTGAGCCCCACTTGTTGAATGCTGTGACCTTGTACTCCCCAGTATCTTCGTGACGGCCTGCGGGTATCTTGAGTGTGAACGTACATTCCTTCAGTCCGTCCTTCACTTCTTTATCTGTACTGGCCAGGGTGAATCTCACACTAATGTCTTCACCGTCCTTGGTCCTGTAGAGAAATACAATTAAGACACAGAAAAGTAAAAAATATAAAAAATAATTTTTGTCATACTGCAGCAAAAAGAAGTAGCATTTTTACTCTATAGGGAGTAAAAATTATTTTTAGACCCTAGGAAGTAAAAATCTGCTGTTGTCAACTCAGTTGTATATTTCCCATTGTAAAAAAAAATTGCATGTATCAAAAGTATGTATCGATTGTTTAATCGATTGTAGTTCATGGTTGCCTTTTTGTAACTAATTCGACATATCGATAGTATAATGTACACTAACACAATCTTAATAGACCAAACGATTTATCCACTTACTAAACAGCTGCTTGTTTCCATAAGCAAATTAAATTGAAACAAGCTAGACTTAGTTTTGAAAGGTTACCTTTAAATGAAAATTATTTCCTTTTTTAACATAGTTTTTTCAAACAATGGTGCAATATGACAAAAAATATAGTTCATCATACGGGCAAAAAATGTCTTTTCAATCCTCGATTGTAAAATTTGACCTCGGGTCGAAAAGAGACACTTTAGGCCCTAGTGATGAAATATACTATTGTAAGAAAGCCAATTGCTTGGTCAGGAATTATTTGGAAGAGGATAGAGTTTGACTGTACCTGAGAAAATACTCTTTTAGCCCCCAGACTCTTATTTCCCTCAGGAAAGCTAGCTAAGTGAATCCCTTTTAAAAATAGTTCAAAAATAAGGAACCTTTCACATACAGTTTTCACTTTGTCAGACACTTATTGGTTACACTATTGTAGGTTGTAGTCGATATTTCGATATTTGCAATTTTATGGATTTCTGAAACGTTTGACCACACTATAACTCTATGAGACGTATGCTTAAAACTGTTACTGAACTACTGACTCTTTAGTCAATGTGTGTTCAACAAAGTGCATTTTATTTCTAGCTCCTTTATTTACAGCTCACTTAGACATTATGAAAAATGTGCCACCCTCTTGTGAAGACATGCTCATTTTGTTTGTACCCACGTTTTTTCTAACCTAGTGTTTTGTTTCAGGATTGATTTTTTGCATGTTTTTCTGACTACTATACAGTGTTCTGTGTAGTTATGCTATGTCATTTTCTAGCTTTAGCAGGGTTTGTTTGCTAATTTTGTTATTTTTTATGTACTTCCTCACCTGAATCACATTCCAGATCCCAAAACGTTGTGGAAAAACTTGTTTTTTACTAATCGTAATGGAAAATGTCTGTTAGCTTTAAAGATGATTGCTGCAATACATGCTAAACATAATCTAATATCTTCACCAATTCTATGACGTAATGATCTCCTGAAGACCGAGCGACAGTCTTTATGAACGAACTCAGTAGCTTACCATCAAAACATATAAGACGTTTCTAAGCATTAATTGGTCAACTTTCATGGTTGTTTCAAGCTACAACTTGTATATTGACTTGCCATTTAACCTCCGGAATGGGATCTCCAGTGACGACAGCAGTGAAGGTGACATCCTGACCCTTTGGCACCTCCTGTGGCTTGAGTGGAGTCTTGAACTTGGGCTCTCGTAGAGCAGCCTCCGCTAAAACAGATACACTAAACTTTAATCCATGGATGAAGGAGAAATCCATATATGATTCCCTTATGGACTATTAGGTATAACATTTCAGATTGATGTGGGGGTATAATTGGCTGTATGGCAAAATATCAAACAAAATGTTCAAGAGTCTTGATTTAGGGGACATCTAATGGTCACACTGAAAATACTACAAGGGTTGTCTGTGAATTAAGGTCTCCATTGAGTTTCCGTTGCGTTCTAGTTTAAATCCAAGACCAATTTAAAGGATTTAGTGGTTTTAGTGGATTTCCCATATGGGGAATAAACTATTACCGTAGGTCTCATAAAAAAACTGACCCAGGACCGATTAACTTTTTCATTTCCATGAACTCGGAGGCCAAAAATCTATCTGTTCAAATTTATATATATTTATCATCCGATTTGGATGAAATTTTCTACAAAAGTATAAATCTATGTTTATTTGAACGAGTTTGCAAACCAGAACGATTGGACCTTGAGAACGGGGTAAAGAATGGTTTTCCATTTCTAACGCAATTTCTTTCTAATTAATTTTGCAGAGCTTACAAAGAAAAAACTATTTATCCCTCCAAACTCACTCAGCACAGACAGTTGGGCAGTCTGCACCTTCTCGCCCAGTCTGTTCACAACTTTGCACTTGTAATAGCCAGCGTCTGCCACTTTGATGTTACGCAGCTCCAGCCGATACTTCTGACCTTGCTCAGAGATCTTTGTGTGGTCATCCACCTTCAACTCTTCATTTTCCTTGTACCTGAATCACAAAATTATTGTGTTTCAATATATAAATTTGATTAATCCTGTTAGAAAACCGGTTTTTTAGGATTAGTTGTCTCTGTCTAGGTGGATGGCTATTTCTAAATAACGGAATCCACCTTGGTACTATATTATTTATACTACTTGTCATTTTTGTACCTGGACAACAAATTCAGTAAGTGTATTTGTTTTTTTGTAAAAAAAGTTATAACCGTAAAAAATAATTTTAGCTAGGCCTAACTGAGCTTATAATTAGAGATATAGGTTATAATTATAGAGGTGAGGTTATATATGTCTATGTTATCAGATATAATGGTATCTGGTATTTATGTTGCATCAGGTATTATCACCACGATCATTTATATTATTTAACAATATAATGTAATGTAATCCATAGTTTTATTGCTATAAAAATGATCTCTTGTAGTTTTTATCATTTTGAGAACATAAAACATCAAGCCATATTCATGTCTCTTAAAATTAATGTAAAATAGTTTAAGAAATAAATTGACCGAGAATAATTTGAGTCCATCTCATTAAACTTGATTACCTTAAGTTAACTTGATATTCACTAAAACCAAAATAAATAAGAATATAGAGGTAACAAATAGCTTAAAGCACAAAGAACGGATGAAAGAATCTTTTCATACCACTTAGCTTCTGGCCGTGGAACTCCCTTGGCTTCAACCTCAAAGACAGTAGAAAGAGACTCATACACAGTGCGATCGTTCATATCGGCAGACAGAATCTCCGGAGCAGCTAAACGGAATAACAATAGTGTGAGTAACAAAACTAATTTTATTTCTTCAACACCACAACTTGAGATTTAAATTTTAGTTAAAATAACTTCAGTTGAGATTCATAATAAAATAAAAAGACCAGCACCTTCTATCATTTGGTCTCCCACATTTAATTTAAACGCATAGTTAATTTTTAGCTTTAAAATAATAAGGAAATAAAGTAAAGAAAATGTAACCCTAGGAACATCTACATAACAAAAAAACTTATCTACAAAAAGATAAACAGTAAAAATACATAGCCTATACAGCACTAATTAAAGCGATAGTGAGAGAAGCTCTAACATATTTCACAATAGTATTGTGAATATGCACATTAAAAAAGCACATAACACAAAGCAAAACAAAAAACGTCAGCATTGAAGCAAAAAGACAGACAAAACACTAACACACGGACATAAAAACAAAAATATATATTGACGAAAAAAGCTGAAACAAGACAAAATAATTTTTATTAATACCTCAAATTGATGGCTGATGTAATTTGTACATACCCATCAACAAAGTTAAGTTATACCTACATCAGAAAGCAACAGGTTGAGTGCAATGATCATTTTTTTACAATACAATAATTCATATGTATATCATACCTTAATTTTTAGCATTTTAAAACAAAAGTACTTACAGAATTCAAATATTGAAATACAAAACATAGTTTTATGGGATTAAATATTAGAAAATTAAAAAAATAAACAAAAATAAACAGCTTATGTTATATTTGAAATCTTGAACAGAATTTAAAGAAATTTCAAAGATAATAATCTTTTTTTATTTTTACGTACTTAGTACTACAACTCTATTGTTCCTCCATTTCGACCTCTTGATTGATATTAAAGTTTTAAAATATAAATCATAAGATAGCTGAGTGAATATTAATTAAAGAGTCATAATGAAAATTGAGGAGATGTTAACATTTTTGTTTTATTTCAAATATAAGAAATGTAAATAATAATAACATTTTTTTAAGATCCCAAAAATTGATAAGTTGCTCCTGATTACGCTATTAATTACCTGTAATTTATAAGTTTCTTAGCACTGGCTGAATATTTTTTGAGAGCAATGTTAGTTTGTTTACTTTAAGCAGTGTTTAGTGGCAGTTGTATTAAGTGTCAGTGGTATTATGTGTTTATCAAAACAAAGTAATAGTTTGTTCTTTTGTTTACTTTATTTTAATAATTGTTTAATTATTTAGTACCTTCAAAACCTTGTTCTTCTTCCTTGTCAATTAATTCCTCAAGAATACTTCTTTGTTTTTTTATTCTTTTTATCAATTCATCAGTTTTAGAATCACCAGTAGTATCTTCATCATCTTTTAGTTCAGCTTCCTGCAGGGATTCTTGCTTGATTTCTTTTGGAGTTTCTGTATTAGAAGAAAGACCATTTGAATCCACAGAATTTCCACTATCAACTTTCAAGGCTTTGGACGGACTCTGCATTTCTATGGAATTCAAACCTTTTCCATTCAATTCAAATCCACTCTCTTGAAATTCACAAGATTCTTTAGTGATTTCTAAGCCATTTGGTATCGATTGTACACTGTCAAAAACTTCTGCTTTGTTTATTTCGTTACAAATTAAACTTTGCGAAGACCTTCTACTTATAGAAACATTAGTAACATCGACTTTGGAAAAACTTTCTCTCCGTTCAACTGAAGTTTTTCGAGATATTGTTTGCTCTTCTTCCAAATTTTGTTCAGAGAGCACCCCGTTTCTTGTTGTGTCTACAGGGGTAATTTTAGATTTTTTATCTTCAACATTATTCGAGCTTGTTTCTTCTCTTTCTAAGCTATTTGGTATAGATTGTACACTGTCAAAAACTTCTGCTTTGTTTATTTCGTTACAAATTAAACTTTGCGAAGACCTTCTACTTATAGAAACATTAGTAACATTGACTTTGGAAAAACTTTCTCTCCGTTCAACTGAAGTTTTTCGAGATATTGTTAGCTCTTCTTCCAAATTTTGTTCAGAGAGCACCCCCTTTCTTGTTGGGTCTACAGGGGTAATTTTAGATTTTTTATCTTCAGCATCATTTGAGCTTGTTTGTTCTCTTTCCTCAAATGAAATTCTCTTAGCTGTCAAAGATTTTTTTCTGGATCCTAAATCATCTTCTTTAACCTCTTTAGCTGTACAAGAATCTTCTACAGTTTTGTTTTCTTTTTGCAACAAACTTGCTCTTCTAGATTGTGGTTTGTCTAAGTTTTCCTCAGACACTTGGTGAGCCTTCACTACTTCATCTACAATAGACATTCCTCTCTTCTTTAGGATACCTTCTTCTGTTCCTTTATTTGAGGCTACCTCAACTGATTCCTGGTCTTCAAAGGTAAACAACTGGGCGTTTTCACGTTCTGGTGTGTCTTTTGGCAAGGGTGTTTGCCTATCATCATCAGACAAAGATACAATTGAAACATTGCGACTGATCGACAAGCGCATTCCTCTGTCGTCGCTTTCAGAAAACTCTTCAATCAAGCAAGATCCGTTCACTAACTCATCATTTTCATTTTCCACCTTAAGTTCTACACACGAGAAACTGCCAACTTTGGCTATGTCGTTTTCGAAAATGTCTCGCTCTTCATCTCCAACATCTTCGATGGAAACCTTCTGTGGAATGGCACCTCCTGTAATATGACTTGGTTAATTCAAATTCACATTTTTTAAGAATTTTCAAGAACAAAATGATAAAAATTAAAATGAAAATGTATAAAAGATGTGATAAATAAAAACCCTCTTATAGTTGTGATATTGGTCGTATTGAGTTATTGTAAGGAATTTATTTAGTTATGCTCTATTCTAGAAGAGAGTGAACACCTATTAGTCTATTCTAAAACATAGCGAGCATTGAACTATCTTAAACTAATAAAGCGTTGCATAAATCTTTCAGCAAAATATAGCAAAAAACTGTAAAATGTACACATTCAACTAATAAAACATATAATGATGATTGTTAAGAAATGAATGGAAATAAATCGCTTGTTGAAAGTATTCCAAATAAAAATGCAATAAAAAAACTTTGAAAAACTTTAAATAAACCAAAACATAAATAAAATAATTTCAGCACAAAAACCCATTAAAATAAAAAAAGTGACATTGTGCTGTTAAAAACTGTATGATGAAAGTGGACTGTTAAATAAAATACATAACCATTTAAAATTTCATACCATAACTGTATGTGAACAGGGAAAATATTTGTACTTTTAAAGAATAAAAATGTATACTAACTTAGTAATATAACTCAGCAATCTTTTTTGTTACCGATCAGACATAAATTTTGTTTCATGCCATTGGAAAACATTTCATGAACAAACTTAACATGCTCATCACTATTACGGAGAGAAAGCCCACAGCCAATTTTTATGCAGTAACCTTTAGTTAAAGTTATTTGTTTGTTAACAATTATTTCCAAGACCATTCATGTATGTAAACAATGTGAAGTAAAATAACCGAATACAAATTGTTGAGAGAATAATATTCTGTGACGAGTTTTTTTTATCATATTAATCTTGATATACTTAAAATCCAAATGTGAACGTAACATAACTGTTTTACGTTTTATAATATACATGCTATCTTTAGTAGTCCTTGAAAGATTTGAATTGCTCTTACATCCTTAATAAAATACAATTTAATCACACAACCTTTATAAAACCTATGAAAAAAAACTCAGCATATTATTTTAGTTTTAGCATTCAGTTTTAACTTCCACCTAGTCGGAGCACATACAGTATTGAGTAATTAATCACTTGTTGTTACATCAATCGATGACAAGATGTCAAGTACCGGTCGTCATCGATTTGACTGTCAAAGCCAAGCTAAGCTGATGCTTCAGGGTGAACACCTTATATGCTGATGCAATATTGACTAATGATAACTTAACAACAGGGCTACACAGACAGGCGAGAGAGACAAATGGAAGGGAACAACCAAATGTTAACTTAATTTGATATAACTTTCCTAATCCCTGGTGTATGATTGATTTTAGAGAAAGTGACGATGAAATTCCTTAGTGTTCTAATTTTTGTCAATTAGAGTGGCGAGCAGGATAACTCTACCACCAACAATTTTGTCATTTTGTACAGTCATCTCAACTATTGATTGCCATTAATTTAATTTAGTGACATGTTTATGTAAAATAATTCTAAAACATGTCACTGTTTAATCTAAGCCCCTGCCTATTCAGTGTGGCCCCGTTTTCCTCTATAAATGACCACTTACCCTCCACCTCGACTGTTTTGGGTTTTTCCTGTTCCTTCGGAGTGACTTCCTCAATCTCGTCCCTCGTTCCTCTTGTAGGTTCTTCTACAATGTCAGTCTTCGCTTTCTTTTCCTCCACAACTTCATCCACCGCTTCTTCGGTGGTCGCCGTTTTTGCAGCTTGCGGTTTCGGCTTTTCCACCTCCTCAGTCTCTGCTTTCTTGGCCGGCTCGGGTGTTTGTTGTGCCTCGGTCGCGTCACCCTCCATCATCGAGGTTTGCGCTAACACAGACACTCAAACATGATCACACGACAGCACAACCCTGGGGTCAACTGCAGGGTTCCACACAAACACTGGGACTTGCAAGTTACCGGTGGTCGGAGGCTGCTCAGTGTTTGTCACGTGATTTTTATTTGAGAAAAAAAGTTATTGGAATAGTGTAAATTTTACAAAAAAACTTTTACTTTTGATGAACAGAGATAATTTTTTACTAGACATTTTTTCCTTTAAAATTTTTCAAAAGTAAATATTTTTCCGTTTAGAAACCAATTTGCGCTATAAAATGTCTTTTATATGTAGATTAACCAAAAGCTTAAACATTAAGGGTTTAAGGATGTATTAAAAAGATCATAGAACATCATAAAAGTTAAAGATGCAATATACAACACTAAGGAATATGTTTTAAGAATTTTTTTTACGATAGTAAACTTCTCTTAATGGGAAAGGGCCCACTCGTGTACAGGAAACACAACAAATTAGAATATTTCACCAACAGACTTTTTTAACCAAGGAAGGTGTGAGTGGGATGAGAGATGCTTTCAGGTCCAATGAAGGCCAATGAAGGAAGTGCAATGAAAGAGAAATATTCTAATTTTTCTTAAAGGTGTGTTGTACACATTTTTGTTCTGTTCGTTACTTATTCCCAATTAAGTAAGTCGTTATCATATAAAAACTCCACGTAAAAGTAAGTATTCATTTTGAAAATGGCAAATGAATATCATAGATGGTTTAGATTGAAAAACCTTTCACCACAACTAAAACATTTAATATAAAATGAGGTTACTATCGTCAATGAGTCCTATATTGTCGTATTATGGTATTATAGGTTAAATAGACTATAAATGGTTGTGATGAGATGGTGATTTCAAACTAGTTTCTAAAAAAAAATTAAACAAAACTATTAGCCTACAATAAAATTAATTTTAGAAAAATAATATAGAAACTAATCAAATTTTAATAAATTTTCCGAAGCATTAGTGATTGTTAGTGTGGTGTACCAGGTTTAGCATAAAAAATATGTTCGTGGTAATACAAAGAAAAGTAAAAAAATATACATAGGTAGAATATTCAAATTCTTTGAAGGTTAAATATAGCCTAAATCTATTTTTAAGTACAAATGAAATAAACAATGTTTGTAAATGTCTGCATGAATATTTGATGAGCAGCCTCGCCTAAGAAGAAAATATACAAATTGTTCCCAATTTGACACAACTACTACTACTTTATATACACTGGTATCTGGTAACCGATAATGCCTGATTTGCAAGATTTGGGTAAGTGGGCATATTAAAACCAAAATTATCTATTTGAGAATTAATTATATTCAACCTTTTAGTTGTTAACTTCAATTAATTCATTAATTGACAAACTAATAAAAAAAATATAATAAAAACATAACAAACTAAAAATACATTCCTGGAAAATTAAAATAAATTACATGTATGTTTTGTTTGTAAATGTAGGGGACCCAACATGTGTTTGACGATTTGTAAATTACTTTGGTAACAGCATAAAATCTAATCCCATTAATCAAAAGTGAAATAAATTATTATCTAAATTTCATTCCAACTTCAGTTTCAAAGCAATTAGTACCTGTTTGTAAAAATTAACTATAAAAAATAAATTTTGTATATCATGACACTACTTACACATTCTTTTACGATCTTCAACATTCTTCTCTTGTTAATGTTAGACATCCTGTTAGATTCTTCATGGTTAACTCTGTGTCACGTAATAGTATGTGTGTTTAAATCATTTTGAAAATTTCTATCTCCTAATGAAAGGGCATATAAGGAATTTACATCCAACCCTGATAATTCCCACTCTACCACTTTCCCGTACATATTACCCTTGCTGTGTGGCATGTCGGTTACCAGAGGTAGACGTAAAGCCCATCTCGGAGAGAACTTACTCTGCACCAGCACTGTAGTCTTGGTCACCGAGGTTCCCATCTCGTTGGATGCCCTCACCTCGTACTCGCCTCCGTCCGCGACCTTGACCAGCGTGAAGGTCATGTTGTAGTTCTCCACGCGCTGAGAGTCTCGCGATATCTTGATGTGTGCGTCGCCAGTCACCTCTTGGCCGTTCTTGTACCTGTGTCATCAGATTTAATTTAGAGAAGTAATTCTTTGCCGAAATAGACTTCCTTGAATCCATTCGGTCCATTTCCCCCAACAAATTACTGCCGACTAATCTTTAACAAGTGCAACATTGTCAATGCTTGCAACATAATAAAAAAATTATAATAAAGCAAAAACCAAAAATGGGACATAAAGCGAACGAAGAAAGCCCTATATATTCAATAGCTTTGACAATGCTGCGCTAGCAATAAAAGTAGTCACCAGTAATTTTTTTATGAAGATTTGGACTACCCTGTTAATAAATAAGGAACCCTATTTATGTTACAAATAAACTCTAGGGCCTTTAAAAAGAATGTTTAGACATTTACTTTTGAATAGCATAACATGTACAGGCCTATGAATCAAACTATAATTCTGTTCAAAGAAATGGAACATTCAATCATTTAGGATATACTCATAAGTGTAGCTAGAAATGACAACAATATTGACCAGTGCAATACCTGCTCATAGCATAAAACGATAAAACTAATTTAAGGGAATCCTACAGTTGGTGCAATGTTTTTTCAATAGTAGGCCTACCATTAAACTTGGCAAAATAGCTAAAACTAACAGTATTGGAAACCTCTTGAAGATATGAAAATCACTTCTTCACTTCAAGAATGATTATTTTTTTTATAATTATAGACCTTTTAGAGATTGATTATGTAACAGGTAACACTGAATCACTTTACTGTCCTCAAGTGACTCACATAAATTTAATCCAGGTACTGTGGAACCTCAATAACAAGACCCTCAATATTTCATGACAACTATATGATCAAAGTTTTGGTCTTTGCATTAGCAATCTATGCAAAGATGTTTACTACAAAAATACAAAATACAAAAACACGATAAAGAAATAAAACGACAAATTACAAGATATGGTAAGGTAAATTAATAAAATTATAGGGCCTAGAATGTTTTAGCCCTCTTGGTATATAATTAATCCTAAAAAGTAAAAACAAATTAAAAACAAAAACAAAATTCACACATTACACATATTATTAACATGACGTTCTCCTTGTATTAGTGCAGATAAAAGATTCTATTTTTTTACATTTATGTAAAAAAAGAAGAATCATATAACTTAATTATTTGTGTTTTGTTTTTATGTGATTCTTGTATATACAACTTGAATACAGATAATTTTATTTGAATAGCAAGCCTACTCTTGATGACTAGTGTCATTTTCAAATACCCTTGACATTGTATTATCGCTAATCACATTATTTTGCATTACCACTAATCACATGTTATTGCAAAACTCCGTTAAGAAGACTTCCCCCTAATATAGTACACTGTAGTATGTTAATTACCATTTAACAGCTGGATCAGGTGTTCCTTCTACTTCAATCTGCAACGTGAGACTCGCACCTTCGTCTACCTTGATCTCACTGGGCAGCGGCTTAGAGAACCTCGGCTTGGCTACATCGACATTTAAAATAAAGTTTCAATAAAAAAATTTACTAATTACTAAATATTGATTCAATATTAAACATAAAGAATAGAACATGTAGTAAAAACTACTGAGAAGGCCGGGCACTGCAGATTGGAATGAAATGACTAAGTCCAAGAAATATAACTAGTAACCTCTACAAGAAAGAAAAGAATCCCATTCTTTGGATATTTATTAAGGTCTATAATATCCCGTATTATTTGATAGTTGTTGTTATTATGACTATTATATTTATCAATCATATAAATAGTCATAAAGATCATATAATGGGACAGCAAAACATCAAGTGGATTACAGAAACAAAAAAAGTTATGAGAGAGCTAACATTTTTGAAAGATTTAAAACCCAAGACCACTAAAATAAAAACACAATAAACTTCAACTTCAAGAGTAAAAGCGATTTCAGACGAAGAAAGTTATGGTCTGACTTGATGAAAAACACTGAAAAAGTACTGGGAGAAAATAAACCAAAAACAGAAGACAAGAAAACATGAACTTTTCTAAGTTATAATGACTTAAACGGTCTATAAGATGAAAATAAATAGATGCATAATAAATATTTCTTAATTCATGGAACTTTATGTACTGCAATCAAAACTTAGCAAGAGCTACCCCTTGTGTAAATTCTCCTTGATTTCAATTACTAATCTGAGAGTTTATTTAGATTTTAGTTAAGAGTGACTTTACATTGATTTATTTCTTTCTTTATTCAATTGGTGAACAGAAAATATACTTTGTATATTGTGTTTTAGTGAAATAATTTTAAATCCTAAACTTTTCCGACCATAAGATTAAGGGTAGGAATCCCATCTCAGCAAGGTCTGGTGTGCAACTCATTCTTGAGAAGTTCACCCGTCTGCCACAATGTTTTGTTAGGAAGACACTAACGGATGGGTCGGTTGTAATTGACAGGATGGGTTCTCTTTTTGAGTTTAGGAAGTGTATCAGGCATTTTCATACATTTTGCTTATCCTTACTTGGTCTGTCCACCAAAACTTGTTTTAAATTTTGAAACAATTTTGATTTTATGTTCCAAAGTGTGGAGGGGGGGGGATATAGGCAGAATTAAACTATTGGATAATCCACAGTTCAGTTTAAAGGTTTGTAACACCCTCAAAACGGAATCAAGTCAAAATAGCTTGGGTCCCTGGACACTCGGGGCATGAGGGGAATGAGAAAGCCGATGCTTTGGCCAGGAGGGATGCATAAGTTCCCTGTTAGCTGACAGGGACAGAACCCTACTGCGGTACCCCAATAAGCTCAGGAGTAGCTTAAGTCCAAGACTGGCCTTAGAAATATTGAGTTTTTGATAAAAGTCTACTTACAGTAAACGGTGAACTTGGAAGTGCTTTCTTCTTTGCCGAGGTCATTGACAACTTTGACACTGTATTTCCCAGACAACTCTGTCGTCACCTCTTTGATGATCAGTTTGTAGTTGTCTCCCTCTTCAATTCTGGTGAACTCTGTCTTCTTCTCCGTTATCTCAACCTCATTGTGGAACCTGAATTAGAATTTTACTTTAGTCAATTATGTAGACTGTTATGAAAGTGAATAGCTCATTTAGTGTAGGATATACAATTACATTGCTTTAATGTTATTTGATGATTGAAGAAAAATTTTAATTCGGTTGTACAAATGGTAATTTTGGAACAAATAAAACCATTACGTATTTTAAATGCAATGTAATAAAAGGTCGTGACAGAAAAGACGTTTAAGAATTAAATAGTGTTTATAGTAAAGTAAGCAAGCATAATTTTAAACCAAGTAATTGAAATTGTCAATTTTGGCATGGCTTCAATTAATATTTAAATTTAATTCAATTATCGTGAAATTGGTAAAACCCACCATTTGACCTGTGGTTTGGGGAAGGCCTCGATGTTGACAGTGAACTCGATGTTGGTGTCTCCTTCGTTGGCCTTCTGGTCACTCAGTTTCTGGCGGAACTGAGGGCAACATTTGACAAACATGTCTCCGTCATCACGCGTCGTTCCGTGAGTATTGCTGATCTCACAACTGTACTTGCCCGTGTCCTACAAACAAAACAGCATTTAAACCATTACGTACAATGTGTATTTAAGTAACCATATGTTAGATTTAAAATGTATTTTTGTAAACAATAATATGACCTACAGTTTTTGTGATGTGTCTGATGATGCCAGAATAGCCGGCAAAAGGCCTCATGAAAATAAAAATTTAAAAATATTGGCGAAGTTTTAATTTTAAATTAGAACATTCAAACAATGAGAAAAGTTACCACCCAAATGGCTACACCTCCCCCTCATAGATTCACTGGTCTATGCAAAATAGCACACAAATGTTAGCGCTTGTGAGCCCAATGACAAATAGCATTTAGTATGACTGTTTCAAAAGGTTTTGGAAGATGTATTTTACCCAAATAATATTAAACTTAAACAAACTACTTTTATGTAGCAATTGCTGTACTTGATTGACTAACATGTGACCAGAGCCTCATCATTTCTTTTCTAAACTTAAATATAGTCTAAGGTGATGTTTAACTGAAAGTACATTAAGCCTCACCTTGCGGTTGATACCATGAACCACCAAGGTGTGAGTAGCTCCATCCTCACTTATCTGTATGTGACTGCCATCACTCTTTAGCACGACACCGTCCTTCAGCCTGAAATACACAGCATTTAACACTTCAGAACAAACGGTCCGTTTTAAAGTGTTTTTGGGTACGTTAGTTTTGGGTTCAAAACGATTATTGGTCAAAGTTAATGGTTACAACAAGTCAAACTTACAGTCTTGTATAGGTTTGCCAACAAAGAAACTTTATTCATTTAATGGTTTACATGTTTACAATGTTTTCTTGTTTTTCCCCTACCTTCATATTCAAGAACGGTAGGCTCCAGCCTGTGACAGTTTACACATTAATTCAGGCTACACCTCTAGAAGTTTGCAGCATTATTACATACCTAAAAGCCATTGGTCAGTGACAGGATTCGAACCTGAGACCTTAGGGACTAAAGACCCACATTCTACCACTAGTCCAGCTAGGTCCCAGAACATGTAAAAAATTTATAATTTTATCATTGTCTAATGTCTAATGTCTATGTTATCCAACTTGGCTGAAGCAGGTTTCGATAACTAAGCTGAGGTCACTCACCACTTGACAGAGGGCATGGGGTCACCCCTGACCTTCACCTGGAAGGTGACTGTGTCTCCCTCACTGGTCTCTATGTGTTTGGTCATGGTCTTGATAAACTCTGGCGGACTGTGAACCTCCACCTGAAACAGCAGAAAAACACAATCAGAATGAGGTAGAATGTTTCAAGAAGTACAGTAAACATTGTAGTGATAATCTATAATGATAAACATATTAATTATACTTTCATTCCTCCAAAATCCAACCTTGAAAATAATATGTAGTAAGGGTAAAAACACACATACAGCGATTGAGAGCGGAGCGAGCGGGCGATGTCGCACACATATAGCAACTTACGAGAGCAAGAGCGACACGAACGGGAGCTCGATCATTTCCTAGATGTCACATAGTACAGTAAGCTCTCACAAAATTTGCAGCGCAGTGAAAACAATTGTTTAAAAACATCCATTTTGCGTGCTTCAAACCGGTTGGAGTGGGTGCATAAAGTGAAGAAAGGAAGGGAGGTGCATGCCGCATGGTGATTGGTGAATATCACCATTTTGTTTCCAGTTCTTAAGGAGCATGATTACGACTTGTGCAATACATGTGTATGTCTATAGGCTCATGTTAGACTGTTGTAACTTAACCTCCTTGAGTTGAATTTCTCAATGAACTATAAAAATGAATATATCTATATAACAGGTTCCTGGTTATCAAAAACCTATTCAGCTTCACCCGAGACCCCAGTATTTGAGACAAGCTTAATTTCACATTACTTACCTAACCTAAATTATTCTGAATTAAATCCAAATTAATGAACAAAAGTAGAGACCTGTTACAATGATCAGATAGCATAATAAAAATAATAATGTATATATGACAATCACCTTCGCACAGTGACTAGAGCAGACTGACTCAAGACAAAGTAGTTGCCTGCTGCGCTCTCAAACGCTCGAAAAAACAAACGAGATTGTTCCAAAGTTAACCGCTACGCTTCCAACCAATGTTTGTGTGCGCGTTACTACTTTATTGTATGGGTTTCATTTTGCCACCCTAACCCACGCCGCTCCACTCCCAATCGCTGTATGTGTGTGTTTACCCTAAAACCTCAGAAGAGATAGGAGTGGTTAGTGTGAATAGCACAGGCATTGTCAGGTTCTTGGATGGAAGATGTTGCAAAAGCCTTTTTCATGAATTATTCCAACCTTTTCATAGTATCAAAATTTCAATTTTAATTTGTATTCCAAAAAATGAACCAAAAGATGAATTTGTAAGTTATTTAGTTATGCTTTCCTAGTGTTCAGTGAAAGTTCAACTCCGAAGTTTATAGCTTTTTGTTGGTTTGTAACTGAATCCAGCTGTCTTATGTCATTGGGCTTATAAAATCATCCTGGCTAAAGAACCAATTGATCTTGCTCAGTAACAATGATATCAGCTCATCCATTCAACACTCATCCTTCACTCGTATTTACGTTAAAATGCACACTCTAGTAAGTTGGCAATGTAGACATACATCTATGTATGGAACATACCTTGCAGAACTCGGAGGTCTGACTGAGTTCGTTGGTCGCCACAACTGAGTACGCCCCCGCATCGTCCAGACTCGCCTTGTCTATCACCAGCTCGTAAGTGGCGTCCGCCTCGTTGTATGTCTTGATACAGTCACTCTTGGTGATCACCTTGCCGTCTTTGTACCTGCAATAATAATGTAAATTGGATTTGATATGCGTCTCTTTTAATTTATTGAACGATTAAACATTAAAAGCTTATGGAAAAAGTGTTAGTTTGAAACTTGGTCAAGAAGACATGAAAATTCATCTCTTACGATAATTATATCAGTAGAGGAAGACCTTAAAAGAGACTGCGGTAGTTTTGTGAGATTAGCAGTAGCCTAATTCTTGAAAGAAAGAATAAAATTATATAATCCCATTGAATTTTGGGTACTAGAATAGACATCTGTATGCACCAGCTGTAGTAAATTTGTTTATTCAAAAATAATGTAACTGAGTGAAACAATCACAGATTGCGCTACAGTCAAGATAATTAGATTTCCTCTTTTTTTGATGATTTTCTAATTGATGTGGAACACAAGATCGTACCATTTGACGTCAGGCTGTGGACATCCTTCCACTTGTACCTTCAGTTTGATCTCAGCACTGGCCATACAAGAGACATCAGACAGCTTCGTCTTAAACTTGGGAGGAGCTGAAACATAGCCGCAGAAAATTATAGTTATAGTATGTTTTTGGATGTAAGTTTTACAGTCAGTAAAACAAGACAAAATTGGTGGTTTATCATGCACTTTTTGTACATTTTATGCAATATGACATAGAAAATGTGTCAATGCAACAGGGATCATGAAAATTCAGAAGAAATACAAAAGTAGTCGAAAAAGACATTTTTGATCAACACAATTGTTTGTTGGCTACAAGAGTAATTTTGAAATAATTTAGGCTTAGTTACACAAAACATATTTTCTCACTTCTGGTATTGAGTTTTGGATACTTAAGTAGACAGCTGAATTCATCTTTGAAACAATAATAATGGCTTGGTTATATGACCCAAAAAAACCGTCAAAAGAAGCTACAATATGTCACCCAGTCAGTTGACATGGTTAAAAAGTTGGTCTATTCAACAGAATTCAGTAGTTTACATTATCATATTAGTGGTAGCTCATTAAGCTTAATTCATTGTTATTCACAGGCAACAGCTGTAACATGTGAATGGAATATCTATTCATAGTCAAAGCATCTATAGCATATATAGCAGATAGTCAGCGGGTACAATAGTAGGCTTGAAGGCAAGTACCACATACAGCTCTTGCTGTTAACCTCAACATTAATCCTACTTGTTGTGCACAAACAGCTTTGAGTAATAAATGAACTACTTTTTTGGATAGTGTGAAGTAGCTGGCAGAGTTGACCATTTCCAACATACTTTATACCACAGCTTAATATACCTTTCACCATGAGATGCACAGTGTCGTGGTCCTCGCCCAGCTCGTTGGACGCAGTTATCTTGTAGTCTCCGGCGTCACTCGCCTCTACATTCTTGATCACCAGACTCATTGACTCCTCCTCCACGTCGTGCAGGAACTTGTACCTTCCTCCAGCAGTGATGTCCTTGCCATCATGACTCCTGGGAAAGATGATGTCAGTGTCAAACAGGGAAAACATGTTACTGTCATTCCAAAGTTGGAACCATAGTGGTGAAAGAGAGGCTAGACACAGACAGATAGGAAAGAGTTTGGAAGGCTGAGATTTGTGGAGGTTACTAGTTAGTTTAGTTTAACCCTATAAACCCTGAGAATTAATGGAACTTGGGAAACCAAGTCAGGATTCAAAGTGGAAGCTAGAAAGAGAGCTGCTGATCGATCGGAACCAAAGGAAGAGACAATAGTTGATACCCTACGCTGCAGTGGGAGTCAGAGGAGCTCAAGTGATTTGAAAGTGGAAGTTTCGTGATGACTTGGTAGCAGGGTGAACATAGAATCATTAATGGAGATTAATATTATTGATCTCTAAAGTTGCTGTTATTCTTAGCTTTGATTGAAAACTATGTATTGTATACTTTATAATATGCTTCAAGTAAGAAATCAATTGGATTTGCCATTTGACAAATGTAAAACTCAAAAGTTTTGGAAACAGTTTAAAAAAATATTTGATTTATGAAGTTCATTTATAATTTTGTTTTTCTGGAACATTACTTCTAGTTAATAAATAGAAATTTTTATTTTATCATGACCACATTCTTGGGTTAGTCTTAAAATTCCTTGTATTAACAAGCCTCCTCTACCAAACTAGGCCGAAATAATATTTTCCCGATGTTTCATGATATGGAAAATCACATAAAAATAATACCACATAGAGGACTGTGTAGTAGTCAAAACCACTTTTGTGTTATTCTAACTTAGGCAGGGTAATTTTAGGTAGGTACTTTCTATCTGAAAGCTATGACCCGAAAAAAAAACCATGACTCCGATTTTGAAGTGTTGTTAAAACTTTGCTTTCTCCAAGTTAGGCAAGAGAAGCCCACAAACAATATTATCTACCATATAATAAACAAATGCCATTAAGAATTTCAATTTAGTACATATAACACATGTTGCAAAGCTGTCGAAATGACAAACTTCGACTTACTTCTAAAATGTGTATTTGTAATTTTTTTTTACAAATAACAGCTCCAAATACGCTCAACAAAAATGGACAAATACTGTGGCTTACTTTTCTTCTCTAACGGCACTGCAAGTGCTACGGGTAATTCTTAGTCAAGACAGATGGACTCACCATTTGACATCAGGTTTGGGGAAGCCCTCCACCTTCAGTTCTAGCATGGCCGTCCCTCCAATGGCCGACTCCGTCTTCTTCACCTCGGTTGACAGTTTCGGCTTCTGCGGCTCTCGCATCAGCTGGTTTACCGACCCTGCGCAAAGTGAAGTGTCAATGAAATGTGCCTTGCTCAAATGACTCGAAATATTGTCATTAAAATGTGCCTTGCAGCTGACAGTTCAAAGTGTTGTTTTGTTTAAATGCAGTTTGCATCAGACAAATTTACTATAATGTTTTAAGGAAAATAATGTTGCTCCTAGGTAAAGATTTTTTCTCAAATTTAATTCTCAATAGCATTATTATCCTGCAACATGTTTGAAAAACCCAAAATTTTGTATATAACATGTAAGAACCAACCACAGTGTGGCCTAATTTCTCACGCTTTGAAATTTACAGAATTTAAGTAAAATTAAATTAAATTTTTGGTCCAAAACTATTATAGTAAATAAGAAAAAAGTATTGCACAAAGGTACTAAATACAAGAAAGAGGTTAACTATAAAATAAAAATATAGCTTATGTAAGTAACAAACGCAAGAAATTTTTATAATTGTTTATAAAAAATTTGATAATGGTACAAGAAAAGTGGTGTCGTCCTGTAATCCAGCTACTAGTAGGTCACGAATTGTGGATATTTATAGGCATGCACTGTAGATGCGATACTCCCTTGTGTGGATTAACGTCCGCACTAGTAAGTACTACGACTATACGCAGTACTATCCTGATACCAAACCAACAATTCGTTAATTACAAGGCAAAAACGTGGTTCGGATCCCAATTAAACTGAAGGTCCCTTAGTTGCCATTGGCTGTATGGGCTATTAATTAACAGCTGTGTCTAAGGAATATGCCTTATTCACTAACAAGACTACAAGATCGTGCTACTCATCCTATACTCATCACCATTCACAATTGGCTTAAAATACCTACATTCGTATGGTCGCCATTTCTAAGGAAAGTATTAAAATACTTTAATGGAGTTTGAGTTTGAGGAATGGTATTTTCATGTTTACAATCACAATTTGCTTCTATTCAGGTAACATGCCATTGATACTCGTAATATACCTGTTCACAAACTGCAAGACGTAAATTCTATTGTCCAATCAACTATACTATTACTGTACGTTTATAATTATGATTTTAATTTAAATCTAGCTAATTATGCAACTACCTAATTTGATATGGAAACTCTATATTCTAAATGCATCCAGTTATTCATGAATAGTATCATGCTGAAACTAAGCCTTACGAAGAGTGCTGCGTCTTAAACTGACTCGAGAATCTGTGTTCACTTCTCTTACTTCTCCTGTTCAAAGATTTATTATTTTGAACATCATATCCAAATTATTCACATATACATGCAGGACAAATCAACATTGTTCCTAGGCCTATATAAGTCAAACTTTGTACCTCACTATTAAAATTAACAAATACCTGAGAAGGCCATCTTAAAAGCCTAAATGACACTGATACACAAAATTCCAGAAAAAACTCAGAACACAAAAGCACTAACTGAATGGGCCCGAGTACTGAATGAACTTGACTGATTGGTAGTTTCCGATTGCGTGTAACGTCCTGGCATTAGCGAGACCATCATTAGCGCTTAGGCACGCCAGCTGGCATTTAACGGACATGTTGACATACAAACATTCCAATGTTGAAACCAAACACCCAATCCAAGAGCACGGGGACTGACTGTATTTTAAGACTGGAGGAATCTGTTTCGATTTCACTCTTAAGACGTTATTTATCTGTGAGATTATTTTTAATGTCATTTTTCAATTGAATTAGTCCATAAAATCATGCTTTCTTGTGACAGAATATTGAGAAAAGTAGCAACTGTCCTTTGCAATGGTGTAGGGACCACATAGATTTTTGTCCTACAACGCTAGGCAAGAGTCAGGGATTGTTTTTCACATTACTTTAGTTTAGACCAAGGGGTTGCGGCATTATCACTTAAATTTCATTTGGTGGTTTGGCGGGATTTGAACTCTGGACCTCAGGGACCAAAGTCCCCTGCTCTAATCACTAGACCAGCTGGCATCCTCCGTAGGACCACATATAGTAGGAAATATTCATATTCAAACATCTTTATTCGTAAATCATGTACATTGGTGGTACAGTGAATAGTATTTACGAGTTAAATGATCATCCTTTGATGCTACTTTGGAAAAAAAAGTATGATATCACTAATAATTTCAGTTTAAATAATCAATGGTATCTCTAATTGATATATGTACTCGGGGTTAAAAAAATATTCAATAATTTGAATCTACTGTTTGAGAATGCAAAGTTTATATGATTTAAGAAAAACAGACCATTCTGTAAACGTTTAGAGTTTTTTCTCCATTGTCCTGAAGACCAATCAATTTATATCCCAGAGCTCTGCCTCTGAACATTACCCTATAATAAACGATTAAAAGTTCCTGAATAAGACAGAAACAATCCCAGGTAATAAGATAATTTTGTTTGAGTTAAGCCTCCGAATCACTGATCCATACGTGTAATGGTGCAATTACCTGCTGTTGAGTAACCTTGAAAGGCGACCAGTTTCGATCCTCACGGGATCATCTTCAGGCAGACGTTGTCATCTTCATTTGGTTCTTGCAAACACGTCGATAAAAAAAAAAAACATTGAGTCGTTTAACAAAACACGGTAAAAATGGCCAAGTGTTTTGTAAAACAATGACTCAATTGGTTTTTAAAAATTGACGTGTTCACAAGAAAGAAATGAAGATGACAACATCTGCCTGAAGATGATCTCGTGAGGATCGAAACCGGTAACTTTCAAGGTTATAAGAATCACTTGACAGCAGGTAATTGCACCAGTACACGTACATAATAACAACTTCCCAAAAATTCAAGGCAACTGGACAAACAAATTTGGTTCTTTTTAAATTTCATTTTATACGTATGGAAAATACTTTTTAATTAGAAACTGAAACTTTCCTCTATAAAATTTTAGCCTATCAAATATCTTTGCCAAGGTGTAAACAGTGTCAACACTCATAAGCCTATTAAAACGCTGAAAATTTAATCTGAGATTCAACTCTGTGTTGTATGCCATTAACTTTTCCATAGACTACAGAAGTATTAAAAAAAATTGTTGTAAATATTTGATCATACCTTGGACAGTAAGCTCAGCACTGCAAGATATTTTGCCAGTAGAAGTAGACGCTACACAAGTATAAAGACCAGCATCTTCTGGCTTGACGTGTTGGAACACTAAAGCCAAGGAATCTTCTTCATCCTATAAGTAAATAATAATTAGTACAAACTATGAACAAATACAAATATTTGTAAAAATACTGATAGTTTTAGGCCTACTACTTTTAATTTATTTTTCATGATAACTACCCGTCACCCTGAAATACTGATTGTAGTGAAGGAGGACAGTGATGTACCATTATGGTGTAAATCACAGAGGCAAGCCAGCAGTAGACTCAGCTCAACCTCAACCCAGCAATGTCTGCCATATCAAGATCCTACCACTGAGCTATGTTCAGTACTTATCTATATTTATTTTATAAAAGGCAACAATGTATGATTGGGTAATTATGATGACATGGCTAGTGCTTTAGAAGTGTATAGGTGTAACAAGTTTTGATTTTACTAGAAAAACACTTTTCAAACAAATCAGTCAGTTTTATCTTTACTTGTAAAAACAAACAAAAAAAATGTTTAAAATATTTAGTTAATCTATTTATTTATCTTTGTTGCTTGAAAAAGAACTTGCTGCATGGGTTAATACTGACAGTTAGTCCATGATTCATGATTGTACAAATTCACGATTTTTGATTTAGAAGTAAAGTTTTAAATTGTGCAAACTTGCATTTGACTGTGACAGCTTTGGTTTTCACTTTTTAACTATGTCTGACGGTTTGGTTTGTTTCCGTTGGCCTTTTCGCCTGCGAGACATACATTTCATTTACCAATCAATAGTCTTTATTAGTTTTCATAAAAAATGTTGTGTGTTTAATAATAATTCTTCTTTTAAATGTTCATAGACAGTAAATACTTCATTTTCCTGGTATCAAATGAGTTTATTTTTATTGATTTTTTTGTCAGTTCTCTGTTATTTTTTTACTCTGCTCACTAACCAACCTTCTTAACGTACCAATTTCGATGTAATCCTGCAACCAAATATAAAAGAGCTTATCTTGTTTTTGTTGTACTCTGAAGAAACATACTGGATCACAATCTTACCTTGAAGAGCACTTTAAACCGGTCCTCGGGGTCAAAAGGTTTTCCGTCTCTCAACCAAGTAAAGTTTGGCTGCTCCCCTGGCTGCAGCAACTCTGCGTCTTCCAGACCTTCAAACAGCTTCTTGTCGTCTGTAATATACAACAAAAAATCAAAATGTTAAGTTCAAACCCTCTATTGGGTGCTGAGTACTGGAGAAACAACAGCATTGATCAGGCTTAACCAAAAGTCTACACTAACAGCATTGGTCAACGTAAAAGCTCATGTCGGAAACTCGGGTTCAGATTGCAGCACATGTCGGATGGAGCCCACAGCCATGTTGAGTTGGACTTGCATAGTAGAAAGTGGAAGTTTGGTGTAGCCACTAAATCAGACTTTGGAGTTTAAAGTGTTAAACAAAGAATAAAGGTTTTCTATTTAATTTAGTGAAAATCTAATGATTAATAACTTCAGGTAAAAACATTGACTTTTGGTCTACAGTACCAATGACTTTTTGCATACTGAAGTAGGCATCCCATATACAGGGTGCGGCAAAAAAACCAATCTATTTTCTGCAGAGCACTGTTCAGCGACAGGTCGTCGGAGGGTGGTGGGAGTAGGCTCGTTGGAAAGCCTACACAATGCAATTTTTTGTAGTCATAGAGCAGTGGTCGCCTGAGCTAGTGCGGTTGATATGGAGTCGTTTTTATAAAATAGTGAATTCATTCATTGCTACTCAGTGGTAGTTTCATGCATTCTTTCAATTAAGGCGACATGGAGAAGTTCCGTTGCGTAGCCCAATAATGCGGGGGGTTACTTACTTTAGAACAACGGCTTCTGCTTTGAAAAGGAAGCTGACAGGCCTTCCAAAGTCAATCAGACGCCAGACAACAAACATTCGATAGAGTTCCAGTTCGTGCAGCTGTGGAAAACAGTCCTCGTAAGCCCGCCCGAAAACAAGCGGCTGCCTTGAACATGTACCTGACCGCTCAGTTATACAAATTTTGAGGTTAATTTTCTTCCCTATGGATTAGAATAATAATCTGTATAATTTGATAATCATCCATACAGATAATCACGACGGAACCTCTCTATTTCGACCTAATTGAATAAAAGCACGGAACTGCCGCTGAGTTGCAATGACTAAATCATTACTTTTTAAAAACGACTCGATAACAACCGCACGTAGCTCATACGACCACTGCTCTATGACTACAAAAAATGGCATTGCATAGGCTTTCCAACGAGCCTACTCCCACCACCCTCAGACGACCTTTCGCTGAACAGTGCGCTGCAGAAAATGGTTAGGTTTTTTTGCCGCACCCTGTATATGAACCAGTTGTGGTCTTTTTTATTCTTTTATTTTTCAAAGAACAGAGTTGAATGAGCCACTTAGAGTGTATTATAGTCTAAAATTAAAATTTCTATTAGCTTTTGTTGTGCTGGAATAGTTAATGTGACATAAAAGATGCTTGACAATAAAGTTTTCTTGTGAATTTGTATTGGGCAAAACGTAGGCACACTTGATTGATCAGTGATAACTTCACCACACTCTGCTGTTGGCTACATTCAACTGCATTCACTTTCATTATAAGACTGATTAAAACTTCAACATGGAAAAGGAATCTCTAATTATTGTAAGAATAAAATGCTATGCTCAGATAATTATTGTGGAAGTTTTGATTGTGTTAATTTTGCTTCCCATATATTGGAGGTTGGAGCTCATAGGAAAGTAAGAATACAGGTTCTTACACACTGATAGCCAGTTAAAATTTGAGGGAACATATTACGTACCAGTGACAGTGACAACCCCCTCACTCTCCACCTCGCCGTGGATGTTACTAGCTATGCACTTGTAAGTTCCAGCGTCCTCCTGTTGAACGTCTGGTATGACCAGCTCGTAGTAACCCTTGTCTGCGTTTGTCTTGATGATCTCTATCCTCTCATTGGCCACAGTGATCAGCCGGTCGTTTTTGTAGCTGTCGACAACATTATCTGTTTGTTACAGGTGCTAACTATAGGCTACCAGTGTTAACCATGATAGATAGCGGAATTGAATCTATCGAACTGCGGGGCTACCTTCAGCGCTGACAATTTTGCCTCATTAAACAAAATGAGAGGGCCACTAAGTGTGGCCTTCCCAATCCATAGGGAAGGAAAAGAGAATGATAAATATAAACGCAATGGGTTAATACTAGCTGCTATAAATCTGTGCTTTGCTGCGGATAAAGGATGCAGTAGATAATAACATGGACTGCATGAAATAATAACGCATCCACTGTTGATTTCAAACTCAAAACATAATTTTTACCGCTTGGTTTCATCAAATTCTTTTTTAAACTCTAGTAAGGAGATTAAATTTCCCTTGGCACCTAGTACGATGGTGTGAGTGGTGCTGATGTATGTAATAAAAGTATGAGCTTGCTTGAATCTGTACTTACTTTAAATCTCCTACCTTCTACTCTTATATTTAAATGCAAGGCAATAGATAAACAAGAATTTAACAACTTACTGTAGTGTAGAGATAAAATCAATCACTTTTATATTACCATACCTTTGAAAGCAAGTAAGGCGGGGCTCTTTCTAAATCAGCCTGTGAGTCAGGGAATTTATACCAATAATTTTCAGCAAATCTACACACTCTAAGCTACATTTCGATGGGCCATATGCCTACATTTTTTATTGGTTAATGGCCTTGAACGACAGTTTACTCAAGACAGTAAATAATAGAGCATTTAATAAAAAAAAAAAAATATTTAGGGAATGTAGTATAAATACATAGCCACTTCATTGGCTTACATGTCAAGTGGATATGATTAAGCCTCGTTCCCATGACCCGAGGTAGGGCGATTCCACGGATGGATTTGAGCAAGGGCTCGTCGTGGGAACAGCTTGTCCGTGGTCCGTGTAGCAGTCCGAGGTAGTTTGCATGGGTCCGGATCGTTCCCGCCAGAAGTCAGTAAACTTATGAAACATCAAAGGACTGTGGCTCATGTTCGGTGCAGGAGGGGAGGTGGACTCTGCACTGTTCCCAGCTCATCAGCAGATCTTGAAATGTATGACCCAAACGCGTCGTGGGAACAATAGGTTCGCAAATGATTCGTTCACTGATCAAGGACATCCGTGATATGGCCCTACCACGTGTCGCAGGAACGAGGCTTTATATGTTAACACACTTTTCACTCTTCTCACACTTGGAGGAAACGGCTGTAATTTCTGACACATTAAATAGCCTTGTAAAAATTATATGATATTTCTAGTCTTGTTTCTCAAGTAAATAAACCATATAGGGTTTACAGAGCTGACCAAGAGTGCTAAAAACAAAAAAATCCAGATGCTACTTACAACTTGACGTCAGGCTTCGGATCTCCTCGAACCTTGACCATGAATCTTAGGTAGGTGTTTTCCAGTAGTTCCGTATCATGGAGGCTGATGGTAAACTCTGGTTCTTTGCTACCACCAGCTTTGCCTTGCGACTCGGTGACTGTAATGGCAAATAGATGTTAATCAAACTGCTTGACAATATCAATTAATAACACTATAGAGGGTTGAATTGTGTCACATTACTAACATGGTGTGCAGACTTTTGGCCTTATTGCAGAAGGCTATATTCAGAGCAGTGACAAAGCTCTACTACTCTTAAGATGGCCAGATGGAAGGAGGCCGAAACAGCAAATAAGTTAGTTATGAGAAATATTTTGTCCACAGAAAATTTAGTAGTACAGAATTTGTAGGGTATACCAATAAACAAAGGTAAAAACAACAAAGGTAGGTTTAAAGGGTGAGTCGGTAGCGGCGCGGACTTCGGGCCCAAGGTAGTAGTGTCGTGGGTTCGGATCCTGGTCACTGCCACTAACTTTTATCAGTACAGTTCACCTTTGTACTGTACCGGCTCACCCCTTGCTTAAATCTGTAGTCTATGTGGATGGGCAAATGCAAGGTTAAAAGAGGCCACCAACCTCTTTATAAAAAAAAACCTTAGTGAAAGGTAACCTACCCTAGGGTAGGGAAGCTACAACACTCACAATGCTCCACCAGCAGGCGAGCCGTACAGCTGGATACTCCTCTGTTGTCCTCTGCTCTGGCCGTGTACAGTCCAGTGTCGTTCTCATGAGCGCCTTTTATCTCCAGCCGATGTTTGGTGTCGCTGGACACTGCTGTGATCCTGTCGGCCCACTTGTCCTCCAGCGGTTTGTTGTCTTTCAACCAAATCACCTTGGCCTTCTCGTCCAGCTCACACTCAAAGAACGCATTCCCACCAGCTGTACAATCAGTTGTATGATATTAGTTGGTAATATTGTGTTAGAGGAATATGAGATGTAAATTATTTACACCCTTCTGATATTACTTTTAATGAAATACACAGGAATGCTATGCATTAACAAAATAAGAAAATGCTTAAATTAAACACACTCAAATTAATATTTTTCATACAGTACAACCTCAAGCAATCGCTCCTTTCAGTCAAATCTCAAGATTATCTGGACACGTTTGCAAAAAAAAAAAACAAAAAAAAACATAAACATGACTTGTACAAAAAATTCATTTTGGAGGCGCCATTGTATTTATTATGAGCGCATAACTGAGCGGCAATTGTTATTCCTTTGTTTTTGCACAACCAAGTTGAATTGCTGTATCCACATGGTGAGTAATTATCATTGTTTATGTTTAGTTAAAAACATTTTAAAAGTGTTTTCCCCGTGGTAAAGAGAGATATTGTAAGTAGCCTATATTTTTTTTTTTATTCTATCTTTCTCCGGCTAACACGGATTTTTGGGTCGAATCAGCTGCAATCCTGTCTCAAACAAATTAATGAGGTTGTACTGTACTGTACTTAAAAATAAGTTGAAAATAATATTAAGGTGTTTTTCTGCTCGGGATGGATACAGAGTGTTTTCATGTTCTGAAAAATTCATGGACAAAATAATCTCTTAAAATTGTCTTAAACACAAATTTAATTATTAATGATATTAACTAGTAATAACTAAACTAAACCATTGTAAATCTTATAGTTAGAATATGTAGTTTTTTTATGGCTATTAACCACTGGTCCTAAAAGCCAGTCAAATTTATTAAGAAAAAAAAAGCACTATTCAATTCAGTTTAAGCAATATTCTCTTACGTTTGTAAGCAATAATTTTTAAATTTTGACAAACTTTAAAATTGTCTCAATTAATACTCACTTAAAGGATGTATTTTGTCCATCAAAAAGCAAATATCTCTATTTTTTGTAATTTTACTAAATAAATCTGTATTATGGCATTTTTACTATACTACTGTTTAAATTGAAAATCAGGAATATGTACATAGTATTATTTCAAAACGTTTACAATTCCAAGATAAATGCAAATAATCGTAGCAAATAAATGATGTAATATTAATTCATGACAAATAAAAAATCCTGAAAGGGATGCACTCTTATTAGAAAAAATAAGAAAGCCCCAGTAACTAACTATTCTAGCTATTATATAAAATGGCGATATTGCAAGAAAAGTCTGAAGAGAAAATTTAAGAATGTTACATTAGTGTGAACAATTGACAGAACAAAGCAAGGTTGAAAATAGGAAAAAAGATGTGAAAACTTGAAACTTTTTTAGGGTGGTATGGAAAAGTTATTGTGAATTTGAGGTAAAGCAAAGTTTCCTAATACAGTACAAAGAAACTGCTTCTGACCTGAGAGAGATTCGGTGGTTTATTGTACTATACAAAAGTAGACATACAACATAAGGTTTGTTCCTAACCTCTGGATGGATCGGGGGATAATCACTTAGCTCAAAGCCGTCATTAGTTACTGACGGCTTTAGTACCAGAGCCTTTAGAACAGAGGTCTATGGTCTAACTACAGGGTGCTTTTTTTTAAACACAACCCAAATATTACAAGTACTGTACTGTGAGGCACTGTTTAACATTAAAACAAGCTTATATTTTAGTATCTCTGTTTTCTTTACTTCATTGCTGACCAGCTGGTATTGTTGCATAGTTATCTACGAAGTTTAGTGTTATTGGGAATCTATTGTAAAAAAGACAACGTAGTGTTTTCAGAAGTTCAAACAAAGTATGCATTGTAGATTTAAGTTTTAGCGGTCTATGGGAACAGGGGTTTATAGGAGTTTTATTCGGTAAAAAATCGGTTTTTCCCATTTTGACCCTAAAAACTTAAAATTTAGGATTTTCTTTCCAAACCATATTGTAAAGCTTAAAAAAACAAATAATTTAGTATATTGAAGCGTTATTATGCGCCTAATGGTTACAGAGGAAAAAAAACTGTAAATTTAAAATTCTCATGTTATTCTTATGGAGAATAAGTAAACTGTTGTAGTTTACTTGTTTATGAACATATTTTGATCAAATTTGGAAAATGCATTAATTTTATACTAAACTATTAACATTAAAAAAAAACACCTTTTTACACTTCCTGTTGTAGCAATCCTAAGTACTTGTTAAACTAATGTTATTTAAATAGGGAATAAATGTGATATTTTAAAGGAGACATTTTAGTGTAAATCCAATCAGGCAAATCGAAATTCGCTTAGTCTGCAGGTTTGCTGCGGCGGGGGTATTTTTTGTTTACTAAGGATCCTGTTTTCTTAAATTTATACTTATCAATATTAGTTGATTTAATAAATACTGGAATCATACCTGGAAACTTAATTCCAACCCTTTCTTGGCAATAAACCATTAAACAATGATTCATTTTTCACATTTTCTTCTCACTTTTCAAGCTTGGGGAATCACCCCGTTGAGTCTTATTTACAATAGATTCCCAATAACACTAAGCCTCATTGATAAATATGCAACAATGCATATAAAGAAAACAGTGATACCAGCGTATAAGCTTGTTTAGTCATTAAAATGTGTCTCAAAGTATTATTAATTTGGGTTGTGTTTAAAAATTAAAAATAATAAAACACCCTGTACTAGATCGCCCATGCTCCAATTGCATTTAACATTTTATCTTCTCTTGGAGTAGTGGAATAAGTTCTTTTTAGTTTAAAAATCAAATAATAGTTATACATTTTTAATTGAAAAAAATGCATAGTGGGCGAGTTTAAAATAAAATAACTCAATACATCTAATAATTTGGTCGATTACCTTTTATCGTTTAAAATCCTTTTAAACAATGATTTAAAAAAGTTAAAATAATTCAGAGTTTATTTTCACTATCGAGCAGTATTTTTAGATAGGGCCTACCAGAAAGAATTTTGTAGGTGCTTTCTGTTTAAATTGTTTAGCGATCTTCTGATAAGACAAGTGGTTTCAAAAATATGTCCTAATCCCTTTTTATACACTTTCAAACAAAATGTTTCAAATTTTTGATACATTTTGATTTTGATAAACATTTTATACCCAGCATGATTCAGACTCTTCTCTAAAAACTGAAAAAAGTGACAAAACACAACATACAATGACACATGTAACATTGAAAGCTACAATGACACATGTAACATTGAAAGCTGTTAACACCAAATGACACAACAGACTTGAGCACTACAATAACAATCTGTGCGAAAAGCACAATGACAACAACACCTGAACAAAAGAATGAGAAGGAAACTATGTCTCTATCTATACAACATACATGTCTCATTTTGCTCCTCCGTGTCACCTAGTTAAACATAAAATTATTTGAGTTATATTGTAACAAGAATGTCTGAAAGACCCTCTAAGGACTATTGAGAAATATCAATTTTAACAGACTTTGTTGTTTTAAATTGTAATAAAAAAAGCTAGACGACTACAAATTTTGTGCACAACGGGCTGAAAATCTTACAGACAACCATAAAAGTCAGCAAATGGGACTGCTTTAACATTTTTGGACGCCTACCATCAAGTTGGTTATTTGTTATTGGAACGGATTGTAACTGGTGATGCAGCATGGGGCTTACTGGACATTAAGAGTCTTCATTACCGTCCGTGTAGTTGCGTTTTGGAGCGTGGCCTTGGGGGAAAGATGGTGAAGACGGGTGGGTAGCGCGGGGTCATTATGAGCGCCATTCTGAAAACATCGTAAACACACGACTACTAAAACGACACGTCGGTGACTCATCTGCCGCCTGAGCCAAGTTTTGTAAAAGGCTAGTAGCGCAGTATCCTCCGTCAAAATGTTACGTTAATTTTGTCCCCCTTTCAGACACAGTTTTTCAACAGATTTTCTTGAAACTTGGAAACAATGTAATTGAATAGTTATATTATAGATCTTGTACCTCAAAAAGTTGAAAAGAAATTAGTTTTATCAATGTTTAAAAGTAACTCAATTTACGTTACTTTTCTTTTAAGATTTGTTTTGTCACTATACAATTGATTTTCTTGCATTATTAGGTATGGGGGCTCTAGAACCAACATTAATCTGTAAGGGAAAAAAAAGTGTTTACATTACTTTTTCTTTCATTAAATGCGGGCAAAACCATTAATTTAAAAGTTCACTTCCAAACATGGGTTTTTTATTACAAGGCTATTTAAGTATTTTAGAAAAATGACATAAACGTTTTGATGAGTTCTACTTTTATACTTTATACTGTAATATTAAAATAAAATAGTCAAACATCAAATAGTCCTTAGAGAGTCTATGAATCCCAAAGATCAAGATACGAAGATACATATACGAAGATAAGTATGTTATGAATATTTCCATTAAATCGATAAAATTGTATTTACTTTAAAAAATATATTGTTTGTGACAGTGGAAAAGGATGAAATGTTGTCTAAAAACTAATTTGAGGAAATTGTTAAGATGGGAAAATATCAATGTCTAATGAAAAGGAAAAATGCCGATACAATATTTCACATCACTTGAATTAATAGAGGATAAATTAGTAATTTTATGGTTCTTTTTTCCTCAAACCTTGAGGTGAGACTATGAAGTGTTGAATATGAAGTGTCTAACACGATCATGTAGGGGGTAACTTGATATTTAAAATTTCTGTATTGTAAATATTAGTTAAACTATCACACTTAAGTAGTAAAAAAATTATTTAAATACTTTGACCTCACATTTGAAGGCATTAAAATAATTGTTTACTTGTTTTCTATTGTATGTAAAACATTATATTTAACATGAGCAAAGATGTACTCTCTATGAAATTGTTTGTAACCGTAAAAACCTCTGGCATTGATCTCCCCCCCCCCCAAACTGAGAATTAAAAAAAACATCAAAATGTATATTTTTTAACAATGTTTTGATCTGAGAAATTGGCTACAATCAAGCCAATATATGGTTGCCCAAAGTTTCTCAGCATCAATCACTAAGATGTTGTTTCATAAAAAATATAACTTATTCGGACAAATTTTCCTGGAAAATATCACACAACTATTTAAATAACCATAAATAACACTTAAACATTACTAAAAATTCACAAAAAAAACTAATTAAAAAACTTTGGGAATATTTACATTGGGGACTATACAAAATCCAAACAAAAATATCTACAAAAAAAGACTGTCGCGATTGTACTTACGTTGCACGCGCATTCCCTCAATGGTTTTCGTAAAGACAGGTTTGGGGCCGGAGGATCGTCGCCGTTCGTCCAGTCTGCTGCTGCCTTGTTTGCTGCTGATCTCTTCAATGGTTACACCTCCTGATGACACTTCCTGGATGGCCGAGTAGCCTGAACCTCCTCCGATGACCTCACGGCTGCTAGCCACTGTCCTTCCGTTGACGGAGGCACTCTCCTCGATGATCTTCATACTGCGTGAGCTCGACATTCCAGCTGATGTCGAACTTCGGGTGGACGATGACTCCATGTACACTTCCTGACTGCTCGACACTGAGCGATATTCTGATGAAAAAGTGTTCGATTTTGGTACAGGTTTGTGTTCGTATGTTCAATATGTGAAATTTTCCTTTGTAAAATCTTACAAGCTTAGTTTGTGAAATTTTGTGTAGCGTGAGATTCTAAGTATGTATATTGAATAGAGTTTCATTTTGTTGATAGATGTTTGAGCTTGAAAATGTACTAAATAACATTTTCAAAAGAGATTTTAAATAGCCTACTTTTGAATAAAACAATGTCTGTTTGTAGAATGAATATGTATCATACTAATTGTCAATTCAATTAAAGAAAGTAAACACATTTTCAAAATATTGAGATCAAATTATAAGTATAATACTAGTATAATACTCCTAATGATTGAAAATACTTCATAAATTGGATCTATTTAAAAATTAATCTGCATATGCGGCCACAAACCTTAAAATCATTGTAAACCTTAAGAAAACCTTTAAATAATATGTTTTTTTTTTAACTTTAAAAATTATATACATAACTAAAATTTCTTTTATCAGAAAATGTTATGAGAAAACCCCCATAAAATTAAAACCTTAAAATTTTGCCTGAAATTTGAATCCTAGAACTTACAAGGCCCAAACCAATGAGGGGGTAGATACAATTATCCTATTGTCAACAATTCAACCCACACTATCAAAACATCTATACTTGAACATAGTCTCTAGCTAAGGTAATTAAAATTGATACCTACAATATATTACTTAAAAAAAAAAACTGTTATTTCTCTTTCTACTTTTGTGTCAGAAACTCAAGATTCACATAAAATAACCAAACCAATTACAGTTTCAATATGAAAGATTAAAATAAATTATATTTTTCAGCAACTAAAACTATAACACTAAAATAAAATATCTTTAGTATTTGTATCTACTTATTTTTTGTGAACTACAGAGCTAAAATGAAATGAAGAACACGATTAACTTCTTCATGTCTTTTAACGCTTGTCTAAATTTAGTATGTATGAAATTGTGTTCTAACGTCATTTTAGTTTGATGAATGTAAACATAAATGGAACACATTTGTGTGGATGATATGTTGACATGAGCTGCTCTACAAGCGTTTAATATTTATCTCTCAGCCATCAAAACACTAAACAACAACAACATTGAATGTATATTTAAACATATCAGTAAATACTGAAAGAGTGAAATTACATTATATGAAAGGAACAGAGAATCAAGAGAAGTTGATCAAATACAAACATACCTTCAGTCGAGACAACTTTTCTAGTCGAAGCTCTTCTACTGATTGAACTACTGTGAGAATCCATCTCTTGTTCTTCAAATTTGACTTTCTTGTCAACAGGAAGATCAGGTTCTTCTTCTTTTCTTTTCTCTCCAGACGGTTCTGGTGGTTTTGCTGGTTCAATCTTCTTCGGTTCTTCCTGCTTTTCAACTGCCTTCGGCTTTTGAGGCTCTGGCTTTTCTTCTACCTGGCATATCAGAGGTAGTTAAAACACATAAATGAGATGAAACAAAATACTGGTTTGAACCTTTACAGGAACAAAATTTCAAAGGGGAAAACGTACTTAGTTACTCAACATATGGGGAACTGGTAGTGAAGTTTTTACGACCAAATATGGAAACCAAGCAATGAAGCTAATAAATTTGTCATCTGTGATAAACATTGACTTGATCATGTCAAAGCAGGTTTACTTTCACAGTATAAATATATGTCTGTGTTATGAGAATAATTAAGCCTCTATAAAATTAGCTTGCCTTGTTCACAAACCCTATTTTATAATTCCATGATAGATTTATGAAGTTTTCCATATTTCACTAAACATTTTACAGTTTTATTAAACAAGCCATGATTAAAAAATCTGCAGTGTTACATCTCCCAAAGATGTAAAGTATAAAGATGTTGTGGCGAATTTAAAGCCAGGGTGATGTGGTAACAACTTCGCCACAGCTTCTAATCAGTTTTCCTGGATCCTTACTTTATTTTAAATTTTATTTTTCAACAGCTGTTGGTTGATTGTTAAAATGTTTTGTTTTGTTTCTGCTATGATGTACCCGAGTTCGTAATTTGTTGGTCAATCAATATTTCACATTATATTAATTCATTGGTGAATTATTTCATGCAGATTTAACATTACTATACCGTTATCAGAAAAAAAATACAGTGCTTACAAGAAAAATATTGTATTCTGTGGAAAACACCAAGCATTTAAAGTTCATTGAAATGGAATATTTGGAGTACAAGAACATACCTTTTCTTCCTTGGGCTTCTTCTCAGCTTCTGGGCTGTAGCGTTTTGGCAAAACAGACTTCTGCGGTTTAGCCTCTGAATCCCTCGGTTCTAGAGGTATGACCTATAACATTCAACTTGATTGTTTGAAAATAAAACATTATTTATAATAGGAAAGTCAAAACTATCTATTTATTTAATTTATTATAATAGGTTACGTACCTTGACGTCCACAATTCCTTAGTCGGTGTCTGTTGACTATAGTTTCGACTACTACGTAGTCATTATCAAAAACAGAACGTTAAAATATGTAATGTAATTATTTTAACGTTCTGTTTTTGATAATGACTACGTAGTAGTCGAAACTATAGTCAACAGACACCGACTAAGGAATTGTGGACGTCAAGGTACGTAACCTATTATAATTGATTACCAATTCCGGAAGGCTTCAACATGAATTATTTAATTTGGTAAGGCGATTCTCTGTGTCGAAATTGTGGGCATCTGGCAAGTAGTAGAAGGGCTGGAGAAGGCTGAAAATAAAGGCGTTTCTTCTGTGGAAAACTACCTTCTGAGTCCACAATTTGATTCAATGTTATATCTGCTTTTAGAAAAACTGAACGAAAAAGTCAATAGGACAATTAGGACTGTGAAACAAACTAAACTTAAGTGAATTAAATCACACATTTTGTAGCCTATGTTGTATTAACATACAACAATAATAACTAGCTTCAAAAATTATTCCACTGGATTTACTATTAAATAATACTAACTGTTAACGTTATTTAAGTGCATTAAGTAGGGATTACTCTGCTAAAACAATAATAAATACAAATTCAAACTTCTAAAATATCTTTTTCTTTTTGCCAGTCCAGCCTAAATGTCTGTCACGTGATATTTATTACAGTCAAATAAACATTGTTACACGATGATAAACACAAACAATATGATAATATTTTCAACAAGATATTTTCATTGACATAATATGCAGATGAGGTAACAAATATTGTAGTATCAATAACCTTTCTAGCCTGTCAAAAGTTTGACAGCTCATACTTTTTATCTAAAAACTCACCTAGTGTGATAAATCTAACATACTTTACACACCTGGTCAGGAGTGGCAGGCTCAATGTGTATTCCCTGTAGAGGCTCAAGACGTTTGTTCTCCACAGAAGGCTGCAGTCGTAGATCGTCTGCCGCGTGCTCTGCTAGCGCAACTGGTAACATACAGATATAAATGAATTTATTCCATTACATTATATAAATAAATAAAAAAAATATTAGTTTTACCTTGAACTATTGTAATTGAATGGCCGTTAGTGGAGACTGGATAAAGTGCTCCTTGACTGAGATAACTATATTTTTTGACACAGGACACATTTATATATGAGTAATTCTCTTGTACAATGTATATTACACTGTTTGAGATATACAAGATTAGAGCATGGGAGTTTCATCCTGAAGAACTAGGTTAAAAATCCCGCAATTTTTAATGGCTTTTTATACCACAGCAAATGGAGGTAACACAGATAATGAGTTACCTAGTGAGACGGGACTCATCTTAAACCTACTAAATTAATGGTTTCAGCTTCAGCAATATGACACATACTTTCTCCCGCTAGCTTGTCAACAGCCTTCATCATGAGTAAGCAAGCGGATGGAGTAACTATGATATCTTATCATATGTGCAAAATCACAAAAAGTGTAATAACTTTTGAACCTTATAATTTTCACAGGAGTCCAAAGGTGTACTTTTTTAGGAGTTAAAAGGGCTATAAAATACTAAATTTTTATCAAAATCGTTTTAGTAGTTTTCGTGGAAATCAAAATTTTCCGTTATTTTATGGGTTTTCCGGGAAAATCACCAATAAAAAACCAAAATCTAAAAAAAAAACCCTAAAAGACTCCTGGACATACTATGGATTAAAGAGGAATTAGATTTGCTAGCAAAATTGCCTCTTTCTTCAGATGTTAGAAAATAGCATAGAACGATTGAATAGGTCCACCGAACGACGTAGCAAGTGCAAAAGTGAATATTTTCAGTTATAGCCGCCCTGATGTTACACAGTTACCTATGCATTCAACAGCTTCTAAGTGTTGTCAACCTATGTATTTTTTTTTAAATATCCCAAGCAGTAAAATTTGTTATTTGCATCATTGTTCATTAAATATATCTTTACTTCATAAAATATGCCATTTGCAATAAAACATTGTTCGGTAGAAGTATGTCAATTACACTAAGAAGTTTTTTTAGAACTAGAACTCTAAGATGCAGCACAAAAAATATACTTTACTAACTTTATATCATAACTATTTTTCAATTATAATACTTAATAAAAAAGCTTCTTAATCGATCTTGTTCATTATTACTTTCCATAAATTGCTTGGTAAAAGATTTATTAAATAGAGACTTTTGCCAATGAATATAGAAATTGACATAAATGATGTATTTTAAAAATAAGGACTAGGTATCCAAATTGAAATAAAAACTTAAAATCCATTGAAACATTTGTTGACACTTACGAACGTCGGTGGCGTATTGTCTTATTTCAGCCAACCAGGCGTCCTTTATTCGATCTTTGTGAGCTGCTAGTTTCAACGGATAACTTCCGAAATCTGGTTGTTTGTGATGAAGTTCATAAACTTTTGGGTCCTCTTTGTGGTCCTTTACTTCTACTTCTGGTAACTAAAAAGGTAAATTTATGAGAAATAGTAACAGAGGACTTACTTTACTAACCGTAACATAATGAATCAAAATTAGGTAGCCCCTCTTCTTAAATAAACTTGGATCAACTGCTAGTTGGCTCTGATTTGTTTGGGCAAAAATAAAGGTTGGCTTATCCTCCCTGAACTTTTACCTTTTCAAGAAATTTAGAGATTTATGTTCCCATACTTATTGCAATAATAAAATACAATTGTGTCTGTACATGTCTGGTTTTTCTATGAACCCATTTGAAAAGCTCACTTGGCGTATGAAAAGAAATCAATCAAATTATTTTAGATCCTAAATGTACTTAACTTCATTTTGATACTTTCAATTGTTATTAAAAGAGGGTGTATGTTATATACAGGGTGTCCCAGAACTCTCCACCAATATTTTAAGGCATTGCTCCTGGGTAAGAAACATACCTAAATATCATATTTAAATTGTCCGGAAGTCCTTAGTTACTCACACAGCCGCCATTTTGTTTTTTTCAGTTATTAATTTTTTTCTAAAGAATGGTTAAACTTACGAAATTGAAACTTTGCACAAACATTTATGACAACTAGACAAAGCTACCAAAAAATTATGACGATTTTTCCAATTCATAAAACAAAATGGCGGCCATTTAAAATTTTTGTAAAATCAACGGTTTTCGAGTTATTTAACAAACAAAATTTTAAATGGCCGCCGTTTTGTTTTATAAAATGGAAAAATCGTCATAATTTTTTGGTAGCTTTGTCTATTTGTCATAAATGTTTGTACAAAGTTTCAATTTCATAAGTTTAACCATTCTTTAGAAAAAAATTAATAACTGAAAAAAACAAAATGGTGGCTGTGTGAGTAATTTAGGACTTCCGGACAATTTAAATATGATATTTAGGTATGTTTCTTACCCAGGAGCATTGCCCTAAAATATTGGTAGAGAGTTCCGGGACACCCTGTATATTGCAGATGCTAGAAAAATTTAATGTTTCAAAATAAATTACATTGAAACATTTCATAAATTGAATTATCATTCAATAGAACTAATGATCAAAATAGTCTAAACCTTAAACTTAGCTTAATACTACTATTACTAACTTATTTTGAAAATCAAGAACTCCCTAATAATTTCATCATTCTTCTGGATCAGCTGAAGAAAAATTCAATGTCAGTTCAGAACGGTTCATATAAGTGGTTAAGCCCAATACAACAAACTAAATCCAAACCATATCTCATTCTCAGGTAAAAAAAGTACAAATCATCAAATTGACCCTTAAATAATAAAAAAAAAATTAATCTTACGTCACCAATGTGACTTATACATAAGTTAAAAATTTTAAAATGGAATAAGGAGTCTACTTGTACTATTCAAAGTCAATGGGCTTTTAGTATACTCACCCTAATAATATCCTTAAGTACGAATACAGATCTGTCTTCTGAGATCCGTCGAACCTTACAAATTAAAATACGAGCTTTGAAGAGAAACAAATATCGTTCCTTGGACTTGCCGTCTCGGTCAGTCACACAGAACCAGTCCTGAAAACAACAGAGAGAAAAATAAATATTTAGACAAGTAGTATAGAAATGGATGAGATAAGAGGTATAACAACCTAATAGTATATTTTATCACTTGCAGCGAAAAAGGCCCTTATTGGTATTATATGCACCTCGCTTGGAAATACGATTAAGTACCAAAAAGACACTTTTGCTCCATGTGAAAAAAACATTATAACCTTATAACTATAATGATTATAACCTTATAATCATTACACAAATATACAAAATTTGAGGTTGTACAAAGTCATAACCAATGTTTACATTTCTGTTGTTTACAAACATAGCTTGAAATATTGTGTGATTAGCAGCGTAAACAAATGTGCCATAAACAAATTTTATGGTAAGCAAACCAAAAGATTTACCATGTTTTTTCTGTTACCTATTTGAAGTTACCCGAAAACGATGATTTTGTGGACAATTTAAGAGAACTAAAAACGGCTGTTTTCCGGACAGTAAATGAAAATAAGAGAGGATAAAAATAGCTGATGTGGATCATATGATTAAATTAAAGAAAAAAGTTTAGCACCTTGTTCACACAACAGCTTGATATTGTGAAAATTCAATGGTTTTTTAAATTTATTTACTAGTAGTGCTTGATTCCTATAGATTATGAATTATGGCATTAACCAACCAGGAGCAATGAATCTACTAACATCTTTCATAATTTCTCCCATTTCCTCCCCCACAGCAACAATCTTGTGTTTAAGAGGAACCAGTTTTGAAAATATTTTTTCAAAGTGGGCTTCCTTATACTGATTATAGCACACAAAGTAGCTAGGCCTAACTGCTGCAACCTATTTGTACCTATTTCCTTGTACCTTCTTGTACCTATTTTTGCCAGACTCGTTTTCACTTGCCACACTCAATTTTTGCCAAACTCATTTTTTTGCCGAACTCATTTTTTTGTCGCACTCACTTTTTTACCGCACTCCAGTATTTCAACCAAACCACTCAAAACAGTTTGTGTGTTAGGCACTGTTTAAGCAGTATGATACATGTATGCTTGAATAAAATTGGCAACACTTGAAGATACTACAACTAAGATCATCTGGTACAGCGTTTCCCATTCCGTTCAACGCTTGGATTTAACTAATTTATTTAGGACACCTAGGATTAATTTAAATAGGACACCTTATATACATTACAAAAATTATCATCTTAATACAATCAAATTTCTTATACATCATAACATTAAATAAAATACAATTAGGCATAATATATTATTTCAATTCAAATTTAACGTCAAATTTGCAGTTGATAAATTCACATAAGCTGTGAAAATGATTTTGAACCGGGCAATTAAATTATAAATGCTATTTAAAAAAATATTATAATCAACAAATCAACAAATTTTTCACTGTCGGGCAGTTTGTTGAAAAAACGAATTTAGTTAATTTTGAAAAAAAGTCACCAGTCTATGAGGTTTAGCCAGTCTATGAGGTTTCATGCTGATCAGATTCTAGATCCCGTATCATTATGAAATCTTTGTATTTCACTAAAAGTGATGTAAAATGTCGGAAATAATTTCTTAAATTACGTATGTTCTTTTAGCGAATTTCCCTATAGGGAAGTAGCTATTACCGTAGGTGGCATGGTAAGACCTAAGCCCGGGAGTGATTTACTTTTTCATTTTGATGTCCCCAGAGGCCAAAAACACCATTCGTTCAAATTTTTATATATGTATATATATATATATATATATATATATATATATATATATATGTGTGTCCGTGAACGCGATAACTTGAGTAATTTTTGTCCGATTTTGATGAAATTTGGTTTAAAGGTGTAAAGCGGGATAAACTTGAATGAGTTCGCGAACCAGCATGATTGGACCATGGGAACAGGGCTTTACGGGGGGTTTTATGGGGTAAAAATTGGTTTTTCTCACTTTTGACCCTCAAAACACAAATTTTCCCAATTTCCCTATATACCTTTTTAAAGAGCTTAAAAAAACAAATAATTTAGTATGTAAAAGTATTTTTGTACGGTTATTGGTAATGGAGAAAATTTAAAAAATTGTAAATTTAAAATTCCCATGTTATTCTTATGGAGAATATTGTAAAATGTTGTAGTTTGGTTGTTTATGGATATATTTTGATCAAACTTGGCAAACTTATTTATTTTGTACTAAGCTATTAATATTTAACTAAAAAACACACTTTATTAGTTTCCTAACCTACCTACCTATAATGTTATTTAAATATATTTAATTGACAATCAATTCAGACAAATGGAAATTCGCTTAGTTGTCAGGTTTGCTGCAACGGGGGTATTTTTAATAAACATTGGTGAAAGCTGGTACAGAGAGATGGGTTATCTACTTCAGTATCCAAAAGTTGAAAAGTGGAACCTAGTCTTACGTGTCGTAGGAGGCGTCCAAGTTTGTGGATGTTGCCGTGGTAACCCTCGATGTTACTGATGAACTTGTTGTCGTTTGCCCGGTGAGGCACTGCAAGCATCAACTCAAGAGCCTTCCCGAGGTCAGTCGTGTCTTCTCCAAGTCTCGTTGAATACTTCACCAGCTCCTGCAACCAATAAGAAAGTATTTTTCATAGTAAGAAACGAACCCTTGATAAATTTGTGGTCTTTGGAAGATGACCGTTTCAAAATCAAAACAATATCGCAAATGTTATGGCCTTGATGCAGATTCCCCCCTTTAAGGTTGCTTGACTTTTGCACAGATGCTGTAGCAATTATAATTCTTAAGTCTGTTATGAAAATAACATCGAAATATTATTCTATCTCTTGCAAACATTGGCTTGTCATGTCAATTTGAGTGATCTCTCTGTCAAGTACTTTGAAGTAGCTGCCAATCCGGGATGCACTTTAACATGATTTAGTTCTGGTCATTTGGAATTATACTGTGCAAACATAAAACATTAAAAATAATTTTGAAATGTAAACTACGTAAGAGATAACAATAGTCGATTAAAAAAAAATTCAAACGATAACAGTACATATCATAGTGGGGTTAATTATCTGATCTTTGGTTATTTCACCTTCCATGTTATGCATCCCTCCCTGCGGACAACAAGAAACCTTAAAGCCATCCCTGCCTCTACTCAGAATTCAATAATCAGGCTTTAGGTACCAGCTTTTGTCATAACATTCTGATTGGTTTAGTGTGCTGCATACCACAAAGCTTGCCCTCTTGTGTTACTTACAGTGGGTGCAAAGAGCTGTAGCTGAGTGGACAAGTATTAAAATATCTTATATATTTTGGTATTACTACATCAATATTTGTTTTGTGATTTTTGAGGACGACTTTCAAAACATAAAAAAGTTAGTGGTTTCACTGGAACAAAGCCTCAAAAAGGTTTGGTGACAGAAAAACTTTACTAATTTTATAACTTTCAACAAACATGTTTACAATGTTTTTTCTGTGCTCTTCAAATAGTGTGGTTAGTAGTCCACTACCATGAGAAAGTACAGTTATGTGCAAATGCCTACAGCTTGTCATGAACTTTTCGAGTATAGTTATGGCGGCAAAGGGGTTGTCTCAACCCACCCTTCATGATGTAAAGGGGGTGGGTGGTGAGGGGGGGGGGTAAAATAACATGGAAGGTCAGGTAACCGAATATCAGATAATTGTGACTCTTTGGTATACTATATACATTCTGTTATCCTATGAATGGCAAGTCTCGAGTAAAACAATTCGCGTAATTTGACATACAACATCTACAAAGAGTAAAAAACAGCAAAACATGGTAAAAAATAGAGAATATTGAAAAAATAAAAACAATCTTTTCTGAATAAAAAAAATAAACAAAAACATAAGAGCTCAAAATAACTCAGGTAATTCAACCAAAACTTGTCAGTACAATTCAACAGCAGTACCAAATCATTTCAAAACTGTGGATTGGAAAACTCGTGAATTAGCAGTACCAAAACAAAGGAGAGTCAAATGTTTTTTGCAATGCTGATAGTCTAAATGATTCTCAGTTTATTGGCCAACTCAAGTTATTTATACCTCCGCCCACAGCTCAAGAAACTTAAACTGCCGTCGACTCTGCTGTACAGTCACATTGTTTGTGCTCAAGCACATTGGAATCTTTCGGATATTATTACCAATTAAGACGGGAACGCAAAGATATTTGAACCCAAAGGTAAATTAAGGGTGACAGTAGAATAGGGTTAGATACCTAGTGTAGCTTTTTACAGACTAACATCACGTGTTTGTTTTCCCAGGATCATTTATTTTGCTGCCAGATGATAAAGATAGCTTAGTCCCGTCCCTAACAATAAAAAAACTATAAGCTTTTCTTAGGATTAAACTGGTGACCTTTTGATTACCAGGCAAGATCTATAACCAATATATCTGTTTAAGGTAAGGTAGTTAAAGTCTCTTTCTTAAAAAAATTGTTTAGTTCTTTCTTTGAGTGATTTATTGATTTAAATCCTTACTGTACCACCTGAGGACAAGGTCTGATTCAAGATCACAAAACGTTGCAGGAATTCTGTTTTATAAATCCATGATAGGAAATGACCATAATAATAACAAAATTATACTGGCTCTTAATAATTGTGACAAAGGATAAAATCTATATAGTTTAGGTATGAATATACACACTGTCTAGAATATTTATAAATCATTTAGTTTTGAGGTATTATTTACTTAAGTTTTTATACATTTGTGTAAGAGCATTTCATCTTGGAATTTAAAATTTAAATATATGTTCAGTTTATGCAACAAAATGTTTTATGTGCTTCATAAGATGATATAGATTTAAGCATGATGGCATATTTGTGTCCTGACTTCTGACATTGTCTATTGTAATTTTATGTTGCTGAATGACAATAAAGATTATTATTATTATTATAGAAAAAACTTAACTTTTGTATAGTTTCCTGATATTAATGATAAATTTATTTAAATGAGGTAACGAATATTCTCAGTTACAGAGGGATTTCACATAATGAGCTTATGGGCTTTTTGAAAGACTATAAAGTAAGATTTTCTTTCTAAAATCTGCTTAACTTATTTGGTAACATGGTAGCTAAGTGGTTAATGCTCGACCAACATTCAAAAGGTCACCACTTTGGTCCTTAGTAGCATTTGATGGTTGGAAACTGTACCCAACTGTCATTGGGCTTTTAATAATTAATTCAATTCTTTGAGACAGAGATGCACACTTTGTTGTATATTTAAAGCTCAATATGAAAGCAAGGTTAGTGTAGAGTGAAAATGATTTGTGTAGCTTTGTTACTGACTAAGATCAGCTGTTTCATTAGTCAGGATCATTTATTAAAAGTCCTAGTTTAAACTAATAGATCATCAACTCCATTCCACGCTCATTTGCATTAATATTCGGCTAAAAATATGTATACAAAGTATGTTTATAAAATGATTAAACGAGAAAGGGAGGTTAAATTCTGGTTTGGTTACGGCTATGGTTCAATTACGCCATACACATTTGTGAGGTCATCACTGTAGTGTCGTCCGCCCGCGCCACTGACTTAGACAGACGCCAGATATAGCCCGCGACAGTATCATGTTTATAAACAGCTGTCAACTATTTGCACTCAGCTGAAATCTCCAGTTCCCACCATCTCTGTTCATATGTCATTATTGGAAAATAATTTGAGATAATACACAATTATTGGAGAAGATCAGCTAAATTTTAAAGCTCAGTTTGTAAAATAGTAAATAATTTGAATCGTTTAAATTATATATTAACATTGATTTCCCTCCTCAACAAGCAAAAAGATTTTACGCCACACTACATTGTTTTGACGAACTTCCCAAGCAAGGATTTAGTCCAGAAAACAGCTGTTTGCCGCCAGCTTATTCAAATGGGGTTTCATTGCGTAATACTGTTCTGCAATGAGTTTTACCGGACACCAATCAGCTGATTATACTGTATTTGCGTGGCAATGATTGGTTAAAAACAAAACATAACCTCTAATGACTAGTGATTTTTAGTCCTTTAGTTGGTGGAAATATAAAAGGATTTGTACGGATTAAGTAGTATGGCGTAAACTATCGTACGTAACTCGTCCAAAATGTGTTTACCGGACTCGTATGGTAATCCCGTACTCGACTTCGTCTCGCACGGGAACGACCTCACTCGTCCGGTAAACACTTATTTTCAGGACTAGTAACGTAATATACTATTTCATCACTCTGTATTCGAAAATAGCCCATTTCCATACAGCTAAGATCGTCTAAAATCATCAATTTCCATACACCAAAAACAAATAGTGATCAGCTGACTTTTCCTGGCATAAACATTACTTTTGCTACACAAACAATACTTTGCCTGACATCAACAAAGTTACAACTGAAGTTCCCAGTAAGCTTTAGCAGTTTGTTGATGTTCAATCAGCTGAATTTTACACTAAAATTAATTGCAAAGCCATATTGTGTTTAGTTTATACCCATAGCTTCAATAATGACGAGGAACTAAAACGATCAATTGAATAGAAACTTCTCCAGATACTGCAGAATTTCTTTGTAAGAGCCAACGATTCATTTTGAAAGCCCTGTTATCAGTGTGTCCCTGTGGATGGATCACATTTTGAATAATTTTGGACTCTACATTACGGTTTTTCATTAGGATATTTTTTAGTTTCCTTATTAAAAGCCTTATTTCCCTAGAATGTGATATTAAACATATTTTATAAAACCAAAAACATCATTATTAATTAATGTTTTTTAAGTGTAATTTTTTTGTATGCCACCATGTTTCTACAATGGTTAGAGAGGTGAAATTTTCCCAGAATATTTTTAAATTCTAATTTATAAATGTGTAAAGTTTCAACAAGTTTGGTGTATAAATGGGCATGTAATATGAAATCAAACGTTTAAACCTCTTCGTGGGACACCCTGTTTGTACATATATTTTAGTGTGCACTATAACATGTTCCACTTGTAAAAAAGTCTGAGACGCTAATCACAGTTGTTTTTAATTTAATTTTTTATTTGTTTTCATTTTATTATATAAGATAAAACAAATTTTATTTTGTACTGAACTTTGACTTATACTTTGTAAATGTACAGATAACATACCAATTATGCAATTATTAGACAGCAACAGTTTTATATTTATTTTTAGAGAGTAATCCCAATTAACAAACATCCTTCTGGCGGTGAAAACATTTTCATAAATAACACAGAGTCGAGAAATAGCTTGACAGTGGAAAGCCAACACATTTCTAATTTTAGATTAAAATATCTAACATACCATTATGAGTTTCTAAAATTCTTTAACCACGTCCACATTTTAAAATACGTATTTTCTGACAATTGACGTGTTTTTCGGTAAAGCATTTTGTATACTGACGTACTTTAAAATATTAATTTTTGGACTTTTGTGTAAATAGTTTTTCTATGTAGAAGATATATATGCTTGAGTATGCAAAAGTTTATGATACTATAGTTGACTGTTAGTACATGTACTAAAAAAATACTACTGTACCTGAGTATTTTATATGCATCTTTGGCTAATTTCTTATTACTTTAAATAAATAACACTGTTGAAAATTTTGAAAATGCTCTCTCACATGAATAGCCACAGGTTTTTGA